TGTACTAACATGCTTTATTAACTGATGAAATAGTGTCTGACACAGGACTTTTATCAATAATTCTTATGTAATAACGTTAGATATACAATATTGCATGTACAGTTGGGTGCAATGTAGGCTTCTGTTGGTTAAGAGTCTGTGTAGGGTTGGAGCCACCTATCATTTAACTTTAGTCTTGGGAGAACTTAGGGAAATCCAGGGAGAGCCTAACCTAAAACACTTATAGGGATATTTTTTCCTCTGGTAGAGTAATGGATCCACCTCCCAGGACATCGAACTGCAAACCGAAGGGTTGCAAACCGATGGCCCCTCAAACCCTGAGGCCGCCGGTAATCATGATCAAGAGAATGAATCATTCGGTGAAATAATGATCCATCAAGCTATTCACACCATAGAATACGTTCTTTCGACGATATCCCACACTGCCTCCTATCTACGTTTATGGGCCTTGTCGCTGGCCCATGGTCAGCTGTCTGAAGTACTATGGACTATGGTGTTACGCGCCGGTTTAGGTGCCAAAGATGGCAGCTATGTATACAGTGGATTGTTGTTCGTATCCTTCGCAGCTTGGGCCTTTTTCACACTCGCCATTCTTGTGATGATGGAAGGGCTTTCAGCTTTTCTTCATACCCTACGACTTCATTGGTAGGCAAACAAATGATAAATAATTTTATTTCTACCAAAAATTAGATTTAGTAGGAAAACTCGTTTTCTTCCAGGGTGGAGTTTATGAGTAAGTTCTATGATGGTCAGGGTTATGCTTTTCAGCCATTTTGCTTCAAGAATATCCTGGATACCGAAGATCTTGAAGAATAATTAGCTCATCAGAGGCCTTATTATAGATACGTCTGTTATGTTACGTGCAGAAACTTATTTTCAGTTTCTAACCAATTTTAAACGAGATATATCAAGAAATATATCTTAAGAAATTTTTACAAAATATCTTCTTCGAATGCGACTTCGTTCAGTAAAGAATGCCATCTATCGCGAGACAACAGTATTCAGTGTATGTCTTATGGAAGTTCATATTTAAGATAGGCTTTTTATTGGTTATGTTTCATACAAAAACAAAAGTATCCTACAATCTTTAAGATTTATTGTCCATTGCTGCTTTCGAAGTTGCATTACTTGCAATACATTTAGTATAAGTTGTAAAATATTAATATACGTAAATACGCAGGCAATGAAAGAAACAATCAAGGAAAGTATCGTATGGGGTCCAATATGGCCGCCGAGAGAAATATTTGTCCTCCTTCAACTTTAGAAACAAAAAATTAAATACATATATAATGTTACAATAAAACATGTTTATGAATAAGATTTTCTTATTAATAAACTAAATCAAAATATTATAAAAAGTAAAATAGTATTTGTGTACAGTTGCGAGCATAGATGTCTCAATAAACGTCATGGGATTCATTCTTATTTCTTATTTGCGAAGGCAGTAGGCGTGGCCAAATTACCGAAAGGAGCCGAACTTTACCGAAACCAAAGCATAAGTGGGCATCTAACCATCAGAAGGCATCTATTCGCGCGGTTGTACACGTGGATTAATGTGCCTTCATAGAAATATATCATGAATGAAAAAGGACTTTGTACATATTATAATAGTATAAAAAACTATAAATATAAGAGTTGCTTTATGAATAACTTAATACATTTTAGTAGCCAGTTTGTAATTTTGATGGTATGAAATATTTTAATTAACTTTTTATAATGATTGAAACTTGAAAATAGTTCATCGCAAATAGAAACCACAAATATAAGTTTTACCACAATTTATTGATATTATTCTAAATTACAATTTTTATTATTGAGATTTTTATACACCACCTTGTCTTCATCTCGGCGGCCTTGGAATACGAAACTAATTACCATTACTTGTTAGATGAGTAATATTATATAATTTTATTGTTAATGTTCAACTACTGTTTCCACAAATTGTTATGGAAAAATTGGATTAGGCAGTGCCGATTAAATTTTAGGAGAAAAGACAATATTTGAAGCAGATATTGATTATTTATTTTCAAAAGCAAATAATATTAATTACAAAAAATACAAAGTATCTTACGATGAGTGATATAATCGAACAGACAAAAAACAAAATCAGAAGTTTCGCAAAATTTAGTCTTTCATCTAGATCAGATGAATTTACAATATCTTGGGTCAATTATAAACATACGACGAGATTGGTGCACATTATATTCATTCCACTGATCATTGTCAGAATATCTTCAACTGATACGACAACAATCATACAATATGTGCACAATATTGTACGCCATTACAATCAAGGAATATGAAATCTGGAGAAGGATACGTTATCAAAGTACAAATTGTTGCTATTATAAGAGTGATTGCAAAAGGTATTCATTCTTCAGTGAGTAGAAAGAGACGTCGTTAGAGATGTATGTTGAAAAAGAGAGTGATTCAAATATACATACGAATATATTTTACCAATATTGTAAATCAGGCATGCACAACTGACGTCTTTTGGACAATGGAAAGTTGCTGTTATCCATTGGTACACCTTTGAGCAATGATCATTAGTTGCGACGTCACAAGCCAGGCAACATAATCATAAAATGAATGCCCGAAAGGCATTTAGTTGTACAGGTCTGCTGTAGATATTAAATTCACCAACCAATCCACTCGTTCTATTCCTAAGCTAATTAATGAATATATACGCCCTACAAGAAACTGTCCTTCTGACCCTAAGATGCATTTGCTATGATCCTAATCAGGTGTGTACTGTTATTACCATGCTCTTCCAGCTGACGAAAATATTTTTATAAATTTTTCTATTATTTTCGTGTGATGAAAAAATCAGAAGGCTGTATGTGCGCCTTTCACAGCCGAAGGGTTGACCATTGTCTAATTCTCCACGGTGCTTTTCCCTCGAGCGGGATGAGGAGTTGCGCGCGCTTCTGCAACGATTTTCCGCGCTCAATCGGCGGGTAGGGTTTAGTCGATGTGGCACGCTCGTGTGCGGTGTTCGCGCGCGCCTCCTCCCTACCTCGTCCCTCCCTCGAGGGCCAATACGTTCACCTCCCCAGGTAAGTAGATACACACGTATACAGTGACGCATGTGCACGCGAGTAATCTCGAGACACGCCGGGAGCATTGATGCAGCCCTGGTCAAACGATGCCCCCGAGCGCCACAGTTTGCCACGAGATGAATCTCGTGACAGACACGGTCAGATAAATAGGAAAAGACACTTAACCTACCCATTTGATATTTTCTTTCTCTTTTAATCAACATTTTCTTGAATAACTACCGTCACAGTGGCACCCTTTCGGACAGCATTGTTTCGACAAAATTCATCCTGAGGGGATTTTTTCAAAATCACCAGGGATGCTGAAACTGTAAAATTCGTATGACTGAGAGGGTAGATGTACGGTTTGTTTTATAGAGCGTAGATTCCTACAGCATTCGGTCGCAATGGGTTAATGGACCAAGTGAAAGTTGACAGTTCAACTTTAATCTTACTACATTCTGACATTTGTCGGATGCTGTTTTTACAAGTTTCTATTAATTGCAGATTTTGTTGATAAATATGGAGGGATTTGTGTATTTTGGAACAGCTTTGATGTTGATCCGAAAATAAAATTTTCAGTTCGTTTTGGTTAATTCAAGGACACCATGTACATTATACGAAAGTAATTTGCAATTACGATGCAGTTACTCGGGGTTTTAACTTCCTACGGTAATTAAACATGACGCACATCAGTTTGCCACGACATATCATATTAGCAACTGGCACGTAAAGTTGAAACGCGTTGACCTGTGCTTACATAAGGTGTCGTTCTAACGGTATCTTAATTGTTAGATTAATTTCTGCCGGATTAAATGACATTATGTTGCGGTATTATTCAATGCACTGATGGATAGCCACAGTGGCTGGCATTAATATTCAAGCATCACATTGCTTAACTCTGCATTTCAAGTGGGAATAGAAAGTGACAGGATAAGTTTTTTTACGGAGTTACAACACTTTGAACCTAAAAAATTAAAACCATCTTTGATTATTTTTAAGAGGAAGAATCATGAAGTAAATGATTTCTGTTCATTATTGATAACATTTATTAGTAACATTAACGAGATAAATACTTTTCCTTTAGTACACAGTGTGTTTAGTACATAATCTGTGTCCGATTATTTATTATGCAAGATTTAATATAAAGTACTTCTATTTCTTATTTTTAAGAAAAATGTTATATCATGAGTGATATTGTGCGGTTGTAGTTTCTATTTACAGAATTGAATAATGTTTTCTTTTATACACTTTGACACTTCGTTATGGAAAATCATTTTATAAGTATGTACATTTTATTGAAATATTGAAAATTGATGAAAATATTATTTGAAAATGATCGATCGATCAAAGTGCCATTTTTATATTTTAGTGATATAAAATTTTTTTAAACAATTATTTCATTATTAAAATTTCATTAATGATTGACACATACACACACACACACACACACACACTTTAATTTCTTATTTTTTAAAAACGAGACTTAAGATTTGCAAAACAGTGAAGTTTATCAATTTTTACTTTTTAAGCACACTATAATGTTTTGTAACATTAACTTTATCGAATAATTAAGTATATTTTATTATAAATAAATAATCAATAGTTAAAATTAATAATATAATTGTTAGCAACGCAATTATTTAATTATTTGTTAATAATCTATGCAACAAATAATTATTAATATCTGCAATATTTTCAATTTGTAGATATTTGTAGATTATAAACATTGTGGCATGAGTCAAATGCATTGGTTAGTAAATCATTTTGTTCATTAAGGCACAGTGGTTAACTTTTAATACTTAATTTACTAACATGTCTAATTTATTGTGCACTAAGTTATATAGAAAAAATGTTCTCCTTCCATTTCGAAAATTCGTTTTCGAACAGTTCGTTGTTTCTCAATTTAAAGCACTTCAGTTCAAATACTTTCATTTTTCTATGTATTTAATAAAACTATTAGTGCAGCAAATAATTGAGTCTGATAGTAAATATATTTTGGAATGGAGTCAGTCTTTCCAAATAATTCCATAGAAAGAACAAATGAGCACAAACCAAATTAAATATAAAATCTAAACAACATTTAACACGTTGACTGTCATATTTACATGAAAAATAGTTGAAGTAGAAAAGTAATGAACTTCTAACTATTTTTAATATTTAAATAAAAATATAGTACAACAAATTGCAAAAATTGACCCTGTATCAGCTGTATGTGATCACATCCGCCATTTTTCATTATGGCAGTCAACGTGGTAACATCATCTGGTGGCAAGATTCCGAATGATTGTTAGGTTAACCTTAGCAAGCATACAACGTACCCAACCAAAAATCCACAGTATCATAATGGCAGTCATACCACGATTAAAAGTGGCAGAATTTGCATTTAAGGTATTTTCCTCCTTCAAATTAACGTGGACTCTCTTTTGCACTTTCCGTTTGATTCAGCTTTTCCTTTTCATCTTTATCGCCCAACTGGTCCATAGTAACTTCATAACTAGAACTGCTTTTCCTTCTCGTCCCCATACACGTGGTGAAGCAAGTATCGTGTTTGCCGAAATTCTCCCCGTCCTCGATGCTCTCTGGCATGGCTTGGTTCACCGTTTCTGGCAGGTAAAGAGATAGGAAACCGGACACCAAAGCGACGAAGCCGAACAAAACTGCGGGAACTTTGGGATTGAAGGAGTCTAGCAGCATTATCAGTGGGGTCAGCGAACCACTGAGACGGGCGCACATCGACCCGATACCGAGGGCTGTGTTCCTGACCACTGTGGGGAACAGTTCAGCGGTGTAGTTGTAGATGACTGCGAAGGAGACAGCTATGCAGGCTTTCCCGACTAAAACCATGGTCACGATGGCAGCGGAAGAAATGTCCGTGCCGGTGGGTATAGTGGAGGCAAGGATGCAGCACACACCGCCGATCAGCATGAAGGTACTCACCAGACACCTTCTGCCAGTACGGTCCATCACCAGGCAGATCAGAATATAAGCAGGCAGCTCGACCAGACCGTTCAGGAATAGCATCAGAAATGGATTGCCCACCAAGTTACCTGAGTTCAAAGACAATCCATAATACACTATGGAGTTGGCGAACCAGTTCAGACAGACGTTCAATGTCTTCTTCCTGAGATTTGGGGTCTTAAAAAGATCAATCGCCCCATATGAACGGTCCTCCTGCTCCGTGTTGCGCATTTTCCCTTCGCTGATCAGTTTCTCTGTATCAATCTCCACATTATTCCCGTTCATCCTCAGTCCTTTCCGGATGATTACCAGGGCTTCGCTGATGCGCCCTTGCGCCCAGAGCCATCTGGGAGACTCGTCCATCAGCCACCAGTGGCCTATCAGCAGCGCGCTGTGCAGTCCGTACACTATCTGAAGCCACATTCTGTCCTTGATGACGGCACCCCAGACGGCTACTAGCATGAAGCCGGTAGCGAAGGCCAGCTGGAACATCACTCCGCAGACGGTCCTCTTCGACGCGCCCACTAGCTCCATGGTCAGGACGAAACCTGTTATGTAGGCCCCCGCTGAACCGAAGATCCCGTAGAGGAACCTTATGACCAGGAAGAAGTAGTAGTTGTTGATCAGGGCCACTGATACTCCCAAGACCAGTTGGGCCACGGATGACACGTAAAAGATTATCTTTCTGCCATGCTTATCCGCCAGACTGCCCAGTGTCACCGCGCCGAAGAACACACCGAACATGTAGGTAGACTGTGCCACTGCGCCCATCCATCTTTGGGAGCACACGAAGTTCCATTCCATCCCACGAGATGACTGGAAGTACCGGGTGTCGTATGTCCACGATTCGCAGTCTTTGATGACATTTTCGGTGTCCAAGTAATGGCACGAGTCGATCGCTCGGGGAAGTTCTGTTAAGGATACGTTGGTATTGGGGTCTGTGATGTTTGGGAAGGTGGATTCTGGGATGTTGCACTCGTAGGGAGGCACTGCGGCGACGGTCAACAAGGTCAGCATATGCAAACCTGCCGTCAGGGCACCGATGATGTGCAGAGAGAACTGCCAACACTGGTATTTACCGAATTCACCCAGATGAGACATCAGCTCCTCCAGATTTCTGTCAACACTCGCCATGTTTGTTTGACTTGCTGCCGCGGTTACCGATTCGTACTCTTCGTATGCCAACTACAGTTTCTCTTCTAACGTGTAAAAGTCATTTCCAGTGGAGTTTCGCTAATTTATCAGTGGCTGTACCGAGCGTGGACGTGCACAGCAGCCTGTTCCAATGCCCACGGTGAACTGCTAAGACGGATAGCGACTGGTAATGTCTTTGTGGCTAGAGAATGCGTTGCACTCGATTTTTTATCTTTTTTTAAATTTATTCTCGTCCTTGGTCGTTTGATATCTTTGCGGTTTTTGCTAGACTTCTGTTGACGTTATTACTCGGGACATATAGTCTGAAAAGAAAAGTAGGTATTTATCAGACATTATGTGTTTCATCTGTAATTTAATGGTTTGGTGGAATTTTATTACTTTTTTAATTTAATTTCTTACTTTCCCTATTATCTAATATTAATTTATAATTTTCTAGCTTTCTGATTTCTTAAATTTCCATTTTTCTAATTTTTTAACTTTTTCATTATTTACGTTTTGACATGGCAAAATGAAAGTTATACAATTCGAAAATTTTGTGGCGTATATTATCAAAGTTCTCAAATGTAATTTTATCCATGATCTCTTTCCAAATTTATCAGGGCCATTAGTTCCACGATATATGAAATCATCGGGGTGTTAATTAAAGTATTTATTACACTCAACGAATATAGCCACTTACGAGTGAGACTTTAAATCGCTAAGGTAGATGAAAACTAATTTTATTAATACGGCCTTCAGGCAATCGAAATGTGAAAGTGAATACTGACAGATGCATTTAACTAACGTTCTCACTGGCTCTATAAACTTCTACCATATGGTAAAATGCGATACGTTATCGTTGTGTACAGTCATTCAGGATGTATAGTCATTTGTAAATCAAGTAGCAAACAATTTTATTCTATCGCGATGCTATACAGACAGTGGCCTAGATTAATATTTCCACACTATAAAATTTAATCCTTTTTACCATAATGACGTATAATTTAAGTGGTGATTGTTGTTATTCTTTGCTACCGTTTATATATTTTCCATGAACTAAATTTTGAAGATTTCACACTTGATACCATGATGTTATCTCGACAAGTTTGAATGATTTATCATCAATATCCAATGCCATAATTGCTCCAACTTGGTTACCTTAGTTTTGAAAGAGTTCCAATAGATAGTCTATTTCAACAGATAAACGTTGATAGGGCGAATGTCATAAGAGTTCAAGCGTAACGATATTATCTATTTGAAGTATTTCGTGATATACGATGGTCGACCTTCCGTTGCACCCGGAAAATTTGCACTGTGATTATCAGTTTCCTTGCCGTTGCTTTCCAAGCCGGAAATTTCTGAGATTTAATCGATCACGGAAACTAGTAAGAATTTATTCCACCAAGTTTTAAATAAATTTTTACTTAGAATAGGTCAGGATAATTTTCAAGTTCCAATTTATATTTAGTCAGTATAAAAATATTTAATGATTTAAATTAATTTTACCTGATTATTTATTGCAGAATAGAAATGAAATTAATAAAAAAAAAAATGATTGAAGCGTGTAAAAAATTATGTTAAATATTTTCATACCTGTAATGGTAATCGCAAGTTCCAAATAATATTTTTGAATAGTCCGCGCTTTTTCAAATAGGTCACGCGGTGCGACAGGTGGTTCCCGCGCACATATAAACGCCTCGTTCCCTTGCTTTCACTCAATCTTCCTTTCGATCCGCCGTCGCGCGGAGGAATCAGTGTCCGACGATGGTCATGTTCCTTATGAGGCAGTGAAACTAACGATCAATGCCAATGAACTCGCGTGGTAGAAGTGGAAACTAAATGAGCTGAAGTCACGTATAATCATTCTTCTATCGTGTATAAATTATCTCTGTTTATTATTCTTTGCGTACATAAAATCACACTAATGTGTGGCCTTTCTTATGAGAAGGCCATACACGTGACTCCAGTCTCGTGATTTTTAGATACATTTCGGGTCATCTGGATTTAAGATAAATTAGTTATTTTAGGCACAGTAGCGGATCCATAAAAAGAGCAATGGGTGCGATCGCCCTCAAAATTAAGAAATTAAAAAAAAAAATTAATTTCATAATACTATTGCTAACATATTTTTATCAGGTTATTTAAAGAAAAATTAATAATTTATTCAGAGATAGTGTAAATTGTTTTTTCTTTTTAAATACATAAATAATTTATGTGAATTTGATTACTTTGGATGAAAATAAATTGTAAACAAGTCTTAAATCTTGCAAAGAAGGATTTGCAAATATACTTGTTAATATTTAACATATTTCACACCCTCCCCAAGCAGGGATCGTGGATTCATCTCTTATCAGACGAAAGATTAAAAATGACAGCTGAAGAAGTAATTAAAATTACTTAATTACAATTTTAAATTGTATTAAAATGACAATTATTTATATTTTAATAACAGGGATCAAGCGTGTTGAAATTGAAGCGTTTTTGAAACTTCCAAAAATTGATAGGAAATAAAAAAATAAACTTACAAGTCCGAGCAGAGTGCATCCAGGAACAAAGCCGACACAAAGTCAATTAAACGACGAGCAGCGTCGTCAGTTTTTTAAGCTCGTAGTCAAGGCCCTTTGTCCAATTGCGAGCTGTGCTCCCAATTCTATCTTCGTAATTAATTGATGAAAACGCGAAGGTGCATCATCTAGAGACGCGGGATGCATGCTCGTTCATCGACAAGCGTCTTACGACTGGTATACTGTGTACCAGATAAACTGGAGCATACCGTTAGGAGACGTGTACACTTGGTACACGTGGTAATTGGTCCGCTGTCTTCCGATCACTTTGGAGATACTGTTGTTTGCATAAGGTACAACTATGTTGCAAGTTAAGAAAATTGTTGATTTACGACCTTTTAGATATCGATAAGTTTTTAGATAAAACTTAATACAATTTTTATAGAAGAGTAGAAGTATAATAGGTAATTTAATTCCATTTTAATTTTCGATCGCGCTATATCTCCGCCCCCACTATACACTATACCTTTGCAAACATTTTCCTACACCACCTGTGCCTTCACTTATAAAATAATTTAATTTTGAGAATAATTTATGAATTCTTAATTGAATTGTATATTTTTGAGTTTATGGCTATTAACACAAGGGGTGTCCAAAAAATCATGAACCTTATCTTCCATCATTTATATCTCAGAAACGAAGGCTCAGATTGGAAAATGGTAGAAGGCTATTTGGTTTTATTTATCGTGAAGAATTTTCAGTTTTATCTGCACATCTTTAGAGACAGCCTGTACAGAAAGATTCTCCTGCATTCGCGTGAGGTTGTCCAGGAAATGGAACGATTATTACGTCGTCGTGCTGGGTAATTTCGCAAGAACCGTAAGACGAACCGTGTATCGACATTCCAGGATAGTTGCGGAGCAGGAAGCGTCTGTAAAAGGGGATAGGACAACTTCGAATTGTGTCGATTAATGCAAAAAGGTCTTTGCAGGTGCATAGCGATCGCGGAAACACGGAATTGAGGTGTAGTAGAACTTCAATTACCCGAACAGATAAATTCTATCTTATCTTTCTACAGTTTACGTAAAAATAATGATAATAATAATAGTATTGATATGAATAAACTTGGAATTGACTACGCTAATGTAACGAAAGTATCCGAGCATTGACGAACAGAGCCGAGCCCTCTAGAAGCAGCTGGCGTTTCAAAGTTCCTGGTTATTCTAGGATGTTACCAGTCCAATTTGATAGTAAAAGCCCCATGAGAAACGATTTGGTGGAGAATATTTTTTGAAAATATAAAATTAACAAGGCTTCATAAAATATGCGACAGGGTGAAATTTTTAGAAATATGAGACATTCAGACCTTCTTCTAATTAAAAATTAGAAATCCTAATTAATTCAACAGTAAAGAACTTGTTGTCGTGGAAAAAACCGATCTAGAGGAATATTGGAGTTTTTAAGGGGGACCTCCCGTGGACTCACGTTCAGCCTCTAAGCTGATCCAATATACTTAAATGGATTTCCACACTGCTCTTGCATCGACGTCTGCTCAGTATCGTCGAATCGACCCGAAGGAATATTAAAAAATCACCAAACCACCGAAGAAATTTGTTAATCACTTCAAAGGAATCTTAAAAAACTTCTTCACAATAGGTCTATTTTGTGTTTATAAATTATTTAAGTGTTTCTTTTAAATTAATTACCATATTTGTTGCAGTTATTAAATGGAGGTTCATTTGTTTATTATAAAACAATGAAGGAATGATGCAAATTAAGTTCTTTTTTATTCGTACGATTAAAAATAGTGTATAAGTTGTTTCGATTGAAAAAATTGCAAAAATGTAAACTTACCTAGGTTGCAATGATTTTAAAGTGAAAAATGATGCAAGTTGCAGAGTAGAATGATTGGCAGCCGAAAGTGCGGTATCCGTCTGCCAGCGCAATCCGAGTTCCCGAAGCGCTCTGGTGATCGAGTCGGGTACTTCTTATTGGTAAAAGCTAACCAAGAAATGGCGGGGTCGAATAAAAATACACGGATGCCCTAAAACTTTGTCGTTCAAGGCTTACGATCGATCATGTGTCATCAAATTTTCTAGACTATGGAAGTGTGGTTTGCTAATAAAAAATTAAAGATCAAGATGGTGTACCCTCCATAGTCAAAATTTAAATTCGAACTTAAATTTATGTCTAATTGAGACTTTTGATAATTATTGGGATTCTCATTCATTTATGGAGTCATTTTCAGGTTAATTAAATTTCTCGAAGGTACATGGTATTGCTGAAGACAGTACAGTCTTTGGGGGCAGATGGGGCGACGTTGGGCTACTGCCCGGGGCAACGGGCGCCCAAGGGCGCCCTACATTCAATTTCTTGAAACAGGTAATAGAAAATGCACCATCTTTGAGCTGGAAAATTTTTATTTGCATTTGTTGTTATTGAGAAATTAGGGGTGGGATAGGGGGGTAGGGTGAAATGCAGGTTTCCAACTTTCTCTATTGCCAAGATGGAACGAGATGAAGATAACTGGAATAGCTCGGATTGAGGATCGAGTTATCGCGTGTTATTCATTGAGGCATCAGGGAGGTATGGTTCTCGTTATTCGATTATGCGATTTACTTTTACGACGTGGAAGTAGCGCAATGTAATGGGAGAAGGAGAAGCTGGAGGTCCAAGTGGATAATGACATCGGTGGATACGTGGTTGGTTTATCAGTTATTCAGCGAACTGACACCAGTTTCATCGCGACGGGTAACTGGCATTCGCGCGTTTCGTGCACTGATTTAAATTTTTCTATTTTAGGGGTTCTTCGCACCCCGAATCAATCAATACGTAGCGATGTACTAGTTCTTCAGATATTTCATTCGCATAAGTCACCAACCACCTGTATGTCATTGAAATCCTGGCATATCACAGGACACGGTAAGAAATGAAATAATTAATAAATAATTATACGCATGTATATACTATATTTTATTAAATTCAATTTTTCTAATGCCCATTGCTACCCACTTCAAAAAATCTTCTTAAGATCAAGTCCCATCACTTGTCATCCCCAATAATAAAATTTTATAACTTTGATAATTTTGTAAAATGTCTCATAAAATTTACAGAATATCAAAAAGAACCTTTATAAATAATATAGATCAAAATTTCAACTCAATATTTATTTCCTTCAGTTTTATTTCCAAATTATAAAATTGGAAATATTATATACACAAGTATTGGGACCAAAATTTGAAAATTTCTATGGGGCTTGTGTGAGCCTAAAACTGTGTTCAGATCAATTTCCAATCGATGACATTGAACAGGAAGTAGAGAAAGGAATTCATACAAGAGGCCGTGTAGCTCACTTCCGGACGGAAGAAGCCCTTCGATTCTTGAGACAGTGGCCACAGGACGAATCTCTTTCGAACGGTTGGTTACAATAGTAGATGACAGGGTTTTTTTCTCTCGTAAATGTACACCACAACGAAGGGTAACTTAAGATGGTCCTGTAGATGGAGCACGTCCTGTCAAAGGGATCGTATTACGTGTGCATATGCGCAGGATTTTCGATTCGCCCGTATCGAGGTGCCTCGGGAGAGATTCCCCCCTGAAGAAATTTGATGTCCTGCTCTGCTAGAAATTCGATTACCAAACTACATCAAGGTTACAGTAGCTCTTCATTAATGGATCCGACCTAAGATACCATCCGATCTACAGTACCGGTAGAAAGTTTAGTAGAAGAATTTAAAGGTGTGGGGGAGTGATTATAATCAGCTTACATTATTAGAGTAATTTTGGTTTTCTTTTATTTTATTTTTTTTTAATTGCTATTATATTGTTTCCATTGAAACAGTATAGTGAAAAAGATGAAAGTTTTATAAAATATTTCCAAACTTTAAATATAATTGTTTCAATGATTTGAATGATGATATCATAGATAGTATTCGCTATTATTCACATAGAAACCAGTCAGTTTCCTCTTTCACACTTCCTCAGACGAATCATCGTAAAAGATTGCAACGATGTTTCAAGAAGCACGGCTGTAAGTGAATCATCTCGGATTAGTTAGTTGATTCTGATTCTGCGAATTGAACAAAGATATTCAATCCCTTAGTGAATAAAAACTGTATGAGGGCATGCAGTTAAAATATCCGAAGGATATATTGATTTTGTACAATAGCTTCTTGTTTATTTCATTATAGGATAAAAAGATAGATTAGATCATTTTTAACAGTGGATTTTAAAATATATTTTGTCTTGATAAAAAGAAGAAAGAAGCTTTCATTATTATTAACTGACCATTATTTATTTATTGTTATTTTTAATTGGTCCTTTCGAAATTTTTAAACGAGAACAAAAAAGTTTCTTTTTGAATTATTATGGTATCTCTAAAATGACATTCTGAATTTAAAGGGTCTTCAATGACCCAGCATCCTTCACCCAGGGGTTAACAATCTCCGCTCCTCGAATTAAATTCTAAACTGTAATTCAAGGATCAAATAAACGTGACATAAATTCCAATTAATTTCAATATTCGTGCCCTTTAATCATTTTCATCATGGCCTATCGATCACATCTAATAACAGTTACGAGCGTGTACCATTGTTCCCCTCTGCCCGTCTTGCTAACATCGAGAAAAACGAGACACGCGTGCCACTCGCGATGCATGAATTATGAGCTAATTCCGAAGGAATTAGAGCGTGACGACGTGCCAGGTATTTGTTTTACCTCGTGCCCATAGAAATTGCCCCGGTGGTGTTTACACAGGGCTAATGGCACGCGCGTGTTCCCCCAGGCATTATTGAAACTGAAAACAAATCACGACGGGCGTATCTGTTCACACGTCGAACGTGTTACCGCCATTTTATAAAATCACATTTTCATTGTATTTTATTGTTATCAAAAGCGTTGTTCATGGAAGTATTCGTATCGAAGAATTTGTTATTTTCGAACCCTCGTATGACGGACCATGGAGAGAGTCCCAATTTTAATCCGCTGTTAAAGGGTTAAAAAGTGGCGCGAAAATACGATTCATTTTTTAAAAATAAATCTTCAATTAAAAATAAGGAAAACGCACAGAATTAATTTGCACAGCTAATCAATTTATAAATTGCAATAAAATGGAACATTTTTCTTTTTTAAATTGCACCTGTAATGCATTTTGGTTCCCGATTAAAATCACCGCGTAAAGAAGTGAAGTTAGCTCAGACCGGAAACTTTTGCACCTGACCACGTAATACCTCGATCGAGTAGTCGATCGTCCAGGAAGCTTCGAGCTACTTGCGAAGCCGAATGCGCGACAGTCGCGCGCAAAGCACCAAGCTGAGCAGGAGGTCGCGCGCGCTCTTCGCTTCCTGTTGATACACCGTCGCCAACTTATTCGAACAGTAACGTTCAGTGTCTTTCCAAGTGTCGAACGAGTCGAACTCTTACCTGTCGATTTCTTCGAGAATATTTTCACCACGTGGCAACTCGTGTTGCTATAACGCAACCGTTCTCCCGGTAGCTGTTCATGGTACGTACAAGGAAAATTCATCCTCCGATTCTTCTTTCCCATTTTTCTTTTGTTTTATTATAATAAATTAAATAATTTTTCTGGGTAAAATTGTTCAAGTGCAAAAGGTGCCATGATAATGGTTTTTTTAATAATTGAAATATTATTTATATTTATATAATATGTGGAGTTTCATCGTGGGTATTTCGTAATTAGTATTTCAAATAATTAATTTCGATTAATTATAAGTGTCGATAATTATTTTTGGATATTTGCTAATGGATTATTCTATTGTTTCTTCTAACGGGGAACCAGCCATTTTATATTAAGAATATTAAAGAAATCTTTTTGTAGTTGTATTTTTGGATTTTTAAGCTTCAAATTGATATGCCATATGTGCTATTTTGAGATACTTTTATCTCATGAAATCATGTCAAACTTTTTGTGTTTTAATATGCATCATGTAACATGCAATTCAAACCAATTGATAATCCATAATGATATTATCTAATAAATTTTAATTAAAAAAGTTATTCAAATTTTAAAGAGAAGATTGTTTCAACACGTGCAAAATATAATATTTAACAAATATTTAACATTATTTTTTCCAACAATTCTTAGTAAATGTTATTGCTAAAAGACATATTTAAACCAGTGACATTAGAAGTAAAAGTGATTTGGATTAACGGAATGTGATGCGTATTACGACATTTGGCATGGCACAGAATTCTTAAGAAATTTTCACAGTAATTGACATGCTATAAGCATTCGTCGATACCTTCTGTTGAAATCAGCACGTATCTTCTCTTTGACTACATTTAATTATCATAATCCTTTTCCTTTTAAAAAAATATAATAATAATAATATCTTTGTTGACAATCTTTATTACAATTTGTTATTCTTTACAGTTCTATTTAGAGAGAATAAATTAAACTTGGGGCTCTCTCCATGGTCCGCCGTCTGAGGATTAAAAAATCACATATAAGATATTTCACGATTAAGAGATTGCATAATTTTCCTAGCATCATTATGCTTATTTCCAACACTATTATTTGTTTGTATTGCTATGGAATTATGTGAATGTCACACGTTCAATGATACTCGCAAAATCCCATTGTTTCTTTAATACCCACAGGTGTATGTGTTATTAGTAGTTATGGCGACTATGGTATGATTCATTGTCAATAAAAGGTGATGAATAATTACAAGGATCCTTTCTGGCTCCACTCGTCTTTTTAACATGTTCGTTTCGAACGTGAAATTACTTTTAATGATCGGTTGCCTTCACCCTGTTTACACCGGCCAGGAAGTTTCACCGGGACAATGATCCAATGACGGTGTATTTCGTCATAGACGTAAATGAAGGATCTAACAGCATGAAAAACTTGCTGGTAGAAACTAATAAATACTTGGGCAAATAGACGGTGTAAAAAGCTCTTTGTTTACGAGCGACTTGGCATGCTCCGTGAACTGGTACATTATAGTTGCTCGTGAAAATATTCCAAGTAAAATAACAGTTTTGGAAATTTAGGAGCAAAATTTGGAGAAAATTAGAAAATAAAATTCTAAGGGATATTAATTATAGATAATTAATTAATGTTAACAGTGATCCAACTAAATATTTATTTAGAAAATATTAAATGGCAAGTTGGATGACAGCTAGGAATCATAAAAAGTAACTGCGGTTGTGAGTCACAAATCGTCGAATATAGTATAATTATCTCTGTTTTCAATGTTACGTGCGATTGTTCCTAGAATGCTATTTCAGAGAGTATTACAAAAAATACGTTTAAAAGATGCTTCCACTTACTTCCTCATTTAAAGAAAAGAATTATTAAAAACAATATTAATTTTTCAAAGTGATCCAGGTTCTTAATTTTGGCCTCTTGACTCATTGTACAATGTATCAAAAAACCAGAATACCAAATTACCGATATGTGATCGATATCGCAAACTGACAAAACAGATCCATATTGGAGACACCTGTAATCACAATGGTATAAATGTAATTTACCTCACTATCATTAATAAGAGAACATCTGTTGCATTTATATGCTCTACTATTAAATTTATCAGAGTCTTTTTTGAATAAAACAAAAGAAAAGGAAAAATAGACAATTTTTGAATGAAATTCATCAACCAAGAGTCATCAGAAGTTTGATGGCCTCAGGGTCCAGGAATTTTCATCCTCTCCTGCTTGTTAGTCCCTCCTCAATTAACGTTAACTTTTTGAATTTCAGGTTGGCGCATGATATGACCCAGTCCCGCGAGGTTTTGGCAATGATGGACGCGCACACAACCACGTTCGGTCGTAAAAGAGGCTGCACGGTGTCTCCGTGCGGTGCATTCCTCTTGACAGCAGCTTTCCTTATATCCTTGGTGGTCACCGGCCTCCTGGTCTACCATCTCGCGCCCTGCCTCGAGGAAAAGGACGCGAAGGCTTGCAATGATCTCAGCAACGCAGTATTTGAGTCACGTGGAATATTTTCTACAGATACTTCCAATAAACAGAAATTAGACGTCAGGTTACCGAGATCCATAGTGCCAGATTTGTACGAGCTAAGACTGATCCCGTTCATCTGGGAGGGAAACTTTACCTTCAACGGTGAGGTAGGTGTCTAACTTTATACAGAGCTTTGATATGTTTCTTTTGAAATAATTTTCTGTTCCATTTGATTAGAAGTTAATTACAATACAGGGTGTTTCGTTTAAAACAGGCCACCTAAATATCTCCTCTATCTCTGAAAGTACAAAAAATGTTTCTGACGTAATCTAAATGGTTTCAAAAGACAAATCAGATAGAAGAACCGTTTTTTATAAATTGTAATTTTTTAATCGTTTTTTTTTGAGGTAACTCGTGTTTAAATTTTAGAGTCCACGGTCACCTTCAAGGTCGTGCTATTAAACATGGATGAATGCATAATAATATTTGCTATAACATACAACAACAAAAAATGTGTGTACATACGTAAAAAACACGAGTGACCTAGAAAAAACGATTAAAAAATTACAATTTATAAAAAACGATCCTTCCATCTGATTTGTCTTTTGAAACCATTTAGATTACGTCAGTAACATTTTTTGTATTTTCAGAGATAGAGGGGCTATTTAGGTGGCCTGTTTTAAACGAAACACCCTGTATACATAGTTTTGAGGGTACAGTGTTTGGAGAATTGTATTAGCTTTGAAGATGGGGTGGATGGGCAGTCGCATATGGCCCAAAAGGGCAGAATTTATTTGGTAATGTATGTTGGAAAATTTAATTGAAAACTATTGTCGCATAGAAATGTAGAAATTTTGTAAATGACCAAACAGTTACGTTCGCATTAGCTGGAGTATTTGACCTCAGCAGGGATGCTCCTCTCCCTTCGAGTCTCTTTGCATATCCTTGAACGAGAATTTCCTACGGACACGAGCAGCATGCTGATTAACATATCTTGGTGATCGTGCGAAAACTGGTTATTCGATCGAATCGATTTCGTAACGGCATACGTGTTGCACGAAGCACCATGTAATTTTCTTGTGCTTTTTCCTGTTTCCCCTTTCACGAAGGAAAAAAATATTTATGCAATTGTCCGATGAATTTAGCATCAAAGGTGATTGGAAAAAAAAAGGTTCTATCCTGTTGACAGCTAACTTCTTTTTATTTAATATAATTGAACAAGCAAGAATTTTGCATTAGAATGAACACCATGAATATTAATAATTTATTGTATCATTTGTAGTAATTTTTAATTATTTATTTTTCTTAATAAATTTAAAATTTGACTTCCTTTTATTTAATTTTAATAACTCATTTTGATTATCATTAAATTTTGATACTTTAAATCATTAATGTTCATAATTAGCCTTGGGTTGTCAGTTATGACAAAGGAAAATGTTTTCAAAAGAATAATGCATTCGAGATGTCTTCTTCGCGACTGAATATCCTTGTTTCCCAAATTGATTATTATTTATTCTTCTGAGGCACAACGTAGTTTATACTAAATAAAGGAATTTATGCTCAAACGTTTAATATCAGTTGCGAAACAATCGTGTAACAGAGACCGGTTTCTTTCTTTTTGTACGTTTGAAATGATTGCAAAGAGAAATCGACAAGTTGCTCGTTGTTTCGACAGACAGAAAGAGTTCAAGAGCTGAATAATTAATACATCGACGTTACCATTTTCTTCTTTATGGATTCGGGCAAATTGAATTGTACCCTTTATACCCACAGGAATAAATAAAAATATTTGAATATTTTTAATGCATGAAGACAAGGGTGACACACATACTAAGGACGGCCCTGTTTGGTTCATTTCAATTATTTATAACTGCAATTTTTTGGAATCTACAGTAGGCTCTCGTTATATTGGCAGCTGAACGATTTGATTTCTACAGGGATTTTCAAGCATACTAGTGCCACTTTTTTACTATCTCCCCTCTATCCCCTCTATCGCACCCTATCTCCCCTACTCGCCACCAAATGAGAGCTTGGAAGCTTGACAAACTCCGCCCCTACAGCGCCGTCCGCGGCGATGTAACGAGAGTCTACTGCAGATAAAATGATGCATAATGAAATAATTGGAAAAAGTAATAAATTAATACTAACAGTATCCCTTTTTTATTTTTTCAGGTGAAAATCCTGGTGAACGTAACCGAGGACACTAGGAACATAACCCTCCACGCTGTCGACATGATGATCGACGTGGATTTCACGAACATCAAGGAGTACTCAGCAACGAGCAACAACAGCAACACGGTCAGAATCAGGGGTCAGAAGAACGACACTGAACGACAGTTTCACGTGATTAGAACGTCGGACACGTTGAAGAGGGGCAAACAATACGTACTGCATCTAAAGTTCGTTGGATATCTAAAAGACTACTTGCAAGGCTTCTACAGGAGCTCGTACACCATCGATGGTCAAACGAGGTAAATGGCCGAGATTGAACCATTTTATTAAGTATTATCTTCAAATAGAAGTTCACTGATCTATTTCGTGAACGATGCCAGGAAATTGCTCTGATCTACAGGACGCCTCAAAAAAGGTGGTCCTAGAAAGAAAGAAGAACACAAATATCCTTATGAGCTTCCTTTGAAAATAAGATTAATAAGAAATGAAAATTTTTAATCCTGCATCTCCATTGATGCATCGCTTCCCAAGGGAACCATTTTGATTTTTGAAAATGTGACTTTGGCAGATTTTGATAAGTGAGGTCTATCATGATTTTCATTACGTGTTCCAGATGGATCGCTACGACACAGTTTCAACCGACGGATGCGCGACGTGCCTTCCCTTGCTTCGATGAACCGGCCCTGAAGGCCAGATTCCAGATCAGCATCGCTCGTCCAAGAAACATGACTTCTATTTCAAACATGCCTAGAAAAGGGGAGCCTATGCCAGTGTAAGTAATTACACTCTTTGCTACGTTCCACTTTCAAGTATTAGCCAATTTTAACTCTCGGATGGCGGACCATGGAGAGAGTCCTAATTTTAATTTTAATTTGTATTTCATGTTATTTTCATTTTTTATTTTTCACACTGTTCCTTTGAAATTATTCTTTCTAGTTTCTTTTCTTGAGATGCATTTGCATATCTTATGGGTGCATCATTTTTGAAGCAGCCTGTATATTACGCGTAGGCTATCAAAGGCAACAATTTCGCACGATACGCGATATACTTCAGCTGTTTCGTGGATTGACATTGCTTCAACTGCTTGGACTCTCAAGTATTCTCGTGTGTCGGGTCGAATGTACAATTGAAACGAGTAGAATCTAGTTTCAGAGGAATTTTAGGGAATGGAGATGCTCTTCAATTTAGTCATTATTTTCCAGATCATGATCATCAATTTTAATTTATTTCATATTCTAAAATTTACATTGTTGTCATTTTGCATATCCCTAATAAATGAATATAGATGCTTAGAAATAAATTAAAATAATATTGTTAATAACAATTTTTTTCTTTTACATCAATATTTGATTATAGTATATTATTTGTAATTATGTTAATAACACAGCCATTAGTGCAAAGAAAAATTTCCTCATTCAATACCAAAACATTTATATGATATTTTTCACAGCTTTCAATCATATTTTTTTTTCACAATTTTTTCCTGCATCATTTAACTTCTTCAGGGACAAATCTATTAAAGTCGTTACAAAAATGAACTTAATACGATGCTATTTAAAGTGATGTCTGACAATGTTTTCATTGGATTAATTACCTATCTTCTCTACAATGTATTAAACAATAAAAAAATTATTAAATTTATTCAACATTTCCAGACAAACATTGTTTTGTTAATTGTTACCAGGCCTGGTTTACCATCATACATGTGGGACCATTATGAACGTTCAGTGCCAATGTCTACCTACTTGGTCGCCTTCATTGTCTCGGACTTTGAAGTGTTGAAATCCGAATCTGGGAACTTCAGGGTTTGGGCTAGACGCGAGGCTATCGAGCAAGCACAATACTGCTTGAAGATCGGGCCGAAGATACTTGAATACTACGAGGACTACTTCAAGATCGAGTTCCCTCTTCCCAAGATAGACAATGTAGCTCTTCCGGATTTTTCAGCTGGCGCTATGGAAAACTGGGGTCTGATTACCTATAGGTAATTTAAATATGATAGAAATATTAGGACACTTTATTTAATAGGATCATTTTGTTTCAGGGAGACCGCTATGTTGTACCAGGAAGGTGTATCAACCAGCAGCAACCAGCAGCGAGTGGCTACCGTGGTGTCCCACGAGTTGGCCCATCAGTGGTTTGGCAATTTGGTGACACCAAGTTGGTGGACGGATCTTTGGTTAAACGAAGGCTTTGCTAGTTATGTGGAATACATCGGTATGAACGCAGTAAGTTGATGAAAAGGATCATATTTACATGATGGACACTGGACTAAAGCTATATTGTGTCTTTTAAGATTCTTCAGCAGTAGTGTATCTATGATTTTCAAGATGATTCTATATTTATTTGAAAGGTGGAACCAACATGGAAGGTTTTGGAACAGTTTGTTGTACATGATCTACAGAACGTGTTTGGATTGGATGCCTTAGAATCTTCTCATCCAATATCCATCAAAGTTGGCCATCCGGATGAGATCAGTGAAATTTTTGACAAAATTTCATATGGCAAAGGTATTAATTGAAGTATAGTATAATAAAGGGTGCGCGGGTACCCGTACCTCGAGTCGGGTTGGACAGGTTCTCGAAATGTGATTAAGTAATCATATTTGTATTCAGGTGCTTCCATAATAAGAATGATGGATCATTTCCTCACAACTGAGGTTTTCAAACAGGGTTTAACAAATTACTTAAACGCAAAGTGAGTACCCACCTGTAATATTATCTTACAATACTTATTGAAATATTTATTTAAACAATTGAATAATTATGATTTTGACCAAAAATAGGAATCTTCATTTATTGAATGTTCCACTATTAATTTTCAATTTCTTAACAATAATTCATTTATCGTTAACAGGGCTTATCAAAGTGCCGAGCAAAATGATCTGTGGGATGCTCTGACCAAACAGGCCCACAAAGACAAAGTCCTCCATTCTTCCATAACAATAAAGAAGATCATGGACACCTGGACCCTTCAGACTGGTTTCCCAGTGGTCACTGTTACCAGAAATTATAATAACGGAGCAATAACATTGACCCAGGTTCGCCAATTGTTTCAAACAATAAATATTGCATTTGCATGCCTCATCTCTGAACCGCTATCAGCCCAGGGTATTTCATTCTTAGGAACGTTTCTTACTCCGGAATGGTACCACGATGGTCATAACCGACTCTGAACCCCTATGGTGGATCCCAATCACTTACACCACCGAACGTCAATTAGATTTCAGTACAACTCGACCTTCTCAGTGGATGAAGGCAGAGAAATCAATTACCCTATCCGATCTGGACTTGAGTCCTTCGGAATGGCTGATTTTTAACATCCAAGAAACTGGTAAGGATGAAACTTTATTTCCATTTTACATGTGCCTACTGCGAAGAGAAATTCAAGTACAGTCTCTGTTCGCAGGATACTACAGGGTGAACTACGACAGAGCGAACTGGCAAATGATAATCAAACAGTTGAACAAAGACTCCTTTAGGAACATCTCGACGATCAATAGGGCTCAGCTGATCGACGATGCGTTGAATTTAGCTAGAGCTGGGAAATTGGATTACGCTACTGCGCTGGATGTGACGTCGTATTTGGCCCATGAGACTGAGTATCTCCCATGGAAGGCTGCCTTCACTGCCATGCACTACCTGGACGACATGTTGATCAAAATGTCCAGCTATGACAAATTTCGAGTAACTATACACCCCTGCATAGATAATCCTTCATAAACCATTCGAATCCCAATAGGAGAACTTTCGATTGTATAGGTCGTCTCAAAAACACTGTACATCTCAAAGATGTTCCTTTACAGATATACGTGCTGAAGTTGCTGGACAACGTGTACAAGCAAGTTGGCTTCAAGGACAATCCTGGAGATCCTCAGTTGACCGTTTTCACTCGCATCGATGTATTAACATGGGCTTGCAATTTTGGCCACGAGGATTGTATAAAGAACGCTGGCAAACAGTTCTACAATTGGCGCAATACACCTAATCCAAACCAAAACAATCCGTGAGTCATGTTACATTGCAGGTTGTAATTTAACCTGCAACCCCTTGCTATTACACCCGGGCCGTACCTGTCACCCCCAGTCCCCACTCGTTAAGTTATAGCGCTATATTATTACATTTTGTTTTTTTTAGAATATCACCAAATTTGAAGTCAGTCGTATACTGCACAGCCATTCGAGTTGGCGGGCAAACGGAATGGGATTTTGCTTGGCGAAGGTACCTGGAAACGAATGTCGGTTCTGAGAAGGATCTACTTCTCCATGCTCTTGGCTGTACCCGGGAAACATGGCTACTAAGTCGTTATTTGGACTGGGCGATTACGGAGAATTCTGGGATTAGGAAGCAGGACGTAGGCCGTGTTCTTAACTCCGTGGCGTGTAACGCCATTGGGCAGCCACTGGCATTCAACTTCTTTAGGGATGAATGGGCAAGGCTTCGAGAATAGTAAGTCCTACTTCGAATTTTAAGGATTTCGGATGTAAATTTTGCAATTCTTGTATTCCCTTTAAATAATTTTTCAAATCTAGCCTTTGAATTGACCACTATAATTTAGTTTCCCCTCTACAGCACCCAAGGCGCCCAATTATCGTGCGGCCACTATACTACACCTCAAATACAGTAGCTTCTCGTTATATTAGCGATTGAGCTAGTTCTCTTTTACAGGACCAGTAAATGATTTAAAAAAATAGAAAAATTGTACTAAAAATTTGTATTTCAGCTTTGGAACATCCCTACTGACTATCAACAATATAATCAAATCAGCCACGAGAGCAATAAACACCAAATACGAGCTCAAAGACGTAAGTATACCACAAGAGGTGTGTTCTATTCTACATAATTACCAAAAAATATACTTTTCTCTTTAGTTATTAGACTTCACAACCGAGCACAAACAAGAACTAGGTAGCGCAACAAGAACGATCCAACAAGCTATAGAACAGTCTGAAGCCAACATCCGATGGGTGAACGCTAGTCACAGTATAATCTATGATTGGCTAAAAAGAAACACCGCGTAACTCTGACAAATATTTTGCATAAAAATGTTGAAAGTTTGTCAGAGAAAGTTCAGATCGACAGCGTCGACGTTTCGTCCCGATCGAACGGGAACTGTTTAAAGCGGTCTGCTTTCGAATTCACGAGAAAAGTATTAAATGTTTTTGTATGTTTTTGTAAATATGCGTCGAATGTTAATGCACAGTCAGTTAAAAAAGTTTCTCCCCACATTAACGTATTGTACTCCCATGAAGTATCGACAGGTTTTAATATCAAAGTGGTGGAACCAACGTATAATGTGTTAACGAAAGGTAACGTTTATCATTGAAACAAATCAACAAAAGAAGCATTTAAATATTAATTAATTGATTTATTCATTGTAAGAATTTATTTTCAACTTTGCAGTGATTTCTGATTAAACACTAGTCAATTATTAATTGAAATTTGTTTTTGTTTTGTTTCAATATAAATTGCACAACGCTAAATCAAATTTAGCAGAATGAATGGTGACTTTTTTGGCAGACTGTACACTCGGGTGCAACCACTCGAAGGTACAGTACCGAGAATGGAGGGCTTTTCTAGGGAAAATAACGTTGTAGGGAAAGGAGGCCCTAGCACTTATAATATTGGACATTTCTTCATAATTAATGTTAGTATTAATATTTGCAGGATTAGGATCTTGGGAATTATTATTAGTTCATTATAACAGTAATATAAATTTATTTATCACTTGAAAATTAAAATATCTTGCGCAAACTGAGCATATTGAGTGGTAGAGCCTCCTCCTTCTCCATCGCCATTTTTTTTTCAATGATCCCATCCATGCTCAACACTGTACAATCGAATATTTAGATATTTAAATAGAGTAGCTCGATTCCAGCCAATATATATTCAAAAGCTTATAATTTAAGTATTCGAATTCAGTTTATTGTGTCGAATCATCCATGTCTTAATGTGATTTATGATTTTAACATGGAAGATCAATGTTTTGTGTCTGAGATAATATGTTTTCGTTGTTAACAATGAATAATCGTCAATTTTGAATAGCTTTTGATAATATTATAACAAGTTTGAAACTCAAAACGTTTTTGTACTCATATCATAGGAACAAAATTAATTAATATTCTTGCGTGAATTATTGTAAATTACTTTTAGTGTGTTCAATATTTATTACAAATTTTCTAGTTTGATTTTCATTATGCACAACACGTATTTCAGGTGCAGTGGTGTCATCTTAATTACTATTATTTTTCCCCACATTTTTCAAAGTCCGTCGTGGGACAAGGATTTCAGAAATTTTCTTGACGTCCATCCAATTTTATTATCCGTAAGTTATCATAACTTTCAACTTCTATTTTTATTTCATGGGAGTTAAGCCAGTGATTACGGATCCAACAAGACCACAAGTTTTTTGTATTAGATGGCTAAAATTTCTGCAAAATTTAGTTCCTTTTTTACCACCAAAGGACGCTGATTCGACATTCGAAATTTAGTTGAAATTTTTCATCCCTTACATCCCTGCAACCTTTACATCTGTTCATCCCTTACATTCCTGCATCCTTTACATTCCTATATCCCTTAAGTCTCTAAATTCCTTATATCCCTGTATCTCTTGTATCCCTTATTATAAATATAATAACATATTATAAAAAATACATTTATGGCCACTGGTTCGCGTAAAGGTAAGTAAAGGTAAGTACAATCTCGTTCCCTTTTTTGCCGCCAGAGGGCGCTGATTCGAGGTCGAAATTTTAGTTCACATTTTTCCCGCTAGAGGGCCAATATCGATGCAAGGTTTAGTTCCTTTTTCCAAAACTAGATGGCGCTGATTCGACATCGAAAATTTAGTTCACATTTTTCCCGCTAGAGGGCCAAAATCGATGCAAGGTTTAGTTCCTTTTTCCAAAACCAGATGGCGCTGATTCGACATCGAAAATTTAGTTCACATTTTTCCCGCTAGAGGGCCAAAATCGATGCAAGGTTTAGTTCCTTTTTCCAAAACCAGATGGCGCTGATTCGACATCGAAAATTTAGTTCACATTTTTCCCGCTAGAGGGCCAAAATTGATGCAAGGTTTAGTTCCTTTTTCCAAAACCAGATGGCGCTGATTCGACATCGAAAATTTAGTTCACATTTTTCCGGCTAGAGGGCCAAAATTGATGCAAGGTTTAGTTCCTTTTTCCAAAACCAGATGGCGCTGATTCGACATCGAAAATTTAGTTCACATTTTTCCCGCTAGAGGGCCAAAATCGATGCAAGGTTTAGTTCCTTTTTCCAAAACCAGATGGCGCTGATTCGACATCGAAAGTTTAGTTCACATTTTTCCCGCTAGAGGGCCAAAATTTCGGCATGATTTACGAATGTAAGGAATACAGGGACGTAAGGGATGCAGTAATATAAAGGAAGCAAGGATGTAAGGGGTGCAGGGATGTAAGAGGTGGAGGGATGTAAGAGATGCAGGAATATAAAGGATGCAAGGGATGTAAGGGTTGCAGGTGTGTAAAGGATGCAGAGATGTAAGGGATGCAGGGATATAAGGGTTGCTGAAATGTAAGGAATACAGGAATATAAAGAATGCATGGATGTAAGTGACATCAAAATGAAAATAAATTTCAAAATTTTTAGAAAATATAACTTTATTTAATTCTCGATATAATTATTTGAGTTACATACAGCTGTATAAAATTTATCCAACTACAATTAACGCAATGTTTCCTAATATTTGTTCAATTACTTAATATGTACACGAATATTGTACATACTGTTGTGAAAAGAATTAATAAAGGCTGAATGGTAACTGCAGCACTGGAATTATGTTTATGTATGGCAGTAATTGCATGTTTCAATAAGCGATTGATTACTGGTGAGTTCGTTAAGTACCAATCTTCATTTTTCTTCGCTGTTTTGATTGCAGATTGCACTGCTGGTAGAAGGTTCGTGATATTTCCTACTTTAGTCTCAGCAAATGTGTTTAACTGCAAAATTCATCAAAATAATTAGTTACTGGACGTTGCTCGAATGGAGATAATGAATTACCTTTAAAATTTGACTTGAAGTTGAAACACGTGAAGCCACTTTGGAGATTAAATCAGCAACACCGTCCCAGTTACCGTAGCTAAAACAAAAATTGATTACATTTTCATCCGACTGATCAGTGGAATCGGAGCGCCCTCGGGCATCGGTCAGATGGACACCTGCCCGAGGTATCACCCTTACAATTAGAGCCCTCCTCCTTTTGTAAAAAGTAAGCAGCAGAAAGCGTTCACTTACTATTCGTATAATTTCTCGTAATCGTTCATCACGAAGTCCAAAATCGCGTCAACTCCATGTTGTCCAGCATTGTAAATTGATGCAAACGCTGCGCTAATATCTTGTTTGCGAATTTTTGAGGGGTATGTACGATCCAGCATGTATTGTATGTATCTGTAACGAACATTTTTATTTTTATTTCGTCTCGTTAAAAAAACCTACATTTTAGTTATGGCCGCTACTAAATTTGTAGGTTAGGTTCTGCACAATAGAAATTTTATGTTGCTGATGGTGATAATAGAAGTACAATTCCAAAAGAATAATTCTTAATAATTTTAGTAATATTTTTAACTTACTTGTTTAATAATATTTTGTTGTCAGTGCAACCGAAAGCATTTAGCATGACCATCTTCTCAGTAGCAAGATCTGTCTTCAGGTACTGTTCCCACAAAAAGTTCCATTCGGTGTCAGATCCACTTTTCAAAGCTGTACAATAAACGGCTGCTCTTGCGTTTGGCGAAATTCCGTTCCTGTTAAATTATTTACATATTTTCAAATAAAGGTCAGTTATTTACTATAAGCAACTCAGACATAACACGTTCGAGCCTGATTGAGTAGATCTACCTGTACCAGAGAAGAAGAAGTAGTACCATTTTAAAAAGATGTACAATCGTTCAGGCATGAAAATAGATGAAATTAATGATTTCATAACTTCCCTTGTCTTGACTGAACTGCACCACTTACTCCAGGCTCGAACACGTTAAGCTGGCCAGAATATAAAACTTACTTGTTCTTAACATCTTTGCGCCATTCTCTAAATAAGCTGGTAGACTGCGTTACACAATCTTTATTGCCATATTTGCATGTCCAAGTTAGGATCAGTTCCCTGTTCAACTGGTTAAGATGGGGTTCCGTGTACGAGTCCAGGAAGCCTAGATCCTTGTACCTGTTTGTCGTCAAAGCTAAAACGTAGTCCCGAAGCAAGTCACTGCCAATTCGCCCTTCGTATCGTTGTACAATAAAATTCAATGCGTTAAAGAACGCTTTCCAGGGCAAGTAATTTTTCTCCTTCACCAGGTACACTGTGGTGCCTATCGTTATGTTGTACGTCAGATGGCCATCGCGAGCCAGGTTGAAAGCATCATCGACGATTTGAGCACGATTTGTGAAGTGTATGCCACTATGAGTAGGTTCCATTAGAGCTTTGATCAAACGTAACCAGGAATCGGTGTCGTAGTTTACTCGATAATAACCGGACTGTTGGATGTTTATAATGAACCAGTCCACATCTCTCTTTAAATTGAGACGCAAGATATCTTCTCCTAACCATAAGTTTGTCGAAGTCTTCATGAAATCCGGTGTGTAGCTGTCTGTCATAGTTATCGGTATCCAGAAATCCCCGGAACGTTTATACGTGGAGTAATGTTTCTGAAATCAATAATTTGTGCAATGGATGTGGATAGTTGAGGAAGAGTCTAGAAAGAGCCTAAGAAGAGGCAGGGGGAGATAGTGTAGAAAACTTATTAGAAGAGTAAGCAAAGACTGCGGAGAGCTTGGAAGGAGCCTGGAAAGTGTTAAGGCAAGGAGAACCTGAAGAAAATTAGTGAGGACCTAGGGAAAACTGAAGGGGGTTGTAGGAAGCGTCAAGGTAAAGCCTATGGAGAACTTAGGGAAAACTATGGCAGATCCTATGAAAGAGTCTAGGAAAGACCAAGCTAGGGCTTGTGAGAATTTGAAAAGAGTCTACAGAAAACCTAAGGAGAGCCTAGGGAGTGCCAAGGTAGAACTGCGTGGCATAGGACACAGGTCGAACCTAGGAACAGCATTACAGCTATGCCCGGCTTACTACTTGCTGAACGTCCTACTAGCAGTATGATAATTACCTGAGTTAGCTTTAGGGTGGGGAAGTTATACTCTGCAAGCACAATTGGATATCCTGGTTTATTGGTCCAGCCGTCCATTAGCGATTCAAATGTTATGTTCCATTCCCCTAAACCACCTGTTTTGTTCACCTCTCTTGTGAAATGTTTCCAAAGGTCTTTTGGAGTTGCTGTACTATACCGATGACGCGTCAAATAGTTTGATATGACGTTTTTGAACACTTCTTGCCCAAATGTTTTTTGTATCATTCGTATCACGCTGGACGCTGGAAAATCGTTATTGATTTCGTGATATAATTCTTTATGTCTTTCATAGACAATCACTTACATTTTCCATAAGTAACGGTGTCGAAGACTTTTTTTATTTCCGAAGGTTTGCTAACAGGATTGTTCATAGGGTGGGTCGATGACGAGGCGTCGTTTAGCAACGCCGGTTGTAAATCGTTGACGACGACGAGATGCTGGTAGTTATATTGAGGTTGATACTACAATTGATTTATAGCAAATACGTTAAGGACATATAATGTGAACAAAAGATGTTTTAACTAGAATGCTTACCATATCCGAAAGTCGCCACTGCATGTATTCCGCGAAACCTTCGTTCAACCAAATGTATTCCCACCAATCGCAAGTGACCAGGTTTCCAAACATCGAATGAGCCAATTCATGGGCTATTATGGTGATTATATAATCCGTGTATTTAGCCGTTGTCACGTCCTTTTCATAGAAAAGTCCGTACTCTCTGTATAATATAATTAAATTCATTTTATCAACTGCATCGGCGATTAAATAACTAAGTAACAGCTAACCTACAATTGAAAGCTATTTAGTTGAAAATTTCATATAAATTTAAAGGAAATTCATGGATGTTTTGATAACTACAGATTCTCCGTGCCAAAATGAATCGAAAAGTCCTGAACCATTTTACAATATATAGTTTCCTTTGCGAGATATAAACGATTAAAGCTTAAATATGGACATCCGGCCGCCATGTTTAAACGCTGAGGGAGTAGCTGATCACGTGACCACGCGCATGCGCATGCCACCTATGATCCCACCCCGGAGTCCCAACTTACTAGCTTCCCAATTAATGGAAACTTCAACTATAATTTCATTTCTATTAATTTTACCTAAATGTGACGAGTCCCCAATTTTCCATGGCACCCATTTGGAAGTCTGGAATTCCTATGAGGTCCAATTTCGGAAATGTAAATAAATGTTCAGTTTCCTCGAACAAGTACTGAAGTATTCTTGGAGCAACGATTTCTGCTAATTCGCCCTTTGCTACAATCTCAGGCCGACCCCACACATTTGTAGATTGTAAGGAAGTTCTCAATTTTTGGAAATCGCAGACGACGAACGCAATCAGATACGATGACATATTCAGCGTTTCCTTAAACGTATCCCAAACACGGCCTGTGTTACTGAAAATATAAATGCAAGAAAAATTCACAAATGAATTTTTAAGCGTGACATTGACAAGATAATAAATTACACAAATATTTCATCATTTGTGTGGTGTCATTGGCATACTCACTTTGACGGACGGGTGCTTGAGAGAGGCATATTGCTGAGGGCAACGTAATCCGTGGGTCTTTCCATTTCAATCACAAATTTAGCTTTCATGGCCGGTTCATCGAAGCATGGGAACGCTTGTCTGGCGTAAGTTGGTTCAAACTGAGTCGTAGCCAACCAACTGTAAAACAATATTGTTAAAAATGTTTAAATTTTGATACTTCAGCAGTTTAACACATCCGATCCCAGGGGGAGGTCTAAAGGGGGCTACAGTCCAGGGCCACCTTTTAAAAAATATTTTTCGTGCTCCATTTTAATGTGATTAGATGTTATTTAATTTTATTTAGAATAAATTTCAATTTTGAACCAAGTTTATAGATTTAATAGCACCGTGGCCCCAGAAATCTGAATCCCGTCCTGATCGATCTCAAATGTGTTTTAAAATCTCAAAAAATTCTTTTCTCATTTTCTTTACTACTTTCTACTCACCGAAGTTGTTTCTTACTATTGACATAATGACTTCGATAAAATCCTTCCATATCGTCATTCAAATTACCGGTGTACGTAATGTCGACGAACAGTTTGTCACTTTTTATAAAATTCTTCATAAATATCGATAGTGTCTGTGTATTGGGGTTCAGTAGCCAACTGCTTACTTGCAATGGTTCAGAGGGATTTTGATATACGGATACGTCCTTGATGTATAGTTTATACGCGTTCACGACTATACGAGATACATCGTCTCTTTTACGCTCTATTTCGATCTTCACCCTTCCGGTAAACGTGAAGTTCCTCTCCTCGAATCCAGGAGACAGAGAGATGTTATATTTCAACGGTGAAAATGTAGACGGCAGTCTATAGTCCTCGTGAGAATATTTGGTCTCGAACCATTCGTGTAGCATAGGAATATGTCTCTCCGCCCATTTCAATTCATAGTCCGGGTCATTTTTGTACGAGTTCAATGTGTTTTGAGAAGTTGGATCCTTTACACTCAGCCATTCAAGCAAATTGGTGTACTGCAAGAAAATGTACAATAATATTCTACCACTTATGACGTATCGGTATGAAATTTAATTAAAGATACTAATTACTTTATTATAAAGCTTCTGGGTGAAAACTTTCTTCCCTATTGCGCTTACTATACTGCGCACGCTGGACTCTTGCCTAAAGCTGTCGAAGTTATCGTGAAATTAATAAAAATCATTTTTTTTTCAATCATGTTGATTCACTTACTATTTGACCATTTTTTCGTAATTATTTTTAACAAATTCGATGACGGTTTCAACACCCTCTGGGCTGGCGTCCATAACATAAGAAAATACGCTCGAGCTATCCTCGAATCGTATGACATAATCCTTTGTTATTGCTTGATGAAGTAACCTAACAAAAAATGAACACAAAGGTATTTAAAAAATTGAACACCTTTTTTTGAAGCATCCTGTAGATGGTTACTTACTGATCGAGAAGGACTTTGTCCGTGGTGCAAGCTAAAGATTGAAGTAATGTCAACTTGTGTGCAGGGAATGATGTTATTTTATAGAGGTCCATTAAAAGATCCCAATCGGAAAAACTGTTCCTTCTGGCAACCGTGCAATAAACTACGCTGTAGTAATTGGCCTGAATCCTATAAAAAATCATTTTGATAGAATACATTTATTAGTAAAAAAATATTTGTATATTTCTTCCACCGACTATACATGTGACTGTATAGTCTGTGGAAACAACATAGCATAGTAATATTATTTTTAAACTTATAGAAAGTCATACAGTACTTACGATGCGTATTTGTTGCTTGAAGGGTTAAAACGCCAATACGACCAAGCTTCTTCTTCACAGTTGCTTATATTTAATTTACAAGCCCACTTGCGAACGTGCGATCTGAACAATTTAGTTACATGACTGTCTGTTTCTTTATCTTCGAATCCCAGTTTATTGTATATTGGAAGGAGCAGTGAGCTCGCGTATCGCTGCAAAATAATTTTATCAAATTAATAATGCAGTAGACTTCCCCTCCATAAAAAATTTCAAGCATGCTAATGTTGCTATTAAGAAGAACGGATAAATTTGATGGGGTACCTTGAAAGCACCGTACGCGTCTCTTTCTTGCATATGTTTATGCAAATAATTGAAGTTGTTGAAAAATGCACGCCATGGAATGTAATCCGTCTCTTGGGTCAAATATTGCGTAGCAGAAAAAACAATGTCATAATCAACCATCTCTGCCCTGCCTAAGTTCATTAAATCATCGATCAATGAAGCACGATTAATCTCGTGAATCTTCTCGCGTTGGTCGCTCTTCAAGACGTTGATTATTCGTTTCCAGGTTTGGTTGTCGTAATTCGTACGATAGAAGCCTGAAAATACATCATTTTTTCGAATTAGAGTGATACAAGCTAGTGCAATATTAATGCTAGAAGTGTCAGCGTTCGATGTACAGTGTCGAGCATGGTGGGCTTCCCTAGGGAAGATGGCGGCGTTCGAACTCCCCCCTCCCATAGGTTTCCCAGGTTCTGGGGTTCAGCGTTCTTCCCCTTCCCTGGGTTCCCGCCCCACCTCGGTGGTTCCCCTTCCCCGTCTGCCTCTTGAAGGAGGCCCACAGAAAGAGACAAAGTATGGGAGTCTACTTTGCTCGATACTGTACAGTTTTAAATTGAAAATAAATAGGGTTAGAAGGTCTGGAAGGTCAAATGGACAGGTGACTCATTCTATAGAGGAAATAATAAATTGGTCATTTACCAGATTGTTGCAAATTCAGCAAGATTAGATCATTTTTGTTTGGCAGAGAGTCGGTAGTGTTCTGCAGCCAGTATCTTGGCTTCGTGTCATTGAAATTTAGGGTGTTCAGAGATGTCCAACTGATAGGAGTGTACCATTTGGCTGCAGAGACCTTGTCCTTCCCTGGCTTCAGGATGAATCTTTCTTGTCTGAGGATCACATAATCAGGTTGAACGGTGACATGGATAACAGGGTAACCAGATTGGTTGGTCCATGAGTTCATAATTGAGTGAATCTCGTTCTTGACGACTGGATCAGTAATCTGATCTTTGAAGGCATCGGCCAAGTCCGTCGGTGTTGCTACGTCGTATTTCCTGGGAGATTAAAAAGTAGTCAGGACATACGTAATTAATGAGTTCAGTGCAACCGATGTCTTACCGTTTTTCAAGATAATTGTGAAGTGCCTTGAAGAATACGTCGTTACCCAATGATTTCTCCAACATTCTGATCACGCTAGCGGCCTTGGCATAAGATATGGTATCGAATATTCCTCTGATTTGCGTTGGGCTGTAGACATCATGGGTCATGGGGTGAGTGGAGGCTAAACTGTCCGTTTCTAAAGCCGAGTGCAGCTGTTCCACTACGAACTGAGCTTCCAAGGACCAATCCTTCTTCACCTGGTAACGGGAGCATTGTAATAACTGGATTAACACCTTCAGCTGGATGCCATCATAAGATGTCAAACGACTTTCATAGCTGCTACACTTACACTGGCTGTTCCATGATATTGGAAGTACCTAGCAAAACCTTCATTTAGCCAAAGATACTTCCACCAAAGAGGGCTGACATAATCTCCAAACCACTGATGAGTGATTTCATGGGAAATAACATCGATGATGCTCTGTTTCGAGTCTGTCGTTGATTCATCACCTTCCAACAAATATCTTTCTTTGTAAGTCAACAGACCCCAGTTCTCCATTGCACCTGACACGAAGTCTGGTAATGCTACCATGTCCAACTTGGGAAGCTGGTACGGTATTGACAATGCTTTCTCATAATAACTGACTAAGGGCTCCATCACAGACAGGGAATAGTTTGCGTATTTTATCGCCATTGGATTTGTCCAGACAGCATATTTTCCATTGGTATTTCTCAGTACTTTAAAGTCGGACACCACTAGAGCCACCAGATACGTGGACATGATAGGAGTTTCCTTGAATAGAAGCGACCTTCGTCCATTTCTGTAAATGGAAATTCACGTTGATGAGGGCGCACGAGAGTTGTAAATCAGATTAAGAAGCGAAAGGCATTCAGCTGCGTGACCTCGAGAAACTTTGGGAGTGGGGAGTACCCCACCACTCCCAACGAATCGCCCGAAACGAAAACGCATCTCGAGCCCGTAACGTGCAAAAACGGGCACCAACGGGCGCCCGTGCCCACCTTGCTACTTCTAATCGCCTTTGTTCTGAGTTACCATTCTCCTTCAAAAATCTACTTAATTGAAGCGTCAGAGGGAAATAAGATACTTACCCATGATCTACGGTGTGTTCAATCGGCATGTTGCTAATGGCACTATAATCTCCTGGCACGGTTACATTGACCACAAATTTGGCTTTCATTGCTGGCTCGTCGAAACAAGGGAACATCTTTCTTGCTCCGACTGGTTCCATATGAGTGGCTGCTAACCATCTGTAAAAGGATAAGTGTCATCTTTAAGCGATGTAAATAATTACAAAGGGCTACACTAATGACGTTCTCAAACTCAAAAGCAGGTACTGTATGCTACCTCTTTTAAAAATTGTTCGTTCCTACAATTATATTTATGGCAATGTATTATGTCCACTATAATAAAACGTACCTTACTTTACCATAAAGGTCGAAATACCAACTTCTATAAAATCCTCTCATGTCCTCGTTCAAGGACCCTTTGAACCCTACCACGATGGTCACATTCTGTCCAACTTGCAATTCTTGGGCAACTTCAATCGTCAAAAAGTCATATTTTTTATCAACAGTGAAGCTCAATACAGCCACAGATTTATCCCCTACGAGTACATTAACATTGTCGTGGCTAAGGTCTGACGAATGTAAAACGATCGTTTTTGTCTTTTGCTTGACCACAGTGTCGATCCTCACTGTTCCGTCGAAGGTAAAATTGTCAGCTTGGTTCACGTCCGTTTTGACATCAATATAATACTTAGAAGGACTTAAATTTTGAGGTAAACGATACTCGCTATCTATTGGAGGTGGGTTCTCTTTATCGTGTGAGTCTATCCACGATATGATGGGATCTATGTTCTTCTCAAACCACCATAATTCGTACTTTGCGATTTCCAGGGCATTTTGTAGAGAGGTTTGGATACTTTCGAATTCCACTTTACGTCGTTGGATTAAGTTGTCGAATTTGTCCACCAATTGTTTGGTTGAGAATCGCTGAGAGGCTGAGGAGAGGACACTCGAAACTAAACCTAGTCCGTTGCTGAAATACATAATTAAATTTTCAATTTTAAGTGGATATAGTCATCCTTAGTAGATTTTCGTTATATTGCCAATGGAGCCACCATTGGAGCCAATTGGTATCAGCGTAGCCACCATAGTGGGGCAGAGACAATATAATTAGTCTACTACATTTTTAATCATCCATTACGTACTATTCCTTCATCTGAGCATGGTATTTATCGACGAAATTTAGCACGAACTCTGCACCCCCTATACCGGAACCATAGACAGCTGAAAACACTGAAGTACAGTCCTGTTTGCGAATTCTGGTCTCTTCGAAACTCTTCAGGGCGGAAAGGAGATATCTGAAACAAGGAGACGATACTGTCTTAAAATAACATTCTTAATGAGATTGTTGATATTATTTATAACGCTGATGTCCTTACATCTCTAAGATCGTGCTGTTATTGCTGCATCCAAGAGCTTGTAATAAGGTTATTTGATCATTGGCAGAATTCGAATTGAAATACTGATTCCATAGGAATTCCCAGTCGTCCTTTGATCCATATTTCACACCCATGCAATATGCTACTGATCTCTGGTTTGGTTTGATTCTGTATAAAGAGCAAAATTAACCAATGACTAATCAATGAACAGATCATGTTATTATGAATATATTATAAATTTAATAATCTTTTTACGTTGAAGTGTTGTTCTTCCTCCATTGTTGGAACATGTTAGTGAAAGTCTGAATGCATCCCTGGTGGCCATAATTACAGGCCCATTTGTTTAATTCCCCTCTCAATAATACTGTCAATCTGTCATCATTGGGACGATCCAGATACCCCAGTTCTTTGTATCTAATTTCGATAAGAACAAGGACAAATTTCTGCAAAAGAAAATGGATCATGCAATTGATATTTCTATTTAGGTAAACTTCATATGTAATAGGATCTCGTTATATTGTCACACAGGATGTTACAGGGGCAGGGCATTCATAGAATTGTCAATATACAGTAGCTGCTTGATAATTTGCCGCCTTCAGGACTTTGAAATTATAGAGCGTTAGTTAGGTCAGTTAGGCAATAGAGGGATACGCGCGCATGCGTGGGTGATGCATAGGAAGGGGGAACTGCCGTGCGTCATTGGCCAACTAGGCGAGGGAGTGGGGCGCCGGTGCATGCGTACGGGCAGAGGGCGTTCCCAACAGCGAATTATCATACGGTTACTGTAAAACGAGCTCATTCTAGGTCATCAAACTATGACATGTGTGTTTAACGAGAAGTGGTAATCATAAATACTTAATTAGTGAACGAACCTTAAACTGTTTGTAATATTCGGCATGTCCAGATAATCTTTGATCAAGATACGATAGTCCAGAGAACGCAGATTTGAAAGGCAAATAATTTGTTTCGAATTTAAGATACTGCAGACAATCAAATGTTATGTTATACGAGAGCATACCAGCTCTTGCTAGATTCAAAGAATCATCAACCAACACTGCTCGATTAAGCACATGAATGTCTGCATAGTTTTTGCTATTTAGAGTTTCGAAAATGCGATACCAAGATGCATAGTCATAATTCACTCGGTAGAAACCTGCAATCAATAAAATCAAAAAATTTTTATTTTCTTCCTTTGCAGAATTATTTAAATAGTATAGTATTTAATATTTAATATTTTCAAGAAGTACAATAACCTGCATTGTATATCTTGTGCAATAATAAATAAGGTGCAATTTTATGAAGATAATGATATCTTGTTATCGTTGGTAAGTCGGGTGTATGTAAAATATTTAATCACACTTTATCTTTGTATATTAAGAATTCTATTATCGTGAATGATGTAAACTTTGGAAATGATCTTTTTTTCATTTCATTATCATAGAAAGCCCCCCCCCCATAACGCCATTTTTCTCAGATCTTTTCAGTAGTAGACCCTTCTATCTCTACACTGCCCTTTTCCCTAGGGAAAGCTGCTATACTCAGTATCATATAGGTATTACTACTTACCTGATGATTGAACATTGAATATCACCCATCCTGAACTGTTCCCAACATTAATTGTGTCTCGTTCCTTGTTCAACCAGTATCTCGGCTTCACAACATTAAAGTTTGGATTCTCTTTGGTGGTCCAACTGAGAGGTACCCACCATGTCAGGTTCGTAGGTGTCGATTTTAAATTCCTCAAAAAGAAACGTCTTTGTTGCAGACTTGCTACACCCTCTCTGTTGATGGCTATGTTTAGAACCGGATATCCAGCTTTCTCTGTCCATGTGGACATGATTTCACGAACAGTGGCGTTTAGAGACTGATTACGTTTGTTGATCTCCTTCTGAAATTCCTCCCATAGATTCTCTGGTCGCGCTACCTTTGTCTCTTTGCTGCAACAAGTATAAAATGTTACGTACATCCAACAAAATCATTTAATGAATTTGATAATTACTTGTTGCTCAGATAATTTTGCAGGCTAGCTTCGAACACGTCGGATCCGAATATGAGATTCATCATTCTTACGATGCTGCCACCTTTGTTGTAAGTTATGGTGTCCCCTATTGAACTAAGCTGCTGGGTATTGGAAACCTCACGACTCATTGGCTGAGATGATTCGACCCCGTCTGAAGCGTAGGCTGTCTGATGCTGTTCTACTACGAACTGTTCCTCCAAGTTCCATGTTTTTTCAATCTGAAAAATATAGCGTAGCAGGTGTACAATTTTCAGATGACAATGTTCCACTTTCATACAAAACCTAAATTATAAAATATAACAAGAAGATCATAATTACCTGTGCAGTGCCAAAGTACTGGAAGTACCTAGCGAACGCTTCGCTCAGCCACAAGTAGCTCCACCATTCAGGAGTGATCATATTACCGAACCACTCGTGAGTCAATTCATGAACGATTACAGTAGCGACGGATTGATTAGCATAATCGGAAGTCGAACTGTCACATAGCAATCTCATTTCTCTGTAGGTGATGATACCCCAGTTCTCCATCGCGCCAGCTGAGAAGTCTGGTATGGCAACCATATCCATCTTGGGGATGTTGAAATCTTGCTTGAACAATCTGGACAGGTAAATAGTGGCGTCTAGACTGAGGTCCCTGGCATACATCGCTTGACGAATGGCATTGGGCCTGGCCCAAATGCTTAAGTTGCCTAATTGCAAACTTTCGAAGTCCGAGATGATGAAGGCGACCAGATAAGTGGACATAGGGATACTTTGTTGAAATTCGTCCCAGGTTCCTTGTGGTCTGTACAAAACCAAAACAGAAATGTGTCAGGCCGAATGTACATTGGGCGAGTAATTGTGTCAGCATATGCTGCCACTTCCTGAAGAGGAAGAAGGTAGTCCCCCTGGACAGTTGTCCTTCCTCGACCCCTTATTTTTCCAAAATTACTTACTCTTTATAACTTTTATGAAGTGGCATGTTGCTAAGAGAGTTGTACCCCGGAGGTCTTAGAATCCTGATTGTAAACCTTGCTTTGAAACTTGGCTCGTCGAAGCACGGGAAAGCATGTCTCGCGTGCGCTGTTTGGAACTGCGTCGTGGCCATCCATCTAAACCATTTTAAAAAACATATAGGTATAACATTATTGACGATTGTCAGAATGGTAAGATGTCCTATGAGTTTTGACCAAATGCTCGAAAGGACTTTTTGCACAGAAAATCTACATTAACGATTTACCTAATCTTCCCATTAGAATCGATGTAAGAGCTCTTATAGAATCCAATCATGTCGTCTCGGAGCTTTCCATTGTACGCGATGTTGATGGATATTTTCTCTCCCTTATTCAATGTTCTGTTAAGACTGATTTCATATTTCTCTGTAGTGTCGTTGTATCTGGAGGGTGTTTTATTTATCGTTTGATTATTCCAGTTAACAGTTAGCGTCGTTATATTGACACTTCCACGATGAAGAGTTACGGTGTCGGTCAACTGTTGCACTATGGCATTAATACTCATAGACCCGATAAATATGAAGTCACCCCCCATGGTTGGTATGAGATTGATCTCATAACTAATGGGTATAACCGATTTTGGTAATCGGTAGTCGTAGAACGTAATATTCTCTCCATCTTCGACAAATGGTTCTGTAAAATAAATTATTTCTTTTTAAATATTAATAAAAACACAAGGATTAATGAAATAAACAGACATAAATTTTTTATTAATTATTTAAATTTTAACACTTCCTAAATTTTTCTATTAGCACTTTTTATAACTATTAAAATATTACTTTTAATCACCAATTAGTGGCTCATATCTTTTTTTAAATTATTAATTATATGTAAGCTTTATTAAAATTTGTGTCATTACCTTGATTCCCCTTTGTTAATTGAAATCCAGCGACCACTAAAAGGAGAACTGTAATTGAAGCCCAGTCCTGGATGAAATTCATGATGTCCCCTCGCTGTTCCTTTGTTTAATAACCTGCATAAAAACATTGCAAAATATTTAAAAATATTATAAATCGAAAATATTCTCATATTAACGAGAATAAAATTATAGAAGTTGTTATTAAATGTACTTGAAAAAGAGAAAAATAACAAATTATAAATAAATTCTAATTGCATAATTATAGCAGTAAAACGCACACGAATTATTCAACAGGAAATTGTTTTATATATTTTGATAACTTCAGATAACAAATTCATTGAAAAATAATAAAATGACAAACACAAGTGCAATAAGAAAAATATTCAGTAACATATATAGAATTTTTTAATAATAATTTATTGATATAGAATGAATTGAATAAAGAAATTTTTTTTTTATGTAAGAGAAGATTTCAATGTTTATAAATTTCTTCGGTATTATTAATTACAATTTACCTTCTTTGTACTATGTATTACAATTTGTTTAGAGCGAATTTAGATCTCGTTGAAACTTGTGTTAGTAGATTACAATGTAAATGCAACCTGTTCTCTATTTTTAGTCCGTACTTATCAGTAGTTGTTTGGTGTAGACATCAAACAATTACCAGATTCGACAATGAACTTGTTTTCTTCAGTTAATATACAATTTATTTATTATAGAAAAAATCAAATTACTACAAAAGTGACTATGGAGAAAATAATACAGGATGTTTCTTATAGTGTCTCTATGGGATATTCTGTAAACTCTAAATACTAAATATTAAATTAAAATTTAAAAAACGTTTTACTTCTTTAATATATGAAAGTAGTATCTTCTATTTTATAAAATTATCTTTTTCTGAAATTCAAAATAAAAATACTACCCTTTTTTTAAAAAAAAAAAGAACACTAATTAAAATATATGTACATTCCCGCCCTTCCCCGTAAGCATCCCCGAGGAAAATGACAATGTAGGGGAGTGGGCCCCATAATATAGGTCTGTAGATCCCCACCACTTGCGAGTAAACGTTTACGCGGGAAATTTGAATTGATATTTATTTATTATTCATATTTCTCAGTTACATATTATGATATTTAATCATTCAAAATCATATTATTTTGTTTCTAAATTACTTTTAATATTGACACCGGCAAAATGAACATTTTAAGAATTCCTATTTCCCCTATATCGTCATTTTCCCTGAGAAAGTCTGATTTGCCGCTTATTAATTTATTTTCTTGACACTTTCCTTATTGAATATTGACAATTTCATGAAATACAAACTAATGATGACAGTTTCGAGTATTGGGTACTTTCGTGAAAAGGATAGAGTACTCACGTGAAACTGTTACAAGACATAAAAATAAATGATTAAATATTTATTCAATAGAGATAACAATCCGATGCGATAACTCGTTCATTTCACTGAATTTATTAACAGATGGAAAGGTACTGATTAAACATCGCGAATGTTGATTAACGATATTACGTTTTTAAAATTTACAATGTCTAGTTTATTAATATTTGAGTGTAAACAAAGATTATATCATTTTTTTATCAAGAATGCAATAGATATTAAATAAAATTTTCCGGATTAAGGGTTTGCACCGAGGTGTACACTATATTGCTACCCATACTAATTCAAAAACTGAAATGTTTTAAGGAGCTCAAAACAAATTGAAATTGAAATTTCCTCTCTCCATTGCATTTTCCATTATTTTTAAAAATATTTCTAATACTATTTTTCAGTTGCAAAATATCCAAATTATGAATTGCCTAAATCTATGTATGTACTGTCATTTTACAAAAACTATAAGGTCCTCTACTTAAGAGGCCTCTTTAATTAAATTCCCCATCACTTGCATAAATTTTCTAATCTCCATGCACCAAAATTCTGTGGCCTTTCCCTCTTGACCATCAACAAAATTAAAAAAATAAAAATAAAAGTGAACTTACAAAACTATCTTTGGGTACTAACAAACTCGTCTTTCAATCATCTGTCTTCATAGTCACATCCTTCGGCAAGATACTACCAGTGTCAATGCTGAATACAGGTAACTTCGAAAGTGAAAGTCACTTATCGTAATAACAATTCGTATCACAAACGTTTCTTTTTTTTTTCACGGACACAATACAAGTTATACAATACACGATCTGAGATTAAATGTTGCGACGTTTGAGCAGATTCGCCGCGACTTTTCGCGATTCCTGTAACCTTCTGATCGGCCTGCTCTCTGCCAACTAGATCGTCGCCTTCGTTTTCATCACTTTTTGACGCGTGCCCAACATTTGTTACGTTGTATTAATTATCTTATCAAACGATTGACCAAGGGCTGATACACGGCACCATTTTTATCGCAAGGAACCGTGCCAGCATACAGAGATACCGCTTTTATAAACAGGTCGAAATTCTTTGTCCACCGTATAATCGAGTATTTTGGGTATTGATTGAATATCCGATTTTTATATTTATTCTGTAAATACAAAGTGTATCAAACTTTGTCTAAACATGATCAGTACATTCTTATTGCATTGATTACAGTTGGGATTATTAGTGACCAGCATACAATTGGGGCAAATAAATTCCTGGATGTCCAATTCCTTTTTTTCTTAAATTTTGTAAGAATTTTATAAATAATTTTTTTTTTAACTAATTAATTATGTAGGTATTTTGTATGATTAGATTTATCAAGTTTGCGAAGATAAAATTTTTGTGACAAAACGAAAAAATATTCCTTCCCCAGAATGTGAACAACATTATAAAACAAACATTAATATTATACACTGTAATAATAAACAGAATATGATGGTACATTTCAGAAAGCAGGACAAGTGTTTTTCACACCTGATGTATTGATGATTCATGCCGACAAAGAAATTAGTCACACCAATTGCAAACTTTCAAATAGTTGATTGATCTTTAGTTGGGATAACTAGTTAAGTAATGGTTTTAATATTATTTTAAGTAACATGCTTAGTTGTCACGTCTACCTGGACGATAAAAGCGTTTCCATGTACAAAATTGTTCTTGTTTCCTTTGATTTGACTGAAAAAAAGAAATCTCATAAATTATTATTAAAATTCATTTGGAGAAAATGAAATCATCCCTTAAGGAATTACTCCACTTTCAATCTGAAAAATCGAACTTACCTTGGCATTTTTTTTTTTTAATATCATCAAGCAAATGGAAAATCTGTTATATACGTTTTTTTGTACACATTTTGAACTTCACAAAAATATTTTTTTATTTTCTGTATTCAATAAAATGGCGGAGCTATAGCTGCCTCATATGAATCTGTCAAAAACAACTCTGTTAAACACAGCCATCTTAAGGCAGCTGCAGCTCAGCCATTTTGTTGAATACAGAAAATAAAAAAATATTTTTGTGTAGTTTAAGATGAATACAAGAAAATGTATATAACAGATTTTTCATTTATTTCATGGTTTTTCATCAAAAAATTATCAAAGATCGCTTTGAGCTTTCAGGGTCTATCACTTAAAATTTGTCAAATTTTTCATTTCCTTTCGTTTGCAGTTTGGAAGGCCATCTAATATCTATGATTCAGTGTAATCTAAAACACTATGGATGTTTCAAATAACCCTTTAAAGTAACTTTCAATGTTTCTGCTTTAGGCATTACACTCTTCCTCGTATAATCTTTCTTAGCAATCTTGGTCAAAATAAAGTTGCGTCAAATGTTACAATTTCACCTTTATCTCTTCCGTAATTACGTGATTAGATGAAATGCCGTCGACATACGATAATTGTTTCGCAGTTTTTAAACCAACCGGATATAAAATAACAATTTATACAAAAGACTATCTTATCTTAAGGCCATTTCTATGCGATAGAGTTTTATGTAGCAACGTCATCTGTAAGGGATTTAATTACATGTTTCCAATAACAATATAGCTTGAGATATTAATCCTATTAATTTAGATCTGGCTTAGCTATTATCGTTGGATATGTTTTTTATTTTTGACACCGAAGAAAGTTAATGAAAAATTGAAATATATACAAAAAATGGCACTTATGGCACATCAATTTAAAGCTCAAAGTTTCATCAATAGTCTTATTGTTAGTACAAAATGGCTGGTCCTTCGTTGAAACAAACAATAGTATAACTAATTATACTTTGTACTTTTCCATAATCCATCATATACAGCATATTCCAAAAATTTCCGTAAGTCATCAAACGATTATATATTTTTATAAAATTTTAATCTTTAAATTAATGTACCATGAGGACCATTTTTGATATTTTTATTGATACACCATAGCCTAATAATTAATTTATTATATTAAATCCATATATATGTAGATTTAAAAAAATTCCCCTCGTCGTACCGTAAATTATGAACTCATAAATCATGAAATGTAAAGAGACAGCAGTTTGGAGACTCAAGTGCACTAACTGTTCCCCTTTTAAATCGCGTTCTTCATAACAGCTGTCAAGAGCAGAAAACATGTGAAAAGACATATTACAAGGTAATACAGGTGAATAAACCTTACGCGCATATTTTATAATACACGCCATGAAGATGAAGAGAAGTCATGAACATAAGTTCAAAACCGCTATCTTAATGAATTATAAAAATAACACCTCTTGTTTGTTATTTTATGTGCAATAAAATGTTATTAATATCAACCCTTTTGCACTGGATCAAAATGACCCGGCATTCGGTAGACGAGGGCCAATTATTAAAAATATAAATAATTCCAAATTTTCAAATATTATACTTTCAATTTTTAATATTTTATGTTATTGCAGTAATTAAGTTTTTTATTGTTTTATTATATTGCATTTGAGGCATGGGTCACTAATGACCGCCATAACAGTCAATGTGTTAAAATGGTATCCTATAGTACTTTTTTTTTCACACAATAGTTAATCTTGTTTTGGAAAATTCGAGATCCTTCTATTTATTTATACATGTTTCATCCAGACAGTACACACATTATCATGAATGTCATATTTTTGTACATTCATATTTCGTTTTAAGGTGCGACCATATCAATCAATATATCTCATTTGTTACTGTCACATTAGACTGCTGTTTATGAACATTTTATTCCAAGTTAATATGCAATAAGCTTTCAGTTGACAAATTAAAATTACAAAGAAAATTATAGTTTTTGGTATTAATACCCTTTTCCTGGTTATTATAAGACGTATTTAGTTCGTCATTATAATTATCTGGTTCGTCACTATACTTATTTATATTAATAAGGCAGATAAATATTATTTGCAAGCAAAATAATTATATAAATTATTTAAATTAATTTCTAAAATTTTGGTACGAGTTGTAAAAAATTCTAACACCTATATCATAGTTTCTGGGAAGTACAAAGCTAATCATAAACCATCTTATTGATAATAAAAAGTGTTGAAGTACCTAATATCATCTTCTTTATGTTATTTATGATTAATATATATATCTATGAAGATATTTTTGATTATTAGTAATCTGCAGTAATATGCGTTAGTAATCTTTTATTTAATAAAATATTTCTTAACAATAGTTCTTTGAAAACATGAAGTCTAAAGGATGATATATAGTCATCACAATGTTTTTTTAAATCTATGACGAGAATTTATTTTTACATGTTAAACACAAGACCTTTATACTGACGGAATGTGCAAGTTTAAGAAACATTAAAAATAAATAATAATTAATTTATGAAGAGCAATAGGACTGATGGCTCAAGTCCTTATTAACCCTGGGACCTCATGCGGGGAAACTGAGAAACATCGGCGATCCTTGTCTCTCCTGCATGCTTCTGCCTTGGAGAGACAAGGATAACCTTGTTTCCCTGCTACTCCACTAGAGGTGCTAGTGGCACTCCAGTGTAATGTGCAGTAGGACGTTTTAGCTTGTATGGAAAAATTTTTTACTTTCTCGATTATTCTGCACAGAGTGGATTAAATAGAAGTTATTCTTATAAATCTTATCAAGCAGATTAGTAACGAGGGTCACTTTCATATTGTTTTATTCCATACGTTGATAATAAGTTAATTTCTGGCATTACAAGGACTTACTCTGATTAGGCAACTTTTAATTATCCAACGTTATTTCCAGCTAAAAGCAATTTCAATTTGTTAATTTTCTGAAGTTATTATAACTAAATGCCTAGAATTATGTTTATAACTGGAAAATGAAATATTTTTTATTTTTTTTTTTTTTTATTGTAATTACGTGAATAATTGAAGAAGTTCAATGAGTAAATTGTATGAACATAACCCGTATAATTTATACCATTAACCAATGTCCTATATTATGCAGCTATGCATATTGATGCACCGAAGAATTTCAAAAATTTGTAATTCAATCAATTTAATGAAGTTTTTGTAGAAAATATTGCAAATTCAGTTAAGGTACAATAGCAGTACTTTACATAAAGATACGTCGATGTGTTACATAATAGTAACAGTATTATATAACAAAAGTTATTTATATTTACAAGCTGTATATGTAAATTTTGTAATATTTGATTTATTAATTTAAGATTGTTATTAAAGATATCTACAGATCATTTATTGCAGCAATCCATTTTTCAATTTCACTTTTGGTTCGTTTTACATATTTCTCGTATTTTGGCCAAAATTTCTCCCAATTACAATCGGAGATATTTTCACATATTTTCTTTACCTAAAAGAACAAATAAGTTTTGTTGATGAAAAATTAAATGCTTATTAGACAAATGAGTGAAGTAATTTCACCTTCTCGATTCGTTCTTCATCCATAATGATCATCCGCATCTCATCAATGCAATGGTAATTGTGTCCCGGACTACAAAACAATGACAGATATTTACAATAGTAATATAATCTACTTTATTGTAACACTATTATTACATTACCTTCCACTGAGTTGATCCCAATGTTCTATACAAAAATCCATGGCTACATTTGAAAAAAGGCGGTGTTTCATTGCCGCTTCAACTAGCATTCCTCTGTACCACAATGACACATCATTTGATATTGTTATATTTAGATATGCTTGAAAGAGTGTTGGATCCTCTGTTACACTCAATCTGTATATCATTTTTTCTTCCAAATAGAATTCCCAGATCTGATGCCAAACCGACTCGTTCGCCAGTTGTGGGCCATATGTAACCGCCCATTCTGCAAGTCCTGGTGACTTTCTACGTTTAAACAATCCAATTATCTAAATGATTACAATAATTAGTATTCAAAATAATGTTATTAGTTTAATGAAGCTTGGGATTAAATGAGGTATAGCGCATTCAGAGCCTTTACCTCAAGCACACTTAATTTTAATAAAAATAACAAACTGTAAATACTTGTAAATATCTCGATCATTAATGTACTGTATTAGCCTAATAGTCGCCATTTCTTTGCACTCGGTGTGCCCAAGATAGCAGGCCCATTCCAGTGCCTTATGTCTTTTGAATCGCGTAAGAGGATCTTCATTGTCGTTGTCATCATAACCCACGGTTTTCATTAAATTCTCCATTAAGCTTAATATAAAATCCTGGAAATTAAGAAAATGGTACTTTTCCTTATTGGACAGCTTCATTAATTATCCATACGAAGGACCTTACCCTAATTGGCTGGGCCAATGGGACATCCAAAACCAGCTTAATATCATCCAGTAAGTCGAATACATGAATCCATTGTGTATAGTCTTGCTCTTGTTTCAAATAAACAATCAGGTCCAAGAACACCGATGGTTTTACACGGTCGTAAAATACCAATCGCGTGATGTCGCTCACGATTTGGGCACGACTCAACAAGTGGATGTTTGTATAGTTCTCGGAGCGAAGGTACTTGGCGATCTTTCTCCAGTTAGCTTCATCATAATTCACACGGTAGTAACCTAACGAAAGAAATATCATTCCATGACAGTAATCCAGGCAATATATACAGGGTGGTCCATAAAAACCCAACCGTATAGTTTGATGCAAAACAGGGTCATTCTTTGAAATTATACATTTTCAAATAATCATAATTACCACTTTGTTGTTTATTTACTATAATCCAGTCGTCTGGGTCAATTCCATCAACAGTTAAAACCTCATTAGGCTTCAACCATTTGATGGACCCAATGTCTGAGAAATCTGGGTTAGACTCTGTTGCATAAGTGATGGGTACCCACCATTGATACGTTTCCTTTTCATCTTTATATTCTGTACTATTAGCATGCATATGTACATCGACCAATGCAAAATCTTCCTGCCTCAATTTCATCTCTCCAGTTGAATAATTACGTTCGACAGTTACTAATGGGTATCTCTTTTGTTTGATCCAAGTGTCCATAACCTCCTTTACATTGAAGTCGCTGTGGGGAACGTCTGACTTGTCCAGGGCACTTTGCAGGGCTCTCCACAGGCAGTCAGGATCTGCAGAGTCGTATTCGCTAAACAACAGAGTATTTAATTTATTTTTTTTTTTGGGATATAGGATAAATAAGGGTGAAGCTATACTAACTGTCTATCCAGATAGTCTACGACGCCCTTCTGGAAGACCTCTGGAGAGATGATATTGGACAGCATGTGCAGAATGGAGGGAGCTAAATTAAAAGAAAATTTTATTTATGTTCTATATTGAATGTTATACATAGTTTGTACAATACGACACCTTTTTTATAAATGGCGATTGAAAAGGCAGATTTAATTTGCTCGGGCGTTTCTAAGTCAACATCGATTGGATTTGTATGCCATTGAGTATCTGTAACAAGGGAATCTTGAAGAGAACTGATTATGAAATAATCAATCTCTCTCCAGTTCTTGAATATCTGGAAATTATGTTTGAATGAGAATAGGCAATCGAAGAAAATAGGTACCTACAGGTTCCAATTCCTGTTCTACTATTGTTAAAAATTCGAATAATAATAACCTTGTTTAAAGTGTAGTGCTGGAAGTACGAGGCAAATCCTTCGTTCAACCAAATGTGCGACCACCAAATTGGACTGACCTTATTACCAAACCACTGATGGGCTAACTCGTGTGCCACTGTCTTTGCAATGGCTCGCTTTCGTTCCAGAGAATTCACACTCTCATCAAAAGCAAGATTTATTTCCCTGGAAAAAAGGTGCAATTAGCTAAAATAAGCCTGGCTTTCATGTGCAACTTAGGCTTTCCTTAGTTAAAAGAAAATGTGAATGAAGAAATGTCCCATCATCTGCCCTATATGCCCTAAGCTCTTCCAAGGCAAGTGACTTTAAGCTCCTCCCTTTACCCCCACTCTTACGTATGGAAAGCCCTCATTGCACCCAAGTGTACAAACCAACGTACGGATATGTAATAAGTCCCCAGTTCTCCATAGCACCCGAACCGTGTTGAGGAAGAGCAACATGATCCATCTTTGGCACTCGGACCGTACTATTTGTATATTGCTCCAACACCCTAGTTGCTTTCTCTGCAATTTCAAGAGCATATTTCAAATGAGGAACAAGTTCCTTCCTGCTCCAGATGTTAATAGAACCATCGGCATTCGATATCTTCTCGAAATCAGCAACCACGTAGGCTACTAGATAAGTGGACATAACAGGTGTCTTCTCAAAGTGCGTCCACCTTTTGCCATCAGCTTCATCGACATTGGTTTTCTCTCTTACCGGCATATTCGATAATGCTGTATAATTGTCGTAATGTTTGATGGAGATGTTAAACGTTGCCTTCAGGGCAGGCTCATCCCAACAGGGAAAGGCGTAACGAGCATGCGTTGGCTCGAAGTGTGTGGCAACCAGCCACCTAGAAATTATTATTTATTATTTTAATCAGCCACAGTGGACTCTTGTTATATTGCCGCCAACGTGACTATAGTGGCGTGAGAAACAAAATGGATATTCTATATTACCACTATATCTTCATCGTTTTCTAACTTACACATCATTTCCTTCCTCATTCGTGTAGTAACCTTTAAAAAATCCATGCAATCCCTCTTTGTAATGTCCTGAGAATCTCATGGTCATCCAGTATTCTCCCTCCTCAAGAATCCTATCAACGCTTATTATCAATTGGTCTGTCGTCTCAATATAAGTGTGAGCTTCTGGCCTAAGCACAATGCCATCTGAGTAGATTACCCGCGTTTCATTCTCATCTACGTTTAAACGTACCGAATGCAATGCAATATCTGAGGTTGGTTCTAGAACCTTGAAATGTATGATAATTTCGCCTTTGAATCCAGAGTCACCATCAATGTCTGGTATTATTTTCAGGTCGTAGTGTACGGGCGCTGTAGAGTTTGGCAAACGATAGTTAATTTTGGTTTCGTTATTAGGATTAGTCCCTGGGTCGTCATTTTGAACAGGAAGTGCTGATATGGCGCACACGAGGACGGAAATTGCAATAATTTTTGCATATGCCATCCTGGAAAATAATTTTGTTGCTGTTGCAATTTGGAATTTCAGACTTTAATTGCATAAAGATTTATTGATTTATTTATTTATCTGTTAAGTTTAAAACTAGTACTTACATGTACAATTTGATTATTTATTAAATTTACCACTTGTTACTGCTTCTTAAATTCACTAATTTTATTTTTCACCTGATTAACGGTAAATATAATTATAACATTCTTAACATTGTTTCATTCTACAAAAATGAAACTATCCATTTTCTTGAATAGACTAGATAACGAATGTGAATGTTCAGCTTTATAAAGTAGCGAATGATTGAGCGAATAATTAATCCGATTAACCTACATCCTTCATTGTTAAGCAGTATACAACAATGAACAATAGATTTCATAGATTTTGAGAAACAATTTCATGTTACTGCATATTTTTTTCATGTAGATTAATTCTTTGAAATAATTTATCATTTATTAAATTTAATTATTCATAAAATTAGTAAGTTTGCTATTTCCTCGGCAGACTATACTGAAAAATAAATAAACTTATCTTTAGTAAATAATTCTCAATAACGATAACATTTTATTATAAATTCTCTGCAATACAAAAATATGTTTCAAACATTTTGCCATAATTACAGACATATTTCAATTATTTACAACATTTAAGTTAAATGGTATTTCAAGTCTTAATAAAATTACACTCTCTCTTGAAGTACTGTAGAATTTTGTTTACAAATAAATATCCTGCGATTCTTACAACACAATCAGTGTAAATGAACAATTAATCGACGCTAGAATAATGATAAATTTCTTAGTAGAATCGTGTAATAAATATTGACAAAAGAACGAGGAGAGACGCGAACGTTAGAGATGTGGCACTGTTGAATAGATTCTCGTTACTGAGCAACCACTTTTCAATCACTTCTTCATTAGATTCAAGCCACTTCATATTCTTCGATGCTTTCAATACCATATCCTGCACATGTTTAGCCTCTAATTCCTTGGCCACGAATTTACTTAGCTAAAAGAGAAACAAACAATTTAAAAATGCATATCACAAATAATTTGACGAAATTCAAAAAGGTCGCAAAATCGCTGAAATTTAAAAAAAGATACAAAATCCAATTCTGGAATGAAAGATCATACCTCCACGTATTCATCACGGGTTTTAATGTAGTTTGCAATGGCTTGGACGGACGTTCTGATCACACTATCCACATTGGGCCTAAAATCGGAGAATTCAATTATTCATTTAATCGCTTGATCATATAAATTAATCTTCATTCATGTCACATTAATTACAATTTCTTTATCCGCTCCTGTTGTGTGAGAAGCGTCTCCAGAGTGATGTTAACACCATCTGCATGCTCGGACACAATGCCTTGTACCGCGACGTCGAAGCTCACCGGAGGATTTTCCTCGAGTGTTAAGTTCAGATACTTCTTCAAAACCTCTACCGAATTAGAGCAGCCTGGAACGTTGAGCATCAGTGATCTCTTTTCGTCTTCGTCCTTCGCTGACTCCAACAGTTTGTCCAGAGTTTTCTTCCATTTGTCAAAGTCAACGTTTCTTACTCCAGCACAGAGAATGGTGTTTCTCAAATCAACGTCCAGCCTGTAAATGGTAGAAACGAACAATGAAACAACCACAGTGGGATATAGAGGAGGCATGCACGCGAGATTAGCCCTACGGGCGTCCGAGTGCCCGGCTGCGCATGCCGGCTCTAGAGGCGCCTCTTTCCTTGCCGCTATACCTATTTTTGGTGGAATCTTCAAACCATAAGTTGTATTTCTCCGTGGTGTATTTCGTGCATTTTTCAATGCCAGCTTTGCAGGCCCATTTTATTAAGTCCGTCCTAAGAATCTTATGAAGTTCGCTCTCATCTTTCTTCACCTCAAATCCTACTTCCTTCACCACATTTTTGGTTATAAATTCGATGTATTTCTGCAATGATTCCAAACATTAAGAAAATCCCAACGAGGCTCGAATTACATATCGCCATCAGATTTGGAAATCAGTGTGCATAGTACGAACTGTACCTACCTTAAATATATAATAACGTTTAGAGTTGCGCATCATGTTGTTCAAGAAGTTCAAGTTTCTGATGGTTGATGACCAAGGAACATAATCGACCTCCTTATTAAGGTAATTTGTGAGGCTCAACGCGGTTGTATAATCCAGATAGTCTGCCTGGGCTAGACTGAATACATCATCGATCAGCTGAGCACGGTTTATCGGTGGTATGTTGGCATAGTCATTAGTCTTCAAGTACGAATCCAATTTCTTCCAGTTCTCCTCGTCATAGTTGACGCGATAGTATCCTAGAAATTCAAATAATTTGAAACAGCGTTCCAACTATCAGTTCCTCTTCGATCTTACGTTACATACCTGAGTGTAACTTGTTGAAAAGAATCCATTCTTTAGTGTCAATGTTAATAGTCACAGAATCGCCATTTGCCTTTAACCACGCAACTGGCGTGGTGTTCTTGAACTCAAGCTCGGATTTGTGGGTGTACGTCAGTGGTACCCACCATTTTGTTTCGTCCGTCGATCCGTCCGACAGGAATCGCTTCTGGCTTACTTCAAATTCTCCATCTTTGACTTTTTTCACATTGACAACTGGAAAACCTGGTTTGTTTACCCATTCGTTCATTATCTCAGAGAATTTGGCACCACCCCATGTTTTGTCCCCCGCTGCATTCTGAAGAGCTGCCAGAAGATCGTTCGATGTAGCAGCAGTCTTCTGGCTGTAATAATAATTAACACGTTATAGGTAAAAATATAAAGTCCTAACTTTATCAAACATTTGTTCCAATAGAGCTGATTACACCATTATGGGGGCCGGATTAAGATTTTTAGGGTCCCGGGGCTATCAGTCCTTCAAGGGCCTTCGTGGTTAATAAACTTGGTTTAAAAATTTAAATTTATTTTAAATGAAATTAAATAATATTTTATTTATGGCTTATTGTAGCCCCCCTCCCCTTAGTCCTCTTCTTAATTGGATTCTGACCATTATGCAGCTTAGGATACCGAAAAGTAGGATTTCAATTTCAAGAAAGAAATGTTTAAAATACTTACTATTTGTTTAGATAGCCCTTGAGTCCGTTTTGGAAGACCGTGTTGGTCAAAATATGGGACATCATTCGAATAACCGATGCAGCTGTAACAAATGATATTAAATAATGATAATAAAATATATATTGCATTTTGAAAATTACTTCAATAATTTGAATTACCATGATTATTTAAAAATAAATTTAATTAATTTCAATTTTAAAAAAAGGGAAAGCACAGAATTAATTTCTACATTTAATACAATAATCCAAGATATTAATCTTAAACTTTAGATTTGAAAATTAACTAATCAAACCCTTGATAATTCTATATTGATATTAGTTTATTGAACACTTTTTATATCAATTCATCTAATTCCATTTCGATAGTTCGATCTGTACTATGGACTTTGCATATCCTATCGCGCAATGATTAAACAAAATTCTTAACTTTTTCATCATCTCGCCTCTTATGTTTTATCTATATCCCGATAATGTTTATAACTGACGGATAAGATATTAAAAGAATCCAGTAATAAATGAAAATTATTAAAAAATCAAGATACCATTTCTGTCGAATATTATCGTAAATATGTTTGAAAGAATTTTATAAGAAGGATTGTAAAGCTTACACGACCGACGATAACGAGATTACGTGACAATATTACCTTTTTGATAACCGATACTGTCGAAAAGACTGCTAATTTCGCTCGGACTTTGAGCGTCCTTGTTCATGTGGCGGACATTTTGGACCGCATCGGCGATGAAAGCATTTCCTTGGATGTTGGTCACCACGAACGTTTCGTTTAGACGCCATTCTGGTATCAACTGGAAACAAGAATTACAAATTACAACTAATGATTATATAAAGATAAAATAAAAGATAAAACTTCTTAATCTTTCATTGACGCCATATTGATTAAGAATATGGTTTCAAGGACGTATCAATTAGCTTCAGGTTCACTTAATGATCACTTTGACCGTAATTTATAAATATTATGTTATAATAATAAAGATGCAAAATTAAAAAGGTTGTGAGAAAATTATAAAAAAGTATAAATTTTGTGTTAAAATTTAATTAAATCAGATAATGGAGATTCTACTGTAGTAGCCATTATGAAATATACTATTTGGGTTAGGTTAAGTTAGGTTGGGTAAGTTGCTAATTTCAAATTATACAAATTTATGGTTTATGAAGGTTCTATTGTATTAGTCATTATGAAGTGTAATATTTGGGTCACTTACTTCATGAGTGATGAAGTATTGCATGTAAGTGGCAAATCCTTCGTTCAGCCAAATGTACTGCCACCATTTTGGACTGACAAGGTTTCCAAACCATTGATGGGCGAATTCGTGGGCTATGACGGTGGCTATGCTCTGTTTGCTGCGAGTTGTGGTAACACCTTCTTCGTACAGAAGAGAAGTTTCCCTGCAACGAAATATTTTTAAGTTCCATTAGAATCATATTTAAAATTAATTTTAAAAGTAATTTTCAACAAACTTTAAGTGCCATAAGCGCCACTTTGAAATGTTTTTATGTCATAAAATGATGTCAGGCTATTTAGCTATACATTAGTCATTTCGAAACCTAAAATTGCCATTTAAAATTCAGAACTTAAAATTTGGTATTTAACTCGTTAACATCTACTTTCCAAAAGAGGCATATTTCATTTTATTTATCCATTAGCGTTAATATCTTATTAATATATATATAGTCTGAAGATAACAATCGTCTGGTTGCTTGAAGGTATCTAAAGTCCACTAGAAAATAGGACATTCCCAGAGACAGTCAATAATACGTATAAGAATTAACTCCTATCTTTCATATCATGCGTTTTCATTTCGAAATGTATCTGATAAGAACATTTCTTACTTCCATTTACTTCTATGTAACAAATTAATATTGTCAGATACGAATCGATACAACGTATCAGATTATATAACTATTTACAATTTAATAGTAATTTTTGTGTTGCCATAATCAGAAGAAAAATTCGAATTTTTCAATTAAGCGAAGTATAATCGAGTAAAAAATGAAAGTCACTGTAACACTTATCAATGAAAGTTTGCCAGCTTGTAGAGCTCGTCGAGCTGAACACGCCTATACACCGTTTTGTGGGCAGACGACTAATTGTTTAAAAGATATTAATAATTAAAGTTAGTTACTACTTACATGAGAAGTATGACCGAGTCACACATACCACTCCCGATCTAGGGTTCAAATCCTTCGATCCCAACATTTTTTTTTTTTTTATATAATTTGTCTCTTTTTCAATAACCATTACCTAAAAATTATCATTCTAAAAAAAAAAAAAAAAAAAAAAAACAGTTACCCGGGATTTGAACCGGAGACCTTTACATTACCAGTCAGGTGTTCAACCACGGAGCAGATCCGTGATTTGTAATTTGAAGGTCCTCGGTTCAAATCCTTGGTTCCCAAAAAATTTTTTTTATTTTTATGATAATTTTGATGTAATAGTTATTCAAAAAGAGACAAATTGTCATTAAAAAAAAAAAAAAATGTTGGGAATCAAGGATTTGAACCGTGGATCTCTAGATTGCGAGTTGTATGTGTGAGTCTATCATACTTCTCAATGTAAGTAGTAACTAACTTTAATTATTAATATCTTTTAAACAATTAGTCGTCTGCCCACAAAATGGGGTATAGGCGTGTTCAGCTCGACGAGCTCTACAAGCTGGCAAAGTTTCATTAATAAGTGAGTGTAACACTTGGGTAGTTCCCCTTGGAAGTTTAAATAATAATCTTGTTGCATTAAATTTCCAATACCCATTTGGATTAAAAATATTTTTTATATTATCAAGTCACTGTTTAATAGTTGGGCATGGAAATGTAGTGCGGTTAATATTTTAATAAAAATAGCGAACAGTAGTAATCACCTGTAGGTTACGAGACCCCAGTTCTCCATGGCAGATGGTGAGAAATCTTTGATAGTAACTTGGTCCATTTTCTTTACGTAGGAGGTATAATTAAGACCAGTATACTCGTTCAATTTACCAATCACCTTCTGGCCTATCTCCAAAGCATACTTGCCATGTTCCTTCGCGTGTGATTTGGTGCATACTCTAAACGATTTGTCACTGCCTTCCAAACATTCGTAGTCAGACACTACGAATGCCACCAGATAAGTGGACATTGGGGGGCTCTTCTCGAAAGTACTGACCAGTTTGTTCCCTTCTATTTTCTTCGGTTCGCCAACTAGAGGCGTATTCGCGATCGCTGTGTACTTGTCCGAATGGGTTATGGTAATTGTGAAGGGTGCCTTGTATTCAGGCTCGTCCCAGCATGGGAATGCCCATCGTGCTCCTGTCGGTTCGAAATGGGTTGTAGCGATGTACCTGTAAAGAACATCCTCTCGTTACAAATAGAAAACTTAATCTAACCCTTTCTTGAATTTCCATACTTTAGGCCCGTAGATGGTTACCTAGGACCATTATTTAACCCTTGAAAGGCGGAGTCAATCGTCACCCACACAGGAACAGCGTAAAGTTTAGAAAATTATTATTATATGGAATAGAAAAGTTAAATTGAAATTAGGCCTCTCTCCGTGGTCCGCCGTCCAAGGGTTAAGTACTATTTTACTGAATACTTAAAATATCTATATCAGAGGTTCTCAATTTGTAAAAATTTTAAAAATTATTTAACTCTCGAACATTGAAGTCTCAATCGTGACCCAGACGTTAATAAAAATTTATTCTTACTTCACGTTATTATCTTTATCAAAGTATCTGCTCCTGTAGAATCCTTTCGTGTTATTGTGTAATTCACCAGTAAATTTAATGAGCAAATTGTAATTTTTGGTCTTGGCTGGCTTTCCGCTTAAGTGGATGACCAAGAATTCAGGTTCTTCCTGATGATCCACTTCAGTCGCTGTGACTGCTGGATCCTTTGGATCTTCCGCTGTCACGGTGACGTTTTCCTTCGTCACATTCAAATGTTTCGCGTTTAAGGTCAAACTGTTGATGTCATTCAGAATTTTAATCGTGATTTTCACTTGTCCAGTAAATATAAAGTTCGTCAAGTCTGGCTCCATCGAGAGTTCGTAATTTATTACGGACACATCGTTTGGCAGTCTGTAGTTGATCTCCGCCTGGGAGGAGGCTACGTCTCCATAAGCCACGTTACACGTGACCAGGAGCAGGACGAACGAGAGTACTCTCGACATCCTGGATGAATCTGCTTTGCAAAACATGTCACTTGTTAGACAGTGTACCAGAACTGAGTACATTAAGAAATGGTCGTATTTGATCGCATGTGGGTATTAATAATTCATGGAGGACGTTTAGTACAATTCCTATTAACTATTAAAAATGGCGAAAGTGAAGAAAACTATCAGTAATCTAAAATCTAAAATATCTTCTGAACTATCACTTAATATTTTCTTTTAAAAAATAATAAAATGCATTGGCTGAAGTCTAAAGGATACACAATTTCATTTAAGAAAACGAAAACGACATTCAAATGTTTGAACCTCCTAAGAATCTATACATTCCTTCAAGTCTACATTGCCCCGAAGTGTACACCCAAATATTAACAGATTACTTAACCCTTGAACAGCGGAGCCTGGGACAATAATGACCCAAATTAATAAAATATGTGGAAAGGAAACAATATGCATTATAAAAATAAATTAGAATCGGGGCTCTCTCCATGGTCCGCTGTCCGAGGTTTAAGACAAAATTGCACTCTCGACACTCGAATAATTGAAAATATTTTATTTAATCACTTCCACTTTCTTATGTTTGCACTTCTCATCACACTCTGAATAAATAATTATATCTTTTCTTAAATTTCCTTCGTGAATTATTCTTGAAGATCCACCTTCCCGAAATTTATCTGAACCCACACGAAATCAGAGTTTATTTAAAAGAAAATAAAATTCAGTTGCAAATTATAGCTGTAGGATTAGCTAAATAATGACTCCAGATAACGTACCTTATAAAATATGAATAATGGCCGATGGCGAACGCCGGCTAACCGTCTTTTAAACACTTTGTACCAATGTCCCTGCCTTATATGGCTGTCACAGTAGGACTATTATCGAAAATATATCCGACATTCCTAATCTTATCAATCTTGTTGTCACGATCGGAGTTATTATGTATGTGTCGGTTAGTAACCGGTCTATTATATCCGTAAAAATTTCTTTTAATCCTTTTATTCTTCTACAAATCCGAAGATTTACTGATAAACGAAATACAGAAGGATTCCGTTTGGGAGCCTTTAAAAATAAATCCTACAATGTGGATTATTTTACTAACTTCCATTTTTTCCTTTCCTTCTTATCTTCAATATCATTTGGAAATTCTCCATTGATAATTTCAGGAAAATTTGATCGATCTTTATCGATGAACGTCATTCAATAAAAATAAAGAGATTCATTCTTCGAGTTGTATTACACAGAATTGAAATTTTTGGAAAGAACATGTCAAATTTAATTTTAATCTTTTTTACAATTTATTCGATTAGATATTATTTCAATATATGAAAATTGTTTGAGTGCATCATTGCTGTGGATCGTGATCGACCCCTGCACTCCTATCCCAGGGTTAAGGATACTCTTCTTATTGAATCACAGTTAAAAATAAACCATTTTTAGGATTTTGTTTTAAAAAAAAGACTGAAACCTGTAGTGTTATATAACTTTTTATGCTTCATTTGATTATCACTAAAGATAATAAATGTCTTCTTCTTTTAATTTTAATTCAAGTATACGTCCAATGTTGGTGCTCCTAATGTTATGTGGCTGAAATATGAATTTTTAATGAAATTTAATTTCTTAACAATAGTAATTTGAAAAATTAATAGATATGATTTTATGAAAAATTTGAAATTTAAAAAATTTGTTGTTAGATAGTGTAATTTTAACTGTTCCTTAATTCTGTTCATCTTTGCCTATCTTCCCTTATCAGTTTCTTTTATCTACAGTAATTCAGTTTATTTGTAAAACATGATCTCACGATAACTGATTAAATAGCTTGTTAATTGGAACATATTTGAAAATAAAGTAGGCATAGTTTATTTTATTCTAAGAATTCTTTTTGCAAATAAAAATAAAAGTCATTTCTATTAAAAATCTTTTCTAGAGCCTTTTGTATAATTTATTTATTATTTATTTAACAAGAGCTAAAATAGTTTTGTATTAGATTGGCATCATAAATAACAATTTACATCTAACAAATTCATTAGTACATATTACTAATCGATAAATGGTGTTTCCAATTGTCAATTAATGTTACAATTCAAATGTGTAATGTTATCACAAAAAGAAATGTAGATTATGACGAATTGATTCCCGGAATTATGATAAGCGATCAGTATGGATGACAATAGTTTGATTATCTCGATACTTTAATTAATTTCCTATAGGTGCTTCAATTGGTGTGATAATACTTGGAATAAAGTACACGTGAAACCAGAATTCTTTAAAAAGGGCCTAATGCAAAATTTTACTTAGATTACATTCATATTTTTTGAAAATAAAATATATTTTGAAAATAAAAAATAAATTAAGCAATCATTTTTCATATATACTAAATGTTACATAATAAAGAATAGTGTTATTTTAATTTTTTTATTTACAGAGTATACCACATTCTTGTTTTTTAATTACATAGATTTAAGAAAATATGATGTTTTATGAAAAAAAAAAGAGATATTGTTGATTATTATTCTAGAAAATGGGAACAGGAAGTACAATACATTTGTATAAGTCGAAAATATTTCTTTTGAAATTTGATATCTTTTGTCTATCATAAATAGATTTAAAATTATCTTTCAAGGTTCCAAAAAATAATCTCTTCTTCCTGTGATAAAATAAAAACCTGAAAGACGTTCGTTAATATTCTCCATATATAATCAGTTTTTATTAAATTTTAAAGTATAGAATTTTGAAAACTGGAATAAAAATATTCGTGTTATTAATTATAGAAAATTATTAAGAGATATGCAGCTGCCTCAAAGTAACTGTTTCTGACGAATATATTCCAATTCTACCTTTGCTATTTTATTAAACAAAGATTAAGAGTCAAAATGACCCTGACATTGTCGTGTTGGAGTTAAAATGTGCCTCGATACTAGGTAAAACATTTTTAATCCATTCCACTGTTTCTGAAGCCTTGGTAATTGCCTGTTTCGCACCCTTTAACGCAGATCCAAGTTCGTTATAGTGTCCATCGACAAACGAATGTAACTATGAAAGAAAAAAGTGATTTCATAATGAATCGTAATAAAATTACAGATGATTAATACCTTTGATACTTGTTCCGCTGTTGTTATCGCATTACCGATCGCAGTAATTGTTTTGCTCAAAAAATCATGTCCCCTTCTGTAAAGAATAAATGAAATATTGATCACGATGAAATTTTGTGATAACTGATAAGGCAGTATTAAAAGTACCTCTTGATAATTGTTTGTACATTTTTTTCGACCAATGCTAATACGTAGTCGACGTTTCTGGTATTCCCATCTATAATTGCACTTATTATAGTGAATCTGTATTGCTTTCGAACATTAGGTTCTGAGATTGATAATTGAAGATACCTGAAAAGAGGAGAGGATAACATTACAGAGTTAAATAATCGTATTTATTGTATTTAAACAAATTGTTTTAAATTTGTATTTAAAAAATTACGTGTTAATCTTACTCGTTGATTAATGTAGTGTTTCGAGTACAGCCAAGAGCTTGCAAGAGTACTTCATACTCGGTGTGCAGGTCGGTTGATTGCCATCTCTTCAGCAAGGTGTACCAATCCTCGTAGTCTCCGGCTCGTATTCCTTCGCAGTAAACAAAACTCTTCAGATCATTCGGTATCCTATGTCAATCATTAAAAATACATTAAAATTTAGAAAAAAAACCTATAGAAAATTTGATGTTTCATCGAAAATGTCATTTCATAAAAAAGTTTATTTAAAATAACTAAGTCCCATTTTCGTAAGATTTCTATTAACATCGCAATAAATTATTAAAAAACAATGGTACACTCGTGATCAAATCAGAATTCCTCAGGGAAAATGTCGATATAAGAAAAGCAAAAATTCTCAAAGTATTAATTTTGACAATATTAAGAGTAATTTAGAAACAAAATAATATGTTTTAATTATTATATATTACAAAATTTAGTGTATAGCTGAAAAACAGGAATAACAAAATAAATATTAATTTAAATTTTCCCGCAAGTGATGGGGGAGGCTCCTATATACAATACATAGGGCCCCTTCGCTACGTTGTCACTCTCGTCATGGATGTCTAAGGGATTGGCCATAAACCTGGGGCATCACCTTTCTCTAGGGAAACTTTCTTTAGTCACAAGTGTACATTCTGTATAAACATTCTAAAAAATTATAAAAATATTCATACAATTTATTAGGTGAAGCAATCCAGCTCCGAAACAGCATTTCAGAAGTCGTCAAACAATGAATATTGCCTACCAAACAGGAAGTAGATAATATTAATTCGCGACTTAATTTTGTCGTAATGTCTTCGTTCAGAGATTCGTTAAAGCTCAATTGTTCATACATAGGTTGTAACAACTGAGTCACGTGTTCCTGTTAGTAAATAAATTTTTCTTAAGTATGAAAAAGAATAATAAATTTTACAAAATGTGACGCCATAATTAATGTGCACATTAATTAAAAAATAAATTTTGTATTTAATTTTCTTTTTAATATATTACTTACCTGGAAAGATTGTTGCATATCTGGCAAGCTACTTAACATTTTATTTAAAAATTTGAAACTATTTACAGCAGCCACCCATGGTTCATAATCAGTCTCTTGAATCAGGTAATTAGAAAGATTGAAAGGGATGGAATAATTCAAATACCCTGCTCTAGCCAAATTGAAAGCATCATCTATCAAAGCAGCTCTATTCACTTTATGAATCTTCCTGTAATTTTCAGACTTCAGATAATCAATTAGCATTTTCCAATTTCTTTCGTCGTAATTCACTCGATAGTATCCAGTTTGTTGAATATTAAAAATAATCCAGTCATTTGGTGAAGCAGTACCAAAAAGTATTAGAGTTTCTTCAGGACTCAACCAATAACTGGGTCCAGTATTAGAGAAATCATTAATTGATTTTGTAGCAAAGTTGAGTGGTATCCACCAATCAGATCGGTTTTTTGATGATGGATATTGATAGAACGGCTGATGGTCTATTAATACTAATGAATTATTGTAAGTTCTTGTAACAGTTACCAAAGGAAATCCTGGTTTATTTGTCCATGATTCCATGAAATCTTTAATAAGAACACCACCCTCTAGTTGATTCGAATTGTTTAAAGAAGCTTGTAGGTGTTGATACAGATCTGATGGCGTTGCTGCTTTATACGACCTGAATTTATATGAAAATTAATGTAATTTGATGTAAATAATATGATATTATTTAATTCATTTTGATTGGATATTCGCAACAAAAAATCATAAATTTTTAAAAAAGTAAATGGAAAATCTATTTAAAGAAATCTATCTAGAAAGCTTTGAAGTAGAAACACTTAATCCATTCTTATAGTATCAGACACTTAACTCGTGTATCTTATTTATCAGTATTAACACTTATAACTTAATTGATCTTTATGTAACAACGTAATAATCAATTGTAAAAAATTATAGTCAGATAAAATAAAATTATTAAAAGTAGTGCCAATTTAAGTATATCAACGTATTTGTACTCCTAATATTTGTATAAATTTTGGTACAGTAGACTTTCGTTATATTGCCGCAAACGGGGCTGCAGTCTACTGTAAGAGTAGACAATTTTTCAAACTTACGAACTTTCAGTTGGAAGGGAAAGGGAAGATAATAAAGATGGTGAAAGAGTGGCACTACTATGTTTAAAAATCTACGTGAAAGTCAAATCGCTTACATGGCAATATAACGAGAGCAATATTTTCAAGAAATATAGTATCACAATTCTTACATATTTTTTAAATAACTTTGTAGACCTTCTTGGAAAGCTAAATCTCCCATCACATGGGAAAGCATTCGGATTATAGATGCTCCTGAAATATTTTTTAAAATATGATTGATGACGATATTTTTTGGAAAAATAAATTTAAAAAAACCTTATTTAAACACACCTTTTTTATACGAAACAAAGTCCATCATAGCCATAATACTGCTAGGACTGCCCACATTACGTCCATTCATGGTTCGAGTATGGTTCTCAGAGTCCCCAAGCAAAGTAGGCTGTAGTACATCCACAACGAACTTGTTCATCATTCCCCAAGATGGTTGTGTCTTAGACAGTGCAAAGTATTGAAAATACGAGGCAAAACCCTCTTTGAGCCAAACTACGTCCCAAAATCTGTGTGTGACAAGATTCCCAAACCATGTATGGGCATACTCATGGGCCATAGTCGTAAATCCATCAACCATTTTCTTGGTAGCAGTAACACCACCTTCGTACAACGCCACTGACTCCCTAAACGTGATCATCCCCCAGTTTTCCATGGCATTGAAATGAAAATCAGGCACAGCAATTTCGTCCAATTTTGAAATAGGGTTTTCAATCAAAAGGTACTTTCTTAAAAACGTGTATATGGATAAACTTTGGTATAGTGAGATTGATCCATGATGGTTCATGGATCTTCGTGTCCATATCTTCAAATTATTTGAAAAGGTTGATGTTTCTGAGACAAAGTCGTGGACTGACCATCCTACCAAGTATGTGGACATCTTTGGTGTTGGTGCAAATGTTGTTACATAATAATTTTCATTGTTTCTATAATAGAAGAAGTTATAAAATACATAAATAAATTTTAAATAAAAAACAAAGAAGGAATTTTTATTCGATAATTTTTATATATAAATTGTAAAAGGAAATTCTTTTACAACATGAGGCATATAACAGATTTTCTATATACATCATAGTTTTTCTAAAAACAAATTATCAAAACTAGTCTCCTTCCTTAAGGACCAATGGTAGTGACACTAGCACCTCTAGCGGAGTAGCAGTGAAACACGGGCACCCTTGTCTCTCCAAGGCAAAAGTAAGCGGGAGAGACAAGGATAACCTGAAGTTTCCTAGTTTCGCCACGTGAGGGCCCCAACATCAATTCAAACTTTGGCCATCATTCCCAATGTTTAAAAAAACGTATAACAAAACTTACGAATGTTTTATTGTACTTTGAGGCACAGTATTACTCGTTGTAGTTTGATTTCTAGTATGACCAATGTGTAGAATAAAAGAAGCTTTCAAATGAGGTTCATCCATACACGGAAATGCTTGTCTTGCATAAGTGGGTGAAAACTGGGTAATTCCCATCCACCTGAAAGTTTCATATGTCAAAACCATCCTTATTAATGTAGAGAAATGTAAAAATAAAAAATATTTATCTATGTACTTTGTTTTTGTGTTGTCCACATAAGAACTCCTATAAAATCCAAAGACACCATCCTGTACCTCGCCCTCAAAGTATAGCACCAAATGATACACTCCAACTTCCAATTTAGATGAGAATTTCAAAATATAAAATTGCCTTTCTGTGTCAGAACTTTGATTAGCAATTGGGACAATTGATTCATTTAATTCACTTGTTACTCTATAAACTATAGAGCTTTCTTTTTGAATAAGCAGACCATCATTGTGCACCACTATAACATCTGTTTTGTTGAGGACATTCAGTGATATGTTCACGTATCCTTTATAATTGAAATCATTATAGCCTAGTCGAGTGAATAGCCAAAGATCATAGGAAATTGGAACCACTTCTTCAGGAAGTCTATATAATGCATGATCAATGTCACTTTTACATACATTTATGGAGAATGTTATTAGAAACAGGATGTTAAATAATCCACGTTCCATAATGTGGCAAATGTATTTTAAAATTAATAAATCTTTTTATGAGTTACATTGACGTTTGATCACCGAACGAGTACATCTACTATATTAAACGGTTTTATCGTTCGATGATATTCTTTTATCTTTAGGTATTATTGTTGAAGTGTGATAGAGAGATAGGTACCTGTTTATCAAATTCCTAATCTTACAATTAGTTTAACTTCATAATTGATATGAAAACACCTAAATACATTCATTCATGTCGTTGGTACTGGGTTTGCCAGCAGAGGGGAAGGGAAGTGATGCATCCATGTCGAACTCCAAATTCCACGTTGGTAAAACAGTCATCTCGTTTATTGCATCCACCTAACGGTATACTATGTTCCTAGCCCAAGGAGTACAAGGGTGGTAAGGTGGTAGTCGTGGAGGAGGAAAGCCCTATTTTGGGGAAGGCATCACTTCGCCAGATGCAGCATGAGAAATGTACCCTTGGTAGATTTTAATTGAACACATCTTTCAATTACTTCAGATATCGGTACAGTAGAGTCTGGCGAACGGCTATTTAAATTGTCAACCGCGTGGACTTGCTTGCGAGAGACGCTGTCACGGCAGAGTCCCTCTCGTAGCGGCTACCGAAGGCAGCGCAACGCGGTCAGGTCAAGAGAAGAGTGGGTGCCACGTTGATTGTATATACAAGCCAATAGGGTTTCAACCTGTTCCATACAGTTGAAACTGTTCCGAGCAGAACATTAGTTGTAATATGTTACTTTACAAATAACAATCTACCATGGATTGTAAAAACTTTTGTATATTTTTAGGACTTCTTTTAAGTTTAAATTATGTTTGTTGTCAGTATAGGGTTAAAAACGTAAGGAACTATTTATTTTTGAAATAGCCGTCATTTACTAAATTCTTAAATTTAATAAATAATGTAATTAAATGTATTTAAGGTGAAAATAAATATGTAAGATATGAAATCATAATGATATATTTTAGACCCAGGGTTCCTCCTTGTCGGATCGGGTGCAACAGTTAACAGAACTAGCTCTTACAAGACCTGTAATTAAGTTCAATGGTGCAAAATTCAAAGAGTATGTTAAAACCATGCCAAGAAACTATTCTGTCATTGTAATGTTTACTGCAATGGCACCACAGAGGCAGTGTCAGATATGCAGGTAGATTCAGTTTAATATATTTTTAATATCTATTGTATTAAATTCTAATTTAATCTACTTATATTTTAGACATGCAAATGATGAATTTGTCATAGTAGCAAATTCGTTCCGTTATCTACAAGCACATTCTAAAAAATTATTCTTTGCATCTGTGGATTTTGATGAAGGATCAGATGTATTTCAAATGGTATACAAAACATTTTAATTTATCTATTTATATAGTATATGTATTTAACACTTGAATTTGGATAGATGCGATTAAATACTGCACCAGTGTACATGCATTTCCCACCAAAAGGAAAACCAAAGCCTGCTGATACCATGGATATTCAGAGAGTAGGGTTTGGAGCAGAAGCAATTGCAAAATGGATATCTGAACGTACTGATATTCAGGTACCTATGGATGCATGTACCTTACAGTTAAGAAGCAAGATTGTTAATAACACTGTTGAAATTTATTATAGATTAGAGTGTTCAGACCTCCAAATTATTCTGGCACTGTAGCAATAGTAATGTTGCTAATACTCATTGGAGGATTTTTGTATCTCAGACGCAATAACTTGGACTTTATTTATAATAAAACAGTTTGGGGACTTGGAGCATTGGTAACAATCGTTTTGCAAATATTACAAGTTTAATAGATGTTTGATAATTAAGTAAAATCGTTTCATTCATAGTTCTTTACACTTACAATGATTTCTGGACAAATGTGGAATCACATCAGAGGACCTCCATTCATACATAAATCTCCTAGTGGAAATGTAGCTTACATACATGCTTCTTCTCAGGGCCAATTTATTTTGGAAACGTATATTGTGATGGTGTTGTGTATCCTTTTCATAAAAGTCCACTCAAATTTGTTCTTGAACAATTCTTTTGAAACTTCTTATATTGTATGATACTTTCCTTAATAAAATGTAATTAGATGGAGCAGTGGTTTTAGGCATGATTTTAATGATCGAAGCTGCATCACGGAAGGATGATGTGAAAAAACGGCGGATATTTGCTATCATAGGTGCAGGCTTAGTTGCTATTTTCTTTAGTCTTTTGTTATCAATATTTAGGAACAAAGCTCAGGGTTATCCATACAGGTACGGAAGTTGAAAATAAAATTTTACTTATAATTAATAAGATGTAACTATTGTACTGAAGTATACTAGTATATTCATTTTTGTAACATACCTATTAACCTGTAATGAGTATAGTAGTATACTTCATTTTTTATTTTTTATTAAGAACTAGTATTACTTGGTGCCTCAGAGATGAATAATTTTTGTTTCAGCTTGCTGTTCAAGTAGTTATCAATGTTGGAAGTCGTTAATATTATATTTATCATTGTATATAGTACAAAATTTCTATTGGTTTATCACAAATATTGTATCATAAAAGCAATTTCAGGTGTTACAGTATAACTACAGAAAAATTAAACGTTTGTATGTAATATAAAATAAAATCACTGTTTTTCAATGCAATTACGCGAAATATAATACTACAATAAAACATGAGTTTTACATTTTAATTAACTATTACAGTTGTATTTTTAGGAAAGGTAGGAAATTAAAGAACAATGTCATTTCTGCTATACTTCCAAAATGGCATTATTCAAAGGAAATAAATGATTAGATTTTAATTTATATCCGTTTAATGTATTTCAATGCTGAATACGGTGTATTATCAGTTTAAATGCAAATAAATGCGCGCACATCAAAGCAATAATGGCAAGAAAACGATATCGACTGACATTTAAGCCGTTCTACGAACAATGTGTCTAAAAGTTTTCATAGATGTGAGTGAAACTAGCCGATAGCATTTCTTTTCTCTTTTTTTCCAAAACATGTTTATTTTATAAAAAAATTTTGGATGAAACATTGAATTTAAATGAATAAAAGATTAAAATAAATAAATAAATAAATAAATGCTCAGCAAAACCAAGTATAAAATAAAGTCGATGAATAAAAAATAATATAAAACTGATAATATAGTGTGTAAAAATTACTTTGAAAGGGTTAAAACAAAAAAGTTAATAAAAAAAAAGTGTAACAAACATTGCGTGCAAATAGCTAATATAAAAATTAATAACACACACAGTTAAGTAAACTAAGTGAAACAACTTACAAATACAAATAAATACTCGAGGAACGATTAGTTTTTCACGGTGTAAATTTGTTCTTACACTAACAGTATATAACGAATAAACTATGCTATGTAATACAATGCGTAATAAATACACTAACGATATATAATACTAAATGGTTAATGGCATTAACCATTAGATAAAAGGCATTACAATATTTTTTTATGTTATTGATGTATAATAGAGTTAACATAGAATGATGTACACGTGTCTTTGCATATACAATATAAAATCAATCAGAATTTTATTAATATAAATGATAACTACTGATATCTGAAAATGTGGAACTTCAAAAATATAATCAATATTGAAGTAGGCCTTAATCATCTTTACTGAGTTAAAACTCAATCACAACAAGAAATTATCCGTTTAAAATTTTTAATTAATTTGAAACTTAATTCAAGATTATTAGGAGATTAATTTACAAAAACTACCTATATAATTCAGTCAAAATTCTACATTTAGTAGTAATTTCAATCTCTTATATATTATAAAGCTATATTTCGCTTCCTCAGAAGTTAATACAAATCAATAATTTGATCAAAAAAGAAAGAAAAGCGAATGCTTTCGGCCAATTGGTCCATAATTCAATAAAAGAGCGAGTGTAATGCAGACTTCAGCGCTAGTCTATTGGAATGTTATTCGAAAAATTTACGAGCAATTTCTTCAATATTCATTTAGAAGGAAAAAAATTTCTTGCCGAGTAGACAGTTTCATCTACAAAAACTGCTAGACAAAACGATACTTGAAATACTCACTTCAAAATAAATAAAATCATTTTATCTTATGTACTTAATTATACAACCATTCAAACGAACATTTTGACTGTCACAATGATGCATGGATTTCCATAGAATTCTATCACTTACTTTATGGAAAATTGTTAATTATAAACAACTTGACTAAGTACTTGGAAATACAAACAATAGAAAGAAATATCACAAAAAAATAATTAGATTTATTAAAAATAAAGTCATTGCATGATAGAATTTTCAATGTGTTTAGCGCAACAGTCAAAGTGTTAAAATTATATTATTATATATTTATCACTGTTTACTTATATAAATGATAATTCATCTTCGTAAAATTAGTTCGTGAATTATTCGGATAAAAGTTCTCCAATTTTCAAACATAAAAAGGAGCGTAGAACTTTAAATAGAAAAAGGTGTGCGGCTAACGGAATTGGCCTGTATTTTCAAGATGAAAAGATGGAAAAAGGAATTTTTTAATCCTCTTTCTCAGCCTTTTCAATATCCTGTTTCTCTTCAGCCTCTGTATCACCTTCGAACTTCGGTCCTGGTGCTTCTTCCCCTTCAAGTACAATTTCCTCTGGATCCGGTGCACGAGGAAGGAAATCCTCTTCAGGATACATTGCCTTGAAGATGCATTTCGCCTTGAAACATTAAAATACAAAGATAGTTTCTCGAAAAAACAATACCTGTATTAAATTCTAAAAATAATTTTAAATAAAATGAACCTGGTTGACAGCGAAATCGAAATCAAGATCTAGGTCTGGACCAGAACAGAGGTGAAGATTAATCGGCGCAGAATCCTTTAATTTAATATCACTCGCAGGCAGGTTTAAGTATAATGACCACAAAACCTGAGGCTTTGTGCTCTCTACAGGCTCTTCCTTGTTGTTTTCTTCACCCTCCTATAAATCGTTTTTTATTTTTTAATAATTTCAATGAAAAACATAGTGTAACAAAACAATTGATAATCCATTTGAATTAATATTTTCCATTAGGATAATATTTGATTCTAAATTAACTTTGATAAATAAAATAAAATATGTAAAATGAACTCTTGCCTGATGATGCGAGTCGCTTGTTGCAGCAACTTATAAAAAATATTCTTTAAAAATAAAGATTCTTTATTAATATTCGTTGTATTATTAATGAATCAAACGAAAAGAAAAAAAAAACATACGAAGAAAAATTATGACTTGGATGAATCATTTGTAAACCATAGACATACCTGAATGTGTCTCTTATCAGGAGAAACAGTCTGCGTATGGCTATGAATAGATGAACGTGTAGCTGATGGATCAAGTGGTTCTGCTTTTAAAAATTTATTAACTGCATAAGACAAATCTTCTTTCGCATTTGTTGTTCGTTTGCATGTCATGTGGACCATAACTATTCGAAACAAAATTTGTTCGTACTACAAAACTTTTTTAATTTTATCCAAAAAGAATGAATTTAAATTTACGTACATAATCCTTGAGGACAAGCATTCGTAGATGGTCCTAATTCAATCACTGTAACAGGTTCTTGATCAGGCTCCTCTGGAGGATAATATAAAAGTGTTAAGTTTTCTTTTTCACCCTGCATAATTGACCTAAAACAAAAATAAACAAATGTTATTGCAAATTTTATTAGACAGTGAAAATTTATTATTACCTGTCTGTAATAAAAATTCCACGTGATATTCGTTGTTCTCCTTCAGAAGCAACAATCTCTGGTGGCAAATGACCCTGACCAACAACCAGATGCTCTAAACTTATTCTTTGTTTACCACTAATAATAGCTTTGCACTTGTCCTTATGTATTATTACGCCATCAAGCTGCCTCTTTAAACAGTAAACGCCTCCGAATACTGCACATAATCTGTAAATAACGACGATAATCATTTTATGTGAATAACAATACTAATCATTATAATAAAGTGTTTCAACAGCTATGATAACTTTACCTACAGAAGCACTGAGGCAATTCACCACTACCGTACATAGGCCAAAGAAAAGGTGTATTTCCATATCGTCCAAGACTATTGAGAAAATGCTTTGTACGATTAACACCATCCCTACATGAAGTTTTATCAGTGGCCATAGCAATTGCTTGAACAACATAATGCTGCACAATCGGTGTCAAACTTTTTGTGTTTAAATATTCTAAAAAGGTCTTGTCACGGAATCCTATTAATTGGTATTGTTACTCGTTACAATTTATACAACAGTAGTTATTTCATCAAAAATGATACTATAATTGTGGCTAACATGATATTTCATATTATGTTCAACCAGCAATGAAAATAAGTATAAAATACCAAAAATTAAATTTACGTTCATCTTATAAATTTTCAAAATTAATGTTTTGTTTAAAATAATGGACTGATCTTGAAATCTCTATTATACTTTTATCCACACTGAAACTACTGTCATCATATCCTACCTCCTCAAAAGCATATAATTAACAAAGAATGTTACAGAGTTCATACTTCATAATTTTAATATAATATACTATTTAACATAACATTATGAGTATAGAACAATTTCATGTTATAAAATAAGGAACAGTAATATATGATAAAATTATAATAACAAGAAAATAATTACCATCAAATTCAGGACTATCAGCTCCTTGCTCCATGCATGAAGTTAACAGTTGCATTAGCATTCTCTTCTCAACAACACTAACAGTTTTATTAGCAAATACATCAGCTCTTGAGCAAGGTACTTGTGTTAGTTTCCCATCCATGAATGTAGCCACTCTTGATACAGCACGGAATTCAGCATAACGAGCAATGTTACTCGAAATCAAGAGCTCGACTAATTCACCACGCGCAAATAGCAACTGTTATAAATAAAATTATAATCAATTTAGACATTTCAATACAGTAATAGTAAGAAAAATAATAGGATATTTAAACGTTTCAATAAATTTATGTATAAAAGATTTTATTTAGTTTTCAGATGGAACTATAGTACCTATTTAACCCATAGGCTGTCGCATTTCTTGAAAATGTAAATGCTATTGTTGAAAACAGATATAGATTATTGGCATAAGTTCAAGTACGAACAAAAAATAAAATCTGTAGATGAAGTCTCTATAGACACATGCATTCATTCTTTCTGGACGAGTTTAATTATTGAATTTAATATAATGTTACTAATATTTTTATACCTTTGGAGCCAAATCAATATTAAATTTTCTGTATTCTTTTTTTATACGTTCTATACTCCACTGTTTTACATTCTCTTTTTTTTCAATTTTATCATCATCTACTTTCTCATCCCCGCTACCACTGTTATCCCCATTACCATCAGTCTGAGTATCCTTTGAAGAAACTACCGGTAAATCTGCTTCTCTGTAATAAAAATGCAGTTAAGCTTCATTTTAATCAAAAGATACAAATTATATAAACACTTACTTTGCAATATACCAGGTTTCCTCAATATTTTCAACAGTAGAATATTGATTACTAGCTTCTAAAAATTGTTCTTCAGGGTTTAAATCTAGATTAAATGCATTTTTAGTATTATTTCCAGAAACTTTCAGATCGTCTATCCATTTCTGGAGACCATCAAAGTTAAATGTTGCCCATAGTCCTCCATAATATTCATTACTGCAAAAATAATGTTAATAATCAGTATCTTTTCTAACTCATATACCGTATAAAGATGTTTCTAGGTACAGGATGAATTTATAAAATTAATGTTAAAAGTGCCTTTTAAAAAAGTAGCAGATATTTTGATGATTACTATATTCTTTTATTAATTTAAATTCATCTAAACTAACTAGATGATAACTTATTTGCAAAACAAGTTGCTATCCTAAATGTGTTAATAACTTAGGTGCAGAATAATATAAAACATTGTTATCATATAACAGATATTATATTGACAAACTTTTTATTAATCTAAGCCCTAATTAAAATGGTAGATATGAAACAATTTAATCTCACAAAACTTAAAATTCAATCCATGAAATATAGACAAATATTTATTAATGTTCTTCTATTATCAATAAAAAAGAAATATTATACTTTTATTATTAGTAGTATGATTGTTAGTAATAATAGATGTATTCAATATAGCATACTCAAATCCTTCTATACAATTTTGATACTTTTCATACATATATTAGGGTAACATACTTCTTTTCTTTATTATAATTTGAAACATAATTATTGTGTAACTCCATAATAATATATCTCAATATCCAAGTTTAATAGTTCATACAGTAGTAAGACCAAAATATTATAGTTAATGTATTAGCAAATATTTTTGCATAAAAATTAATTAAAAAATTATAATACAGTAATATACTTTAAAAAATGAAACAACTACTAAGCTCTAAGTTATTTGAACATATGAGTATATTAAACATATTAAGACTACTTATTGAAGCCTGTATATTTTCACAGCATAATTTTCAAAGCTAAAGAACCAGAATATTTTTAACAAATTTATATAAAATTCATAATCAAGTGTTCTTTTAAACTATACAAGTGCACAGATATTTAATATATTAATATACAACATATCATATATTGTGCAATGTAACAGTATTACAAAGCATGAAGTGAAAAGAAATTGGAAAAACAAGTAAAAGAGAAACCGGCTACGTATGAGAGAGCACACGCGCATACGCAAAGAAGCCGAACCGAATATACCTGTCTAAATGAAGAACCTTTTTCCCAATTCTACTTGCTGCTGCTGCAACAATAGACTCCGTCATACCTATAATATTACCAGATTATTATTATTATATATATATAAAATCAAAAATTGTCAAAATAAATGATACATATGTTGAAAAAATCAATACCTGTCCCTACGACAACGACATCGTATTCATTTGGCAGATAATCCTCCATTGCTTCCAGCTGTAAATTACGACAGACTAAAAGACTTCGAGCAGAAACAGTATTTCAATTCAATGAAAGAACAACTTAAAAATCATTTCTAAAGAATTTTTCTTAAATTACATTCAGCGAAGGGCCACTCCTGTTCCTCTTTCGCCCTGAATTTTCACCGTTTCTCTGAACAGACTCGAAACGCCACTTTGACAGAACAGAACGCTATAAGCTGGAACTGAAGTCGAACCTGATTCGTCTAGGCTTAGAGCGCTTTCAGACTAGCCACAAAATGTAGCACGACGAATGCGCCTCACTAATGTTGCGGACCACCACGGACACGGACCACGTCGTGGTGGCGCCAGCAACCAACCGTGAATTACATGGGAACGAGGTTTTTTGGTTATTAAAAAGGTCTGTACTTTTGAGAATATAGTAAAAGAAGATCAGCTTCTCTTAGGAGCAACATGTCTAATTAGTCAGTAGTTGTAGTTGCTATCCAGTTTATCCACGTGGCAGTGTATTCTTTAAATCAACACTACATCTTTTATATAATATCACATTTGTTAGATAACCAGGAAAGAAGAGCAAGAGATTGCACCTGCTGCACCGGGTACAGTCTTTGTTTTGTGAAAAATTTCTCATGCAGCAAACCACTGGTATTCTTTTACAATTAGTTATTATTCTAGTATTAATTACAAAATTCTCTTCTATTCTTATTAAAGCATGAATAAAAGCAAACCTAGATTTATCAGAGTACAAAGTTCAAACAGAGGCATAAGGTGTTTAAAAATATTTATTAGATGATTAAGCAATTTCATTCGCATTGTTTTAGTTGCTGTAAATGAAATATTACTTTTTTTTTATTAAAGTAAATTGTAATAAAAAGATCAAGCAAATGGTGGAAAATATATATTTAATTGAACTATAGTTCCTTAAAATATATTTTCTAACTATACATTTTATAACAATAACAGAATAATAAATAAATAATCATCTGAATAAAAGCTCTTTTATTAAAATTTTTTTAAAACTGCTATAAGCGGATTATAAATTAATGATTTGACATCTTTACCCCACAAATAATCTACATGATTGAATTTTGGACACGAGATTTTCCACGTCCCTATAATATTTGGTAGCCTATCCGTAAGTTTTTTCACGTCTGCGGGATCGGTTAAAAAATCGTTGTCACTATAAAATATCGCAATCGGGACTTTTATCTTTTCAAGATCATATATTGGCGGTTGCGTTGATCCATAGATTTTTAAATTTTCTTGTGCTCCGTAATCAAATTTACGAAACGATCCTATCAAAAGAAAATAATATTGTTATTACAATTATATTACTTTATTTAATCAGATGTAATATTTTGACTCCATTGAAAAATGTATTAGTAAAAGATGAATGCTTTCTAAAAGAAAACATTCATGTATTCATGCATTAGACAGTTAATTTTATTTGTTAATTATTTTTGAGAACAATTCTAATTAAATAAAGAAGAAAAAGATTGAAAAATTCACCTGATAGTATACTTTGGCTATAATGAATAATCTGCTTAGCAGAAGCACCAGCTGGGAAATGCCCTAAAATTAATGGCAGCATAGACTTATCTAATTGATCACTACCAAATCCAGCAATTAAAGAAAACCAGCACACACAGAAACCTTTAGTAAGACTATCTGGAGCATTTCGAATTAGGGTACCCAAAGCTCGTGCTTGTAATCTGCTGCGTGGGAACCACTGGTGTACATTACAGTAAGAGGATCCCCACTAAAACACACTTATTATAAAAATGTCAGCAAAACATAGGAGAAAATAATTAGATCAGAGGTAGATTTATTTATCAGATACATAAATACATTCCGTTTGTTATTAAATTCATTCTAATTAAAAATTTATGTTGTGATTTTATAAGGAATCTAATTTAATCTAATAATTGACCACCTCTGATCATAATAATTATTTTGCATATCTAAAAACACACCTCCATCAAGCCATAAAAATGAACAATCAATTTAAGCAGAGGACTCCTCTGATTTGAAAGAAATGCTACTGGTGCCAAACTAACCATTCCCTTAATCTTTCGATTATATTCAGGTTTTTCACTGGCCATTATATAAAATGCAGTTGTACCTTGACTATAACCCACATAATAGAGTTCTGTATATCCAGTGTATTCTAAAATATAGTCTATTGTTGTTGGTAAATCGTAATAACCAATTTCATGCCAGCTAAAAGATTATTGAATTATTCACCTGCTAATTAATATGATTATTTTCTTACATATTCATCTATGTATCTTACATTTATTGTTATTTATTAATTTCATTTGTTTAAGTGATATAATTTTTAGACTGTAATTACCTGAAATTCCAAAATTCTCTATCCTTTGTTGTATACTCCTTGTGTTTTCTGGAGTATGCATTACCTCTAGCATTTCCTAACCAAACATCATAACCATTATCACATAAGAGATATGCTAAAGCCTTTCCTGGACCCAGTAATACCCAATCAGCTGAACTCGATAAGAGTCCATGGTGAATCAGAATTGGTAATCGTTTGTTTACATTATGTATGTCATAATTCTCATGCTAAACATTAGATATTTATTTTATTTCAAGTTTATTATAATTTAATCTAATGTTAGTACCTTTTAACTCTTTCGCTACATTACAATTACCTGCAAAAATGTTAATACATTTAAACTTATCAAAATACATGACAGAAGTTACTATAAATTATAAATAATAAATTAGTTATGATTATATTTAATAATATAATATTAAGTAGTAATCTCTAGTAGAGAAAGAGTTAAATTATTATTTACTTTTACAGTTATTTATTTATAAAGAATAATTTTAGCATGATTACCTTACCTTTGTTGAGTTATCATTTAAAATTGTTTCATTCTTATTAATGTCATGGGAATGCTCGTGTGTATTTTTAGGAAGAACTCGATGTACATTTAAACAATATCCATCTTCTGTCCAAATATTGTGTGTCTCTGGTATGTAATCATGTGTTGCAATTATTTCTGGCTAATATAAAAAGAGCAGTGTTATTCTCTGTTAGCAATGTTATGACAACACAAGAGACAATTTGAAATAAAAACAAATTTACAATTATTAAAATACATTTTTTATGTAACTTATATAAGAAATTATGAATTAACATTAAAAAATATTAAATAGACTAAAACGTATTAATGTTTTTTATTGTCAATGAATAATTTAATGATGTTTAAACAAAATTTAAAAGAAATATTTTTGCAGTAACTGCAATTAAGCACAACAAATTCAATGAAAAATAATAAAGCATCTTACTGTTGTCATATGAGGCTCATCCTGGTTGGCTACTGATGTCATTATATGAACAGCTACTGCAAGAAACTAGTTTTTGCAACGAAAACGACGTCCAACTTTCACCAAGGAACACTTTTTTTTCTACTATCTGTTGTCCTTTTATTTCTCAAGTATTTGTTAAATAAAAAGTATATTTTAAATTATGTGTCACCTTATAAACAGCACTTAATAAATCTCGAAAGATCGAGAAATATCGACACGGTTTGACAAAATTTTATTTCTTAAAATACAACTGGCGAAGTTAAACGTGGATCTTAACATGGAACTGATAAATAGAATAATTCATGCTCATGCGTAATAAGTTACTGAATTTTTTTAAATTATAGAGTTATCTTAGAACGCGCGCACGCAAGGCCAGATGAAGGCGACAGCTGTGTTATAAGTATTCTCACAACAACATTCAAATGTAGATGCATCTACCATCTATTGGCTGTAATTAGAAGTTTAATCGTGTATGTACATAGATCGTTCGCTAATGGATTCATAAGTGTTTGTGAGCGGAGTAGCCGATCGTTTGTTTCCTCCTACACGAGATTATCGTTTCCTTCCCCCATGCGTTACATTAAATATAAAATTGTTTGACAACAGCCATTGACAGCAGCCCAGAAGTTATCTGCGAAGCCAAAGAACAAAAGACAGCTCACTGCTTGCAAGCGCTTATTCATCAGCTGGAAACATGTGTCATCTCTGAATTTTTATAATTACAAGTTTAAAGCAGACATTTGCCAGATTAGTGTTTGATCCAAATAATAAATTCTAGGGACAAAACACCTTATTTTAAAAAGCCCGCCATAGACAAAGGCGTCTTGTGCCCTCTATTAACACCTTCATGACCCCACACTTCTGGTTAGAATTAACAGATGGCAGATGCACCTTTATTTAAATGTATTTGTGAGAATACTTGTGATGCTATTGCCAAACCAGCCTGTTGTTCTTATACGGAGTTCTCAGATAAATGGATGACCTTGTGCAAGAGATAATAGAATATAGAATATAATTTAATTTAAAAAACATTGATAATTTAGTTTTTCAAAAATACATGAAACATTATTCAGTATCTTTATTGTTTAAAGCTATATAAATATAGTATTATAAGTACGTTCTTATGTACAAAGAAAATATTCAATACATACAAACAACTTTAGTGTGTAAATTTACGTATTATACATTTTTTGTAGTAGAAATTTTACGCAAGAAGTCAGTAAATGATATATAGGGTATTCCACCTAACTTATGTACCTTAAGTATCTCGGTTGTTTTTGATAATAGAAAAAAATATGATCTCGAGAAAAAACACGATTCGGTATCAAGGGGCAAATATTATGAGCAAAAAATTTTTCTCAAGATCATATTTTAATGACCTGTAACGTGATCTTTGAATAACCTTGTGTATAAGAAATCTATAAATGAATAGGAATAGATGTAAATAATGTAGCAATTATAGTAAGGAGATTGATAATGTAAAGTTACTTAAAATGTCTATCAACTTCAATAAATTTTAGTAAACGTTTAATTAATGATCGTCTGATCTCCCTTATTTATTGCTTAGAGATATTAGCTCCACCAATTCCAATATGTTACTTCATAATTTCTTAAGAAATCCACTCCAAGATAGAAGTTCAATAACTACATATATGAAGTTACTTGAACTGTATGAACTGTATGTCAACAACACAGATTACAAGCATTTTGTAATTTGTATAAAGCATAAATGTGCGCATTACAATATTTTGAATAAACAAATAAGGAATAGTATTTTCAAAGTAGAAGAATGAAATAAAATAAGTTTAGATTTTACTAATAAATCTATATCAATTCCATGAAACAGCATGCATTTTTTCTCTATGAAATAAGTACTTTTTAAATTCAATTCATAATTATGAAATAATATTCATTTTATGCTTCGTGAAGAAATCGAGGCACAGTACCGATTTGATAAATCGAAAAATGCTGAAATCGAATATCATTAAGATCGATAATTTCGATTAATCGATTGTTCTGAAAAAGGTAGTGGAATAGTAGTGTGCAGTGGTTCACAAGGGTATTGTGAATTTGAAGTAACAGATCAAATAAATCGAAGTAAAATTGAAGATGATTGATTACATGTAATTTGATCAGAAAACATAAGTAGGAACCTATTTTTCATAAAGTGATGCCAAGTATATAGTAACGAATTCAGCCAAATGGGTGAAAAACTGCGTCATCACTGACGGATTCTCCCGAAACTGGGACAAAGTGCAGTGTACTCTGGCATTGCGCTTTACCGGAATCTCACTCCATGTCCTAGTACCCTCCCTCCTCTTTCTTCACCCTCTCAGTCTCTCTCTTTCTCTCTTCTTCATTTTCTATCTCTCCCTCTCATTTTCTCTCTTCCTCTTTCTCTTCCCTCCTTCTTCTCTTTCTTACTCTCAGGCTTGACCAATCGTCTCGTCATCCCCGAACCCTGGATCGAAATTGACAGGTAAACATCAAGATTTACGAAATTTTTATTGAATTACTTGTATTTTTAGATAATATTTTTTCCTATAACGTTCATTGCTGTTTATTACATCTACATTTCACTATTGCATTATCAGTAAGTACTAATACTCTATTAAGTACTATGAATTACTTACATAGTTCCAGAGAAGTTGAATACATCCTATATTTTTCTTTATAAATACTGCTTAGTATTCTACACATAATGTTAAAGGTTTGTATTGTAAAAGAACAGATAAAAATATACTTTTTTAATATTGCAGGTAATCAATAACGAATGGTGCAGGTTGAACAACGTAGTGTTTGGAGGGTTCGATACCATGTCAGATGGGGTTGATGCTGGCGGCGGGGGAAAACGAGGTAGATTCCCATTCCTGTTCTCAAACTGATGTTGGAGAGTCATCGAATCAAAGAGAAGAGGAAAATTTAGACCCAGATAATGAAGCAGCCCTAAACACCAATTACGATAGCAGTGATGGTGCTGTGCCTGCTTTTAGGTCTGTCATCTTCATGTAATTGATTTTTGGTATTTCAAATGTTTCGATAAACATTTAGATAATCAAGATTTTAAATAGCATATCAAAGGATCCATAACATGTGGACAGGTGTGAAAGGTGTGAAAACTATGAGACTATAAATAAAACGGCATTTTGTGCTCATCAAGATCAATGTTTGGCTAGTGCCGAGCCAGGGGAAAGTGCGGAAAATATTGAGGCTGCTGAAAATGATGGAGATGGAGAAGAAAGTCATCCTGGTATTCGTTCTCATAGAAAAATGTTTGAATGTGATGTTTGCAATATGCAATTTTCAAATGGAGCTAACATGAGGCGGCACAAAGTATTAATTTTCACAATTAAGTTACTGTTGGAGTAAAGGTATGGTATTGTAAAAAAGTAAATAAATTTATTTATAGATGAGACATACTGGTGTAAAGCCATATGAATGTCGTGTGTGCCAAAAAAGATTTTTTCGAAAGGATCACCTGGCAGAACATTTTACAACTCACTCTAAAACTCTGCCATATCATTGTCCAATTTGTAACCGAGGTTTCCAAAGACAAATTGCAATGAGAGCCCATTTTCAGAATGAACATGTTGGCCAACATGACATGGTTAAATCTTGCCCTTTGTGCAATTATCGTGCAGCAACTATGAAGTGCCTCAGGTTACACTTTTTTAATAGGTTAATATCTAATTACTCTAATAATATTGTATCGTTTTAATAAATTACATGTTTAATTAAGTAATTATCATTCTAGACATGGAATAGATTTAGATAATCCAGGACCAAACAGTTCAAGTTCATTAATGAACAGTTGTACTCCGGGAGAAGCTATGCCTTCTGCTCCTCTTTCAGATAGTGGAGATAGTACTGGAAATCGTTCGGCAGATAATGCAACTCCGCCAATGCATTTCCTGACACCTCACATAGAGATATCAATTCCTTATCCAGAACAAACTCCGAACCAACGAAATCCAAGTCCTGCTCCCCTGAACGGAGATAGCCCAAATAGCCCTCAAAGTGCAGATAGTAACAGTAATGCACCAAGTAGTAGTCATCATCAGTTACCTATTAACAGTAGTGGCATCCACAGGTATAAAAGATATTTAAAATATTAATATTAATCTATTATCCAGACTCATTTAGTTTTTTAATTAAAGAAGTCTTGGTGGAAATGAAGACACAATTACACCTTCTATCTCACTAATTCCTATTAAGCAAGAACCAAACAGCAATGGAACTGAAGAAAATGGAGCAACATCTAGTAACCTTCCACTACCGTCTTTGATCAAAGTTTCTCCATTAAAGTCCCTTCTCCGAGATGATTTACGACGCAAACTTTCATCTGGTTCTGGAAATAATAACAACAACAATAATAATGGTAATTCTACTGTTTTATTATACAAATCATTGTTGTTATTAATAAGTTCATATAATTTAATATTTGCCAATATTAGTTATATTTATTTATGATATTTTGGCTTTAGATGGATCTATTTAGAATGTTAATCAATCAAATATTAATTTGAAAGGTTTAAATGTTTGCTCACTAATACACCTATAGCTTTACTTTAATTGAATAATTCATACAAGTGTAGATTCAATTCATTTTGTAATAGGTAATAACACTTCAAATTCAAATTCCCATTCAAGAGGAGAACCTCCTAGTTCAACAAGGCCCGATCAACGAAGCAATGGGCTTCAGTGTGCTCATTGTAAAATCACTTTCCCCGATCAAACATTGTATTTTCTGCATAAAGGGTGTCATAGTGAGAGTAATCCTTGGAAATGCAACATTTGTGGCGAACAATGTTGCAATTTGTACCAATTCAATTCACACCTATTAAGCAAAAGTCATCAGTAGTAAAAAAAAAGCAAAAAGAAAAAATAACGTTGTTTGTAGAGTCATAGAATCTCGATTATTTAAATATTTATTAAATAATATAATCAATTTTAATATGATTTATACAAAGAATACTAAAAGCTTGAACCAAAAAGAAACACATTTTACAGAAAAATATTTTTACTTGATTTAATATTTACATCTCGATTTACATTAACAAAAAAAAAAAAAAATCAAATAATCGAGATTCGAGGACTGATTTTGAGATCTGGAAGAAGTTGTGCCTTCACCAAAATACCTTTGCCAACATTCACATTCGTCCAAATCGTGCTAATTTATGATGGTATGAACAATCCGTCCATGGGGCTTTATTAAAACGTATTCCAGAAGCTCTATCTATAATTTTAAACCTAGTTGTGTATACTTAGATTTAAAGAAAGAAATAAACATTGAATACCAATTCTTTTTGCACACCGTTTTTTGTTTGGCACTTTTATAAAATTTGATATAACTTATTTTTATTGCATTAAAATAGAGTAGTTATTAATTTAAAAAAAAGGAATAATTAAGATTACACTATATACAAATTAAATTTTGGTCCTTAATTTATTATTATGGTGCAAAAAAAGAATCGGGTTACATGTATCGTTATATATAAATATTAATATATATAAATAGAAGGTGATAGCTGAATATTGTATCAGCTTAAGAAATATTTTATATAGAAATATTTGTACAAAGAAGTATTAAACCTGAAAAAAATACATAAAGAAAGTTATGTTATATTTCAGAGGTATATACTAATACCAGAACGAATTGTTACACAGCTATTCAAATTAAATTTTATAAAAGTATTTATGAATCAGAATTTAAAAACAGAATTCTATGGAAAGCTAAAAATGAGGAGAATGCAAAAGTAAAATGGAATTAGAACTTCATTAAAATTAAATAGAAGTCAAATCAATATTAGCTTTAATACAAATTAGTACAAGAAATTCATTTTGTTATGAAATAACAAAATATGATTTTCCACTCTAGTGTTTCTATAAAAATGATATGTATATACGTTTATACAAAGTACCCAATTTGTTTGCAATCTAACGTGTATATTGCCTTTGAAAATGATACAAAAAGTACATTTAAATAGAGTTATATATGCAACACAAATTATATATTTAATATTATGTCAAAATAAAAATAATAAGATGCGGCAGATTATGCAGTTAAATTGGGTATTCTGTATATATTTTATTTTAAACAAATATACCGAGAGATGTACGCACGAAAACTGTTGTCAATGGTTGTAATTATTTAAAAATCGTTCCATAAATTGTGTAGTATTTAAAACAATCTATTATATTATTATAACTATTGTATTAATTATCAACACATAAGTTATTTATTGTTTCTTTGCATTCCAATGTGCTAAGTTTTAAATACGACCGGGTCTTGATGATGTTCTTTTATTTAAAAATTTATTTCTTGTTTCTAATTTTTCTATTTTATCTTTCATCTACAGTATTTCACAGTTTGGAATACTAAAATTTTTCAAACTAATTATTTTTGCTATTAAATAAAACTCTAATGAATTAAAATTGTCTAAAATTAAAGGAAAAAACATTTATTTCAATAATATATGTAATTAAGGCATCTTGTTTTAATTAAAATGAAACTATTTTTAACGCTTTAAGGTAAACACAGACCAATTAAGAAATTAATAATTAATAGTAGTTAATTGTTAATTATAAAGTAAGTTGTATGAAACAAAGAAATTTAAATTAACATTGTCAAAGCACAAATTTCTTTAACACCTTTATATAAATACACCCCATACAAAAAAAGTTAAAGAAAATTTTTGTTCTAAATTTTCATATTTTATAGAAAAATTGTACTAGATCATGAAAGATAATGTTTTTAGTAATATAACAAAAATCATGTAATATTCGGTATAAACTGTATGTATAAAAAGAGAAATTATTTCAGAGTTAACTTAATAAATTTTAATATTAATTTTTTTTATATAAGAATTGAAAATTGTTTATGTTGTAACTTTGATTTAATGAATATAATTGAAATATACATGGAACTTATACAATTTTTCTATATATACCGCAGTTCACCAGAGTCCATAACTGCGACGCGCAGGTTGGAAGATGGTGGGGGAACGCAGCGAGCTCTCTGCTAATCGCTTTCCACTTCCGGTTGGGAGTATCGCCAATCAGGGCGAAGATGCGCATTAGAGAAGCGCAAAGAACGAAAACTTGTCTTTTCGCAGTTATGGACTCTGGTGAACTGTGGTATACATATATGTATATATATCAGGTATAGTATTTATGCTTGTAGCCGCAGATTATATGACAAAAGCCTGCGCAATATTGTAGTGAAAAATTATTGACTGTTATTTATGACACCTGTTGCTCTTTATGGACTTTTCGATTGAACCACTATTTTTGAATTTAAATACATTCTGAAAGATTTGTGTATAAATTCAAATTTTAATCATGGTACCCAGAGGTAAAATACTAAGCATTTTTCGTAGAACTATACTTTCTTTCCTATTTATTACTTTTTTAAAATGTCAAAACAAATGTTTATTAATTTCTAGGATAGAAAATACAAAAACTAAAGGAAAAAAATTAATATTCATTTTCTTGTCAAATATATAAATACTTAAACAAATACGCCATTTTGAAATGTGACTTTGACATTTTGTTTTGTGTTTCTTGCTTTCTTTTTCTCCATTTTCTAACATTGTTGATCTAAATACAAGGTTATGATTTAAATCACTTTTTAAACTCATTTTTATTGTAAAGATAGGTCTAATTTTAAGTAATAACGAATTTGTAAGTTGTAGATAATTGAATTTTGTACATTTTCCTTTAGGTTTACTTTTTGAAGTTTTACAGAAATTTTGGAACTTGTATTATCTTTTATGTAATGTTTAGAAAATAATACTTTCTATGTATAACAAGTACATCTTTTTATACATGTACTTTTAATATATAGAAATCAACAATGGGTAAAAGTGAAGAAAAAAATGAAAGTACAATATGTCCAGGTGAATCAACTTTTCTTACAAAGCCATCAAGTAAGGCTAGTAAGATGCTAGAAGCTGCATTATTACAGATGGATGACATAATTTCGGGTAAACCTTTATTGTTTTTATAGTTGTATTTCAAATTAATTTTATTTCAAATATACATAAATGAATAGTTCCTTGAATTTAAAAATATTTAAAACTTACATTAATTATTTAATAAACATTTGAATTTTTAACAATTTTATTATTTTAATAGGTGCCTGTGCAGAAAGTAATAATGAGGGAAATATGGAATGGAAGGACCCAGTTAAAGAGGCTACAAAAAATCTGGTCACAGCAATTAAAAGTTCTCCTAGGCCTCCATCTCCACCAGATATAACTACCATTGAAATTTTATTGCAATGGATGCAACCAGTATGTGAATTCAAATGTTTATATTTTTAATTATTTCAATTGTACTATATTATTTGATAGTATTGTGTTATATGATTAGTAAATTATTGTATTGTTTATACAAAAGTATGATGTTGCAGGAACGCTTAAGAAAATTGGAAAACGATCGTGAAGCATTACACATGGAAGTATCAGTTTTATCAGAACAGGTGGATGCACAGTGTAATAAAATCCAAGAACTGGAGAGTATGTTAAGGGAGAAGAAGGATTCACTCAGAAGGATGGAGGAGGCATTACAAAAAGTAATTTTATTTGTTTATTCCTGTAATCATAATGCTATTATTATTTGATGATATGCTCTATACTTTCATTTAAATTTTACTGCATTTTAATTTAATTTGTATTCATATTTCCACTCTTATTTTCATTTTATTTAACAATTCTGCTTTTTAAAGGAAATACTTGCAAGAAGCGCTTTAGAAACACAAAAATTAGAGCTTTTGAGCTCGTTGTCAGAAATGAAACTCAGACAAGCAAGTTTAGAGCACGAAACTCTTCGAAGTACAAATACTGTGTCAAATGTAAGTTAATTGAAATATTCAAAATTAAATAAAAATTTTTAATTTTTATAAAAAGTTACATGTACGCCTTTTTTAAAATATATCGAAATAGAGGAAAACATTAGTGTTAGTGGTTTATTATAGGGAGAAAGATTTGGAAGGCATACGAGTCAGTATAGTAGTCTTCCAAGGCCACCGAGTTCTTCGAAGAAAGGCGTAGTGTTTGGTAAGATACCCAGTTTAGTTTATGGAGCACACACGACGGTACCATTGGCCGTTAGAGGAGCATCCGCGAGATGCCTGTCTGCACCTACCTTAGGTTGCGATTGATTTCTCCTTTAAGCATGCATTTTCAGTTTGTTTAAAAAATAACTATTTTTCTTCTGTATGACAGGCAGTCGTGGCTAATACTGTAATTAACAGTGACTGAATCTGTTTTTTTAAAGCTTCATTTTTGTTTTTGCATGAATATTTTTATTTATATTTTATTTGATCTAATAATAAATAATTACATAGTGAAACAGTACTATATACTGAAAATATTTAGATAGAATATTTATTGTATTAATACTTGGTTTTATAGCTTATCATAATTTATGAGAATAAATTACAATAATTCAAATTTATAACATTTTTTTCATTAATATTTTATAAATAACTAAAAAACATTAAAAAGTGTACTATTTTAGCTTAATTTAATAATGCATCGGAACAAGATAATAATTTTAAATATTTGTACAAGCTGTGTCGAAGTTTCATTGCTCAAAAACAAAAAAAAAAGAATTAGAGTTAATATTTAATGGCTAAATCAGTCAAGAATCATATTGATCTTGATTGATTATTTATGATATGTACCAAAGTGCTAGCCATATATAGTGAACTTAATATTATAAATCCTTTAATTATTTTTTTTATTTCAGCCGAAGAAGAGAAAGCAATTATCATAGAAAACTCGAATTCTCGAGTAGAATTGATTACACAGAAACCTTTGGCAGACCTTTCAATGGAAGAAATTGGAACTTGGCTTGCGAACATAGGATTGGAATGTTATGCGAGTGAACTTAGACGATGGGGCGCCACTGGATCAAAATTATTTGACTGTTCGCAACAGCAATTAGAAAAGGAAATAGAAATTAAGAATGTTTTTCATAAAAAGAAATTATTGTATGCGATAGAATCAGAAAAGTCCGATAGTGATAAATTTCTTGGAGCAGACAAGGTAATTATCTGCATCAGCAATTACCTTTCATTGTTATTGTTATATATTGTAATTAAATTTGAAACTATTTAAATTACATACAAAACATAGTTATGAAATTATGGGAAATTACAGATGGACAGTGCAGCTGTTTTAAGATGGCTTGATGATATCGGTTTACCACAGCATAAAGAAGCTTTTCATAATGCAAAAGTTGATGGAAGAATGCTGCATCGACTTACTACCGAGGATCTTTTAAACCTTGGTGTTACAGCACAGTTACATGCAGCGAGTCTTAGACGAGGAATTCAGGTATTTTTATTATAATTATTTTAATATAATTAAAAAATAAAATATTTAATAAGATATACTTAATTTCATAGATTTTACGAGAATTAAATTTTGAATTCGATAATCTCGAAAGAAGATCTATCAATGGAAATGGAATGGATGGTAATAATGTTCGTCTGTGGACAAATCATAGAGTGATGGAATGGCTAAGAATGGTTGACTTAGCAGAATATGCTCCAAATATGAGAGGATCTGGAGTGCATGGAGGTTTAATGGTATATGAAGGCAGATTTACTTCAGAACTATTAGCCACATTACTTAGTATCTCTCCTGGGAAAACTCTTCTCCGTAGACATTTAACCACACATTTCAATCAAATCCTTGGTAGAGAAATTGTACAAAGAAAAAGAGAAATAGAGAGCACTCTTGGATTCGTTCCACTTACACTTACTGCTCGTTTGAAGGTAATTTTTTGAATTATTTTTACTTTAAGTAAGGTACATGTATCAAGTCATTATTAATGAATAATAAAAAATAATTTGTTTTCCTGTATGCATACCAAATGGGTTTGACCAAATATAATTTGAGGTATTTTAGACATAAAAATAAATTTGAACAACACAATCAGTTAACGTTACTGATCAATGAAATACATTTAAATGAAATTATTTTCAACAAATAAGAATAAAATAAACACCCGTTGTTGCAATTAAATTTTTATAATATTTTGAATATATGATTCAGGTACCAAAGAAATCTCAGTTCACTTTAAAACGTAAAAAAAGCAAAAACGAAGCAGATTATGGTAACTTGGTTTGTCCACTGGAAACTTCATCACCAGATACCCCATCAACCCCCACTTCAACTCCAGGAAGTCCCAATTTGAATTCACCTACATTTTAAGTGTTATTATATACCAGTTTGGTAAGTCTAATACAAATAATCTTTTGATCTTCTAAAATTTATTGTTCTGTTTTGCAAATTATCACTTGCATATGTAATTAATTTTTTCAGATCTAAGGGACAACAATCAAAAAAGTGTGATTGCGTGTGAAGAGACCAATTGTAAACAAAAAAAATCGTCGGGATCATCTATTTTAACTTTATACTTCATTAATCAAATTTACACGATAAGAATAACAATTGTTTTCAAAAATATATATAGCTGCATTGTTTTTATGCAAAAAATTTTTCTCAAATGAATTTCAATTCATAATTTTTTACTATGTCCCCAAATCCATCCTGTATTTTTCTATGTTTCAAAATCCAAAATGGACTTATAACTAGTTTAAATGTTCAATTCATTTATACAAATGTATATAGATATAATTTATAATTGATCCAGTAGCTTTTCTTTTATCTGTTCATAAGTGTAGATAGCTTATCACCTGATTTAGATTATTTAACATTTATTATATCATATACAATTAAATGTTCATTATATCAAAAGAATAAATAATTAAATACCCGCTTAAAATAGATATATACAATATTTCGGTTTTTATTTATTAAAAATTAAATTACAAATTATTACTCTTAAACGTATCAATTCAAATTTAATTATTTATTATAAGTTTATTATTGACCTAAATGTATTACATTAAATTTCCTCAAAATAATCGAATAATTTATCCAAAAATCTGTAATAATTAAATTTCATTTTGTTTAACAATAAATACATTAAAAAATCCCAATGTAATCTGTGATTTACTGGAATACCTCGACCATCGTACATTTTTATTCACATGCGCAGAGAGTTAAATATGCGTTGTAAATAAACGATACACTATGGGATAGTTGAAGTATATAACAAAATGTAAAAAGGAAGACAATTTTTTAAACAATGGAAAGTGATCGACATGCAATCGTTTATGTTGCAAATGAAGAAAAGGAATTAACTTATTCGATTGCTTATGGACAAACAATTGAAGATCTTAGTATCAAGGTATACAAAATAATTTGAAACCTATGTTTTTTTTTACTTTACATTTAATTACTGTAGAATTAAATGTTTTTCTTGAATATTTGTTAAAACACTTTAATGAAATATGTTATTTATACAAACATATCTTAAGAATGTAATATAAAAATGGATAAGTTATTAATTGAGAATGTAAATAAAATTTGAATAACTTGTTTTTTTGTTTTTAATTTAATATAGGTTTGAGGAATCTAATTAAAACTTTGCTCACGTTTAAAGTCAATATTAATGTAATTACTATTTAATTCAAGTATAATATTATTTAACCTATATCTAGCTATATTTTGAACTAAAATTATGTATATTTATATTTGATTTTGACACTTAACATTAATGATAATAAATCTTTCAGATTTGTAAATCTCTAGGTATAGGACCAGTAGCAAGACATCTTTTTGCTGTTAGAAATCATTACACAAAACTATGGTATTCATTAGCCCATCGTTTAGAAGCGAAGGATAAAAACAAGTTTGATTTTAGACTAAGGTTTAAACCCTCAAGTTTATACAGATTAAAACAAATTGATGAAAATGCCTATGACTATTATTTTCAACAAGCCCGTGCTGATGTTATGGATAATAAAGTACCAGACATTGTTTATGAGAGACATAAACAAGAGCTAATTGGTCTTGGTGTTAGCGATATGTACAGGTTTGTACATAATATTTTAATTCAAGAGTTAATGATTGATCAACTGTTAGTGATTATCAATCATTATGTTTAATTATAATCCTATTTGTATTAAATATTCACTAATTTGTCTGCTTTCTTATAGAGTAATGTTAGAAAAGAAAGTACCGAGAGAAACAGTAGAATCAGAATACCGAAAATATATTCCAAAAGAATGTATAAAACGGCATGCATTTTTTATCAAAAAACCAATACATAATGCGCTTCGTAAAATATCTGGACACGATGCGAATTATGTTAAAGAACAATATTTGAAACAATTTCAATGCATGGCGCCGAATTATCCATACGAAGAATATGAAGCTTTAATGGACAGAGGTTTTCAAAACCCTCCAGCAAAAGTGTCTTTAAGAGTTAATGTAAATGAAGTGAAATATTATGAAGCAAATGCTACTTCATGGACTACATTGTGTGCAATTGAAGATTTATGTTTTGTTTCTATAAGGTTTAAATCATAATTTTAATAAGAAATGAAGAAATAATGTTCACATTAAAATCTTTAAAATACTTGCAGTTAGAGAAATTTAATTTATAATACATTTTTATTAAGTTTTAACAATTCATCATAGTTACTATAATTTTATTTATTTTTTTAGACAAGATAATACAGTGGAAATATCACGGAAGAATGGTATACCTTCATATTTAAAATTTTCAAAGAGTACATTTTTAATGTCCTTTGTTTCTGCATTAGATGGTTATTATCGTTTAGCGGTTAAATGGACATTTAATTTGTGCGGTGAGATTGTTACTCCTTCTTTAGAAAGACTATATAAATTAAAATGCCATGGTCCAGTTGGGTAAGACTCCATTTATTTTAAATAATGCAATTGCAATTGCACTAATAACTTATTGATTTTATAAATTAAAACAATTTTATAGAATCAGAATAAGCGTGATAATCATTAATAAATTGATTTGGATTTTATTACAGGCAAGATTTTTCATATGCAAAACTTCTAGAAAAACGTGCGAATAAACCAGGCTGTTACCTTCTTAGAGAATGTGGAACTGAGTACGATACATACTATCTAGATGGATATAACAAAGAAGGAAAGTTATTTTCTAAAAAAATAGAAGAGAAAACTTTATCAAATGAATTTACTATTGTTGGTAGTCCTAACAGATATAATTCATTGGCACAGTGTGTTGCATCCTTCCAAGATTCTGAAGGACAGTCATATCTTACAGAATGTCTACCACCTTCTGAGTATGGTAAATAAAGTAAACTTTTATTTGATTTTTACTGGTAAGAAATACGTAAAATTATATTAAAATTAAAGAATTAAGCCATTTCTTAATTATTTAGATAAATCACCATTATTACTGTGTGCCCCTGAAAGTGCAGTCAGTGAAGTTGCAGCAGATGAGGAAATTGTAGCTTCAGTTTTAGAGACTGGACCACGTTGTGTACCTCAAAACCAGCTTGAAATTTACAAACCTTTTCTAAAAATTACTAGAAATCATCATTATTCACCGACAGTTCTTCACCGAGCAATTTGGAGATTAACTAAAGGAAAAAAATTAGAAGTCGCTCTTAAAATTTTAAAACAAGAAGAAGAATCAAATTACACAAAAGAATTTTTGGAACTTGCTGGAAAGTGGTCTCAGTTGCGTTCTGGAACTCTTGTAAGGTAATTAACATGTTAATATATTAATTATAAATTTGTTATAATTATGTTCCAAGTTATATGTATATCTAAGGAAAAAATGAATTTTAAGAACTGAATTTAAAAATTATAGAAATCATATTGTCGGTACAATAATTTGATGTACTCTATCAGGTTATATGGTTTAACAGTAACACCATCCATTGGAATGCTTTTGGAATTGGTACGGCACGGTACTCTTGACGAATATTTACGTAGTTCTTCTTCTCAAACTGTTAAAACTGTAGATATGGTAGAAGCTACAGCTTGTCTAGCTACTGCTCTTTGGCACCTTGAAGAGAACGGTGTAGTTCATGGTAACATTAAATGCAATAAACTCCTCGTCCATGCCCATACTAATAATAGCTTTGTAGTCAAACTTGCCGATCCAGGATTATTTGTGTATAAGGAGACAGATATTCATTGGTTACCTCCAGAAACGTACACGAATCCAGAATTAGCTAGATATAGTTTCCAAGCAGATGTTTGGGCTGTGGGAACAACAATTTGGCAAATCTTTGCTAGGTAAAATTTAAGTTTATTTTTTTTATAATTTAAAATCAGTTTTTGCTTAATGCCTATAGCGAAAGAAAAAAATAGTAATTTTTCATAAATTTCTTACTTCTTTTACAATTTAATACTGTTCTATTTCAGAGGAGCCACTTTATTAGAACTTCAAAATGTAGTTGTAATGAAAAAATTTTATGAATCCGGAAAACGTTTGCCTATTCCAAGTGGCTGCCCTACAGAAGTTTACAGACTAATGCGTGAATGTTGGGGAGACGTAAATGGTTCTAGAAAACAACCCCAGGCGATTATGAGAGATATAAACCAAATTCTGTATCAAGTATATAATTCACGCAGGAGTCATGCTTATGCAACAGCTTTTCCTAAGTTATTCAATTCTGAATTAAAGAAACATAGTCCAGATAATTCTGACATTAGTGATGACAACAAGTCAATAAATAGTGAATCGAGGGCTAGTAGTCTTCTTACGGATAATACAAGTCTTCCTTGGAATGACATGGACGACAGTAAGAGAACAATTTATTTATTATAATAAAATTGATTTTAATAATATTTTAAATGATCTTTGTCCTAATTATAGGCACGCAAAGTTTGATAAATATTAATGGTACAAGTGTAGGTAGTTTAGAAGATTTGTCTGCTTATTTAAGTTGGTCATCTAATACAAGAAGAGATTCAGAAGGCGGTTCGGTATCTCAGAATAATGTTCCTAATATGAATTGTATTGAACACTCTACTCAAACACTGCGAATAAGGCATGCTGGTGATTTAGACGAGGTAATTAAATGAAAATAAATGAAGAAAAATACAATATTGATACGAGTAGTGATAATAAAATTAGACTATTTAAAAATAGGTGATAAGAAGAAATGAACAAGGAGGTGAAGAAGACTCCGATTCTAGAAGAAGTAGTAATGATTCTTTAGGCCAAATGCGAGGCATTTATGAATTAGATATAGATTGTAATGTAATTCTACAAGGTAGAATTGGTCAGGGTTTTTATGGAGAAGTTTATAGAGGAACACTAGAAAGAGAAACTGGAAAAGATACGGAGCAACAACAGGTTGCTATAAAAAAATTAAAAACAAAAGCATTAGAAGCAGACATAAGGGATTTTGAAAGAGAAATCGCCATAATGAAGGTATTGATTTGACGTTGATTTTAATGTTTTAATAATAAAGATATAATGAATAATAATAATGAAAATTAATTAACATAATTACAGACTTTGAAACATCCAAACGTAGTAGAAATTCTAGGAGTAATATCAGAGCCTGAAGTTTGTTTAGTAATGGAGTATGTAAAACATGGTTCATTACAAAGTTATTTGTTAATTCACAAGCAAGAATTAACGCATAAAAGATTATTAGGTTTTGCATTGGATATTGCAACAGGAATGGAGTATTTGGGTAGCAAGAGTATTGTTCACAGAGATCTTGCTGCAAGAAATATTTTAGTCGCTGATGAAAATAAAGTGAAAATTAGTGACTTTGGGCTGGCTCAAGTTACTGGGAAGAATGATTATTATATTTTACAGACTGATCGCGGTCTTCCTATCAAATGGTATATATAATAAATATGATCAAATCGATTGTTATATGTATATAAATAATATATTTTCTACAGGTATGCCCCAGAAAGTATTAGAGATGGAAAATTTTCTACTCGATCAGATGTCTGGTCTTTTGGTGTAACAATGTATGAAACATTTGGTTATGGTGAAGAACCACGTTTACCTGGTCTTGATTCAAGTATAGAACGTCTTCAAAATGAGCAAGAAAAAGGAAGTACCGAATTATTAGCCGCGTTAGAAAGAGGCACTCGTCTTCCTTGCCCTTCTACCTGTCCCCAAGCAATTTATATAAAACTTATGTATCCATGTTGGCATCTACAAAGTCATCAGAGACCAGATTTTGCAACTCTTTGCAATGATATCAGAGATCTCCTTGCTCAGTACTGAGAAAGAAATATAAAAATTGCGTTACATGGCGTTCAAATCCTTTTCTACTTTAGAAATGTAAATTAAACAGAGATTTTAGCGGGTTATAATTGTACAGTTTTATTCAATTTTTATGAATTATTTTAATAATATAATTTTTAGAAATTTTTATTTGTGAACATTAGCTATTGCTAACAATTCGACTCTATAATTAAATTCATTTTAAATAATACTGGAAGTAATATTTTTCAAAAATAAAGAAACATGTATTTATGTTGCAGTATTGAATTGATAGCTTATAATGTATTTAATGATTGATGACTTCATCAATGATTTAAATAAAATATTTAAAAAATAAACGATAACTGTGGTATGTACTACGTAGATAAATGTTTAATAATAATGAATATTGTAAAGTTCACTACATTGATTCATTAATTACACTACAATTACGTTTACTTTCAAAATTTCACGATAAATGATGTACAAAGAAAGATAAGTATTGAAGCAGAAAACCTCTGATATGTTTTGTTATAAATTAATTTTTTTACGTGTATCTAGTCCATAAGTTTTATCAAATTTTTGTTTTGTGTTAGAAAATGCATGATAGTATGTATGCATTCATGTATGTGTATATATGTGCGTATTTACTGTACTCTAAAGTGTGTGTGCACGTAATGTATAAAGGAGTATATCTTACGATTTTACTTCAATATGTTCATGTATGTAATTTTTCTCATAAATTGTAAATGTTTTATAAGGGGACATATTGTTTTTCAATTTGTTTCATAAACTCGATAACGTTTCTTTAATATTGTAAATATTTCATCGGTAAAACAGGCCAGGTTTGATCGAAAATTAAGCTGAACAGAAACTGATTTAAGCACCACCTGAATTATTCCATCAAACTAACGGCATGCTGTACTACGTTACCTTTCGCAAATACCTAAATGACACATGTATGCTATATGTATAAGTACTTAGTACATTTCAAACATGAGGAGAGATACATTCAATTTAGAATTTTTTTACTTTATTTCCAACATCATTAAATGTTTAATTGTATACAATTACGAATTAGAATTAGCATTTGGTCCACGACGGCGACCAAAGGTCTGAACGACGTTCACGAATCTTCGGTTATACTGAATCCTCCTCTTGGCTCGGCCAGTTTTCTTCTTGCTCTTTTCCTGCTTCTCCACCTGTGCAACGAAAAACAAATTAGTAAAAAAAAAAATATTAATAGTATAATATCTTAATTAATTACAAATTGTAGATCACTAACTTTTGGAGTTTGTGCCTTTACTTTACCAGCACGAGCTAAAGATCCATGCACCTTACCTAGGATATTAAAAAAGCATAATTAATATTATTCTTCATTTATTTATTTATACGTATTACCATGAAGACTCAAATGTAAAGTATGAAGGGATTCATACTTACCACCAGGAAGAGAAACTGTCAATTCCAAAACATTTGATGTAAGTTCTCCTATTACTGCATCATTTTGCAACAAAAAGCCAGAGCAGTATAGGTTGAACCCTGTATTTGCAGCAGCATTCAACTCCACAATTCTTTTCTGCAAAAGAGACACAATTTAATCATTAAGTACCTTATGCATCTACTAAATAGTAATTTAATTTCTAATAAATATTGTCAACGAATAACTGCGAATGATGATCAGTAAAAATGTATTTGATCACCAGCTCATTAATTCGTTATTTAATATTGCGTCGTTGCTCCTTCCAGAAGTACCAGATTTTAACCCTGGATTATCATTTCGACGCAATTGTATAAACTAAGGTAATATAATAGAATTGTTAACATACCTTTAATTCTCCAATAGTTTCATTCTCGTGCGAGTCGACAACAGTCGTGTGTTCTCCTCTGATTTGCAGCTGCATGTTTGCTCTCTAAAAATGTCGATTAGAAATTTTACTTGAAATAAATTTTGAACTTTACTGTTATATGAATTATACATATACTATACAAAAAAAAATAAAATTTAAATAAGACACTTGAAAAACATTTATTTTAGTTGTAAAAATACGGATCATAAAACTGTTCAACGAACGATGGGTGATTAACACATGGTCATATAAAAACATACCTAACTTTAAAATAACTACTTTTGTTATTAAAAAACCTTGATAATGTAAAATACTATTAATAAAATATTAAATCTATACAGATTAATTATATACTAATGCATTTATTAGCCGAAAATCACAAAACAAAGGAGCACGAACTTACTTGCAACGCAATAATGGCTAAAAGGACTCTTGACTTGAAGTTGTTAAAAATCGTAATCAGCAATCGATAATAAACGATTAATCGATTGTTATCAAATCATCGATAATGATTTATCAATTTTAATTATTGATTTTATCTTATTTTTATCGTATTTTCAATTAATTTCAAGGTTTATAAAATATTGCTCAATAGAAAAATCAAGGAAAAATTAAATATATGCAAACATCAAATATTATAATTTTTGTAACTTAATAATAAAAATTGTTGCTATTATTGTGCAAAAATAAAAAATAAAGATTGGATATTATATATTAAAATTGTAAAATTATATAAATATGTTAACCAATCAAATTGTAATTGTGGTATCACTATACCACATGAAAAGATGACTTACTTTCCTTGGTTAAGGGAAATTGGAGGGGAAAAACACATCCAAATACTGAATATACGATCATATACTTACATACATGTACGCAACTACTCTACTTGGTTCTAAAATTTAATTGAAACCTAAAAACAAAACTTAATAAAATACGAATATAAATGCTTCTTTCTCAATAATAAAGTACAAGTTATAGATTCCATGGCATTTCCACTGAACGATCAGATTTATACAAAATCTTTTACACCTAGAGAGTATCAAGTAAGTTAAAAGATTTTGTATGAGAATGTTATTTATCACACGTTGAATTAAAAATAATTGTTCTTACAGGTAGAGCTATTCTATGCTGCTAGAAATAAGAATATCATTGTTTGCCTAGGAAAAACTTATGAACAAACTTTCATTGTTATTAAATTAATTCAAGAATTTGCTGCGAACAATAGAAGGTAGTTTGAAATTATTTCATTTTTTAATATTATTAACTTCATTAAATGTTTTGTATATAAATTTAGGTTACTAAGTGAAGGAGGAAAACGATCATTATATATATTAACAGATGAAGAAAAATGTACTATAAAATCAAGTTATATACAACAGTTAACAGATTTAAAAGTATTACTATGCAGTACTTGTTCATCCAGTGAATTTGAAGAAACATTTGAGACTTCTCATGTAAGAAATATAAATGTTTTTACAAATCTTTTGTTACATATCATAACAGTATTTTTCATTTATATAATTTTTTTTAGGTGTTGGTTTTAACATCAGAAACATGTACAGAATTATTAGCAGAGAAAAAGATCTTACCCCATCAGATAAATCTAGTCATAGTTGATGAGTGCCATAAATTTATAAATGATAAGAAATTAAAATTTATTTTACAAACTTTTCTATCTTGTTCCAATGTTCCTAGAATTATTGGATTAGCTGTACCATTATTTAATTTAACACAAGAAGCTGGGAGACTAGGATTAGAAATAGAAAAGGTAGAAGCTACATTTAAATGTGAAGTCGAAACAGCTAGTGATATATTATCTATATTAAGGTAAATAATACATTTTTATATCTTTTAAATACACAATAGTAATTGTATTCATTATGATAATAATTAAACAGGTATAGTCCTAAGGCTAAAGAATATGTAGTGGAATATTCCAATGGTGAGAAAGGAGAATTGCACAGTACTATTAGAAATTATATATTACATGCCATTGAATTTTTACGCGATCATCGTCATGACCCAACAGAAATTTATAACGAAGAGTTTTACGAGGATATTCAGAAAATACCTGATCCTACAGAAAAACCTTTTGAAATGATGCAAGACTTTTTGCACATATTAGAAACTCTTGGACCATGGTGTGCAGACCGTGCCGCACTTGCTCTTTTAATCTTAACCGAAAAATTGAAAATAAAAACCCCATATGAAAGGCATTATTTATTATTAAACATGGTTGCGTCAGTTTTTATTAAAATAAGAGCACTGTGCGATAACGCATTCGAAGCTTTATCTGAAAAAGAGAGGGTATATAAATACACTACACCGAAAGTCCATAGATTACTACAAATTTTGAAAACATATACACCGTATTACACCAAGGATAACAATAATTCTCATAATAAAATAAATGGCGAAAATAGTTCTCAAAGATTAACTGTAAATAATAGAGAAAATTTTATTAGGGATAAATTTAATCAAACTAAGAAAGCTAATGAAGAGAATCATAAGAAACCATTTAAATTTCAACGACATATGCGCGGAGCTACAGATCCGGATTTACTTTGCGGAGTAATTTTTGTAGATAAAGGATTTGTAGCAAAAGTTCTGTTTTATTTATTGAACGAAATATCTGCGCACGATGAAGATTTAGAATTTTTATCGCCTCTTTACACGATTGAAAGAAATACTGATGATGTTAGTTATTCAAAAGATTTAGAAATAGAGCACAAAAAGCAGGAAGAAGTTTTGAAAAAATTTAGAATACACGAATGTAATTTATTGATTTCAACTTCAATTTTAGAAGAAGGTTTGTTATCGACTGATTTTATTGTTAACAAAGTAATGAACTGTTTATAATATTTTATTTTTATTAGGTATAGATATTCCGAAATGTAACTTTGTAATGAGATACGATTTTCCAAAAACTTACCAATCCTATGTACAGTGTAAAAGTCGAGCTAGAGCAATAGATGCCTTACACGTATTATTAGTACCAAAAGAAACGTCAAAGGAGTGCATATGGCAATTAGCACAATATCATTATATAGAAAAGGTACTAAATCATACTATAAAATATTTTTTCAACTACTTTAATTATGAATTATAGTAAAATCTAATTGAAATGGATCTGATGCTTAATTAATGATTATAATGTCTACTCGATTTAATTTATTCATGACCTTCAGTGTGTACCAGTTTTAATATCAACCATTTAATGTGGTTCATTACCTGTGTCCATCCCAGTCGAAAATTTTAATGGAAGAGCATCAATCTATTTTGTAGACTTTGTTAATAAAATGTTCTAATAACGAACCATCTGAAGACGAAGAAAATGAAGCAGACATGTACGCTGCTATGATACCACACTATAAACCACTCAGTGGAGATGATGCACCTAAAGTAACGTTTAATTCTGCTATATCATTGGTAAACAGGTAATATAAAGATTTCAAAAATTTTCTATTAAAATTTATAGCATAATTTGTTACTATAAAATTTTTGTTGTACAGGTACTGTGCTAAATTACCTAGCGATACTTTTACAAGATTAACTCCAGAGTGGTCTATCGAACCGGTGATTGTAGACAATATGCCTATGTACATTTGTTCTTTGCGTTTACCTATAAATTCTCCAGTAAAGTATGCAGTATCGGTAAGTATTTCTTTTTCATATATCATTGTCTAGTGTTTTCGTGTTACATGTTCGTTTATAATTTTATTTCAGTCATATCCTATGCCTAATAGAGCTATGGCAAGACGAATGGCTGCTTTGCAGTTATGCATCGATTTACACAGAAAAAATGAAATAGATGATAATTTATTACCTATTGGAAAGGAGAATTTCAAAGCTAAACCAGAAGATGCCGAAGTACCTGCTTTACCAGATGAAATTAAAATAGACTTCTCTGAAGCTCGACCTGGAACAACTAAACGTAGACAATATTATTATAAAAAGGTTTGATCTATTAATAATGTAAAAGTAAGGTGGTAAAAACAAATCTTTCAAAAATAATTATTTTATAATTTTAGACAGCAAACGCATTAACAGACTGTAGACCAATAGTTGGAGTTCCTTCTTATCTGTATCATATTAACATGGTTCTAAGTTGTCCCTTACCTGAAGAGCAGAATACTAGAGGTCGACGAATATATCCTCCTGAAGAATCAGCTATTGGTTTTGGAATAATAACACTGAAAGAAATCCCTAAAGTAATAAGTAAACCATGAAAAAAATACTTATACCAAATAACACGAATAATGCATTAAAGTAATGGATATTAATTTTTATTTCAGTTATGCCCATTTCCAATTTATACTAGATCTGGAGAAGTTCATGTAAAATTGAAACTCAGTAAAAACATTGTTATTTTGAATGAAACACAAATAGAGAAAATTGCGACTTTCCTTAATTATACTTTTACAAATGTACTGCGATTACAGCAATATTTAATGCTATTCGATCCTAATGCTTCTGAAAACTCATATATGATTGTACCTGTAAAATTAGGTAATTGTGAAAACTTGGAATAATATTATTATTTAAATTATGTATATTAATTTACATTTCCAACAGACACGGATTCTGATGTCACTGTGGACTGGGAGTTTTTAGAATGTATATATAATAATCGAACTACAGTGCCAACTAAGGTTCCCGAAGAGGAAAGAAAAGATTTTAAATTTGATGCATTAAAGTATCATGATGCAGTAATTATGCCTTGGTATAGGAATCAGGACCAACCTCAGGTATTTTCATAAAATTATCTTCAAGCACTCAAAGAACTGTTACAATCCTAAATGTAATTAATTTTTCATTTATTTTAGTATTTTTATGTTGCTGAAATTTGTACAAATTTAAATCCCAAGTCTTCTTTTCCTGGCCACGATTACAGTACTTTTGAAGAGTACTATTTTAAGAAATATGGAATACAAATACAAAATTTGGATCAACCTTTGTTAGATGTAGATCATACATCAGCTAGATTAAACTTTTTAACACCCAGGTAATATTATAAATTCTTGGAAATATCATAGTATCACTACTATCATGTATTTTAAAAAATTCTCTTATAGATATGTTAATCGGAAAGGCGTTGCTTTGCCCACAAGTAGCGAAGAAACGAAACGAGCAAAACGAGAAAATTTAGAACAAAAGCAAATTCTTGTTGCTGAATTATGTGCTATTCATCCTTTTCCAGCATCATTGTGGAGACAAGCAGTTTGTCTACCTTGTATTTTATATAGAATTAATGCCTTGTTACTTGCTAATCAAATACGATGTCAAGTTGCACAAATGATAAATTTAGGACAAGAAAATTTAGCTTCCGGTATGTACAAAGTAACAGGAATTATTTTTATGCCAGTATTAATATATAATATTAATTGTCTGTTCATAGATTTTGAATGGCCAGCATTAGATTTTGGATGGAGTTTAGCTGAAGTTTTAAAAAAATCCAAAGAATCTGAAAAAGCGAAAATGGCTAAAAATGATACTACTCAACTAAATTCAGCAAACAACACAATAGACAACAAATATCAAAATGAATCTGAGAAAAAGATAAATAATTTAAACAAGCTTGACATGGAAGATTTAAATGAAAAAGAATACGAATTTCAAATGGAAAATGATAATATGACAGAAAAAGAGCTAGAAATATCAAATGACGAAGACGAATTAGAAATTGGCACTTGGTCGAATGACATGGCGATGAATACTATTGATTGCGAAACAAATGACTTAAAGTCATTTCCTGTGACTGTTTTACCAAATAATTTTAACTGGAGTGATGTTCGATACGGTTCCCCTGCGTGTGAATCAGATTATGATGGATATGTATCGGATGATATCTATAGTGATGGATTTGTAGATAGTTCAGATGAGAGTGAAGATGAAAACAGAGGCTTACGCATTTCTTATATGGGAGAAAATGTTGCAGAGGCTGTAGAGGACGAGAAACAGATATCTAAACAAGAAATTAATAAAAAGATTTTGGATTTATTAGAGACTGAAAAAAATTTAGATACTTTATGGTCATATACAGACGAGCAGGAAGAATCTTTAATAGCAAAACACAGACAAACTCACTATGAATTTACTAAAATAAGGGAATGTGAAATAATGAAAAATGGATCTTTCATATCCTGTGATAAAGAGATTGTAATTAAAAGAAAGAATTCATTTAATTCACAGCTTGAAGACAATTCGTCAGATCATAAATACAAAGTTCATGTACAAAGTATTGTTAACCTGTTTACCACAGAAGTATTAGATAATTACAACACCTTGCAACTAATAAAACAGAAATCAAATAATTCCAAATTCACATATCACCCGAGTAATAACCTCTTTAGTTTTGATTTTCAACCAGAATTAGAAAATCATCCAGGACCAAGTCCCAGTTTAATCTTGCAAGCTTTAACGATGTCCAATGCAAATGACGGCATTAATTTAGAACGATTAGAAACTATTGGAGATTCTTTTTTAAAATATGCTATAACTACTTATTTGTATTGTACTTATGATAATATACACGAAGGGAAACTGAGTCATTTAAGATCCAAACAGGTATAAAAAATAATATATTACCTAGTTCTATTGCATATTTCTTTTTTTTAAATATAGTGAAATTGTTTTTAGGTGAGCAATTTGAATTTATACAGACTAGGAAGACAAAAAATGTTAGGCGAGAGTATGATAGCAACAAAATTTGAACCCCATGATAACTGGTTACCACCTTGTTACTATGTTCCAAAGGAACTTGAACAAGCACTAATTGAATCTGGTATACCTTCTACCTTATGGAACCAAGCCGACATTCCAACTTTGCAAGCTGTAAATCCAAACGAAATCACTCAGCTTGTTAGAGAAACAGAACAAAAATTGGGTATCATGAAAGATGAACTCATTCGGAATGAAGCTATGCTTTCAAACAGTCTGGATAACTTGCGTTGTTTCATACCGTACAATTTGATTACTCAACATAGCATTCCTGATAAAAGTATCGCAGATTGTGTCGAGGCATTAATTGGAGCCTACTTGATTGCCTGTGGTCCTAGAGGTGCATTATTGTTTATGGCTTGGTTAGGGATTCATGTATTACCTGTGGAGGAAGTTGGCATTGTACAAGAAACTGAACCAGAAGAAAGAATTCCTGGTAGTACGCCATATGTAAAAGGAACGAATGAGAAGGGTGAAACAACGTGGGCACAGGTAAATAAATAATTACAAATAAATCTTACAGTCAAGTTTAATTTTAAATAACAAGGAACATTTATAATTATAGATTCGTTACGGAAAATTGGAAGAACCACAGAATCCCTTACTTCGATACATCCCTGATCCAGAACAAGAGTTGCAAATGATGCTCGATGGATATGAAGAATTAGAAAAAAGTATAGGATATAAATTTAACGATATTAGTTACTTGTTGCAAGCATTTACTCATGCATCATATCAACCTAATAAATTGACAGACTGTTATCAACGGTTAGAATTTCTTGGAGATGCAGTTTTAGGTAAGAAACTATATTAAATTGTTTTATTATATTGTGTATAAAATATAATCCGATAATTTGTTATTTTAGATTATTTAATAACAAGGCATTTATATGAAGATGCTCGACAACATTCTCCAGGTGCTTTGACAGATCTACGATCAGCTTTAGTTAATAATACTATATTCGCTTCTCTAGCAGTTAGATGTGGATTTCACAAATATTTTCGACATCTATCTCCGGGCTTAAGCGTTGTTATAAATCGTTTTGTTAGAATTCAGGAAGAAAACGGACATTCCATTAGTGAGGAGGTAAAAAGTTTATTTCAAACAATACAGAGTTTAGTGAATCCAAAGGAAATGCAAAATAAATAACATGTATTTGTCATAATGAAGTATTTAATCTTACAGACCGATAAAGCAATCATTCGCTTAAAATAAATTAGATAAACATTGGAAACTATCATTTGTGAGATTATATATTTAATTAGGGTGCAAAGAAATAATTAAAATCAGTATACAACCCCTTATTTTGCATTTCTTTTCAATCTATCCATGTATATATTTAATTTTGTATATTTTTCTTAGTATTATTTAATTGGAGAAGAAAAATGCGAAGAGGCAGAAGATGTAGAAGTACCAAAGGCATTGGGTGATGTTTTTGAATCACTAGCTGGTGCAATTTATTTAGACAGTGGAATGTCTTTGGATGCGGTATGGAGTGTATATTATGTCATCATGAAAAATGAAATTGGTAATTACTTTTTATTTAATTTCTGCAGTATCGAGCAAAGTATGCTGCTCCAGTGAAAATTCTGTAAAAAACAAAATGATATCTACATTTTATTGTTTCAGAACAATTCAGTACTAATGTTCCTAAATCTCCAATTCGTGAATTATTGGAATTAGAGCCCGAAACGGCTAAATTTGGCAAGCCAGAAAAATTGGCCGACGGACGTAGGGTTAGAGTTACAGTAGACGTTTTTGGCAAAGGATCCTTCAAAGGAATCGGAAGGAATTACAGAATCGCAAAATGTACTGCAGCGAAATGTGCTCTGAAGAAATTAAAACAAATGCAAAATTATCCGAGAGATAAAGTATGACAACGCATGCATTATTAAAATAGGATTAGAATATAAATTTATCAGCGTCTACACATTTCTAACATTAACAATTTTCATATTTTCAACTTAATATAGAAACATAGGCTTATAAAATTGTGTTGAACAAAACATTGTTGTTAATACAATTACTAGAGTACAATGAGTTGCATTGAACTTGTCGCAGTGAAGTTGGTCACGCATTCACTCACCGACGCGGCGTGAAGCGTTAGTGAATTTGTAGCCAACTTCACTGCAACAAGTTCAATGCAACTCAGTGGTAAGTACATATGTCATTAAACTGTAAATATCTAAAACAATAACGACACCATAAAAAGTACTTAAAAGTTAAAAAAACCATTTTAAATATTATATTGTAATGTATGTGATGTTCAGAGTTGAATGTGTTGCACACTTGAATTAGTATGGTTAAGCCAAGTTGAACAGAAAGTAATGAATGCATGTTAACACTTACAGGACCGCATCTCAGAATTGAAACACGAGAAATCTCGTGAGCGGTTGTTTAAGTGTTAATACAAACTACCAATAATTCTGTTGCTCAAAGTGGACTGTATAAAAGCTGGTGATGATTCCTGTTTGAAGGACTTCGGTATATACGATTCAAGACTCTTCCGTTCGATTTTAGTTTGAATGCTGGTAATATCTCAATCAAGAAAAGGAATCAAAGTATACATTAGCATTTATGATGGAGTGCTGACTGTGCTGTAAAGTAGATAAAGTCTGGGACAATACTAATGTACACTCGGGTGTAACATTGGCTTCTCTTAGTTCAGGGTAATTGTATTTGCCTCTGGTCTTAGGAGAATTGAACTTGGAACTTCCAGTCTTTGCACACAAAGATGGATAGTGGGACACTTCTTAATTAAGAAAAGCCTAAGGTGCAAATAACCATATGGCCTGATTTTTCTGAACCTGAGAGCAGCAAATTGCAATATACTTTAAAGAATAAATTAATTAATAAACCAATTATTAAATACACAGATTTTCGAAAGCTGTTTATTGTACTATGTATAAATGTTACTTTTTACTATGTATAAATTAATGTGATATTGCAATCCCGAAAATACTTTTCTGAATTTAAACTATTGTTTCCCACTTAAAAAATAAATAAATCTTTTTATAGTAGCTCTTAGCTTGATATCGCTTTCTAAAAGTTATCTTTAGAAAACGATATCAATTACCAGGTCACACCACGTGGAGGTGGCTACGTTTGTGACCCACCCTAAAATCATAAGAACGTGAAACCATTCAAAACAGACAACATAAAATAAAAATTTAAGCAATACAATCTTGAAATAGAAAATAAAATTAACATCCTAATATCAGAAACAATTGAGAAAATAATAATAATTTAACAATAAAATGCTGTAACGGAAAACATAATTATTAGAATTAGATATACAATAACGTGAAACCATTCAAAACAGACAACATAAAATAAAAATTTAAACAATACAATCTTGAAATAGAAAATAGAATTAACATCCTAATATCAGAAACAATTGAGAAAATAACAATTCAACAACAAAATGCTGAAATAGAAAATAGAATTAACATCATAATTTCTGTAACAATTAACAAAATAACAATTCAACAATAAAATGCTGAAATAGAAAATATAATTAACATCATAATTTCTGTAACAATTAACAAAATAACAATTCAACAATAAAATGCTGCAATAGAAAATATAATTAACATCATAATTTCAGTAATAATTAAAAAATAATTCAACAATAAAATGCTGAAATAGAAAATATAATTAACATCATAATTTCGATTACAATTGAAATGAAAAATGCCGACAACAGAAAATATAATTACCATTACAATCTCAGAGTATGTTTTAAATAAATAGAACAATTAAAATAAGAACATGAAATATAATTGATGTGCAAATTAATAAGAAAAGAATAATTTATTTCAATAAAGCAATAAACAAAAAAAATAGGGGAAATAAAATCGCGAGTTGACCATTCAACGAGCTGGGTATTGAATTCGTAAAATGTCGAGTTCAATATGTCCTGGACGGTATTATTTATACCGTTCAACGAAAAACACAAAAAATGAAAAAACAAATTAGCGAGCATAGTGACAGAATGACTGTCCATCCGAAGATGGAGAGCCATTAGTAGTTCCCCTCTTCTGGGCAAATTTTGCCGGGGCTCTTCAGCATATAGCCTCTTCTTTCTTCGGCAATAGCCTCACAAAAATCACTCGCGAAAATTTTACGTTTGCTCAGACATTTGTAAAAACGTAACACGTAAACGAGCAATGATCCCTTGAATCGCTACTCGCATACCTGCACAATTTTTGCAAATGTCTAAGCACAAAACACTTTTTAATTTCACTTCACTTCACTTCACTGCACTTTCACTTTAATACTTCATTTTTGTAATCGGGTCTAGTACCACGACTACGACTTAAAAACTAATAAGGCTTGGCCTTGAAAAAATCAAGAGAGAATGCTAAATTAATTAATTGATAAATTAATTAAATTGCATTTTCATCTTTTCTCTTGATTTTTGGTTTCCCAACCCCAGATACAAGCTTCTCACGTATTAGAGGAGAATACGAAGAGAAACATGAAAGCTTGCTCTGGCCCTGCCTACTTATAAACTAAACTCAATCACACCAGAAGTAAACTACCTGCCTGCCTATCGCTATATTTAAAAAAGGGCAAAAATCATTCTCACAAAAATTCACTCCACGGTTCTCATACAACCACCCGGGTGCAAAAATGCCTACACCTAGGGAGAACGTCCCGGGACGCCTCCGACACCCGAGTTCAATTCAACTTTCACACTCTAATAAAATCATACCTTTTTGCTGAAATCGACTGACAAATAATAGTGAACATTATGCTAAAGTAATACATTTCATTTTCGTATTCTATTGAATTATCTAATGTAAAAATTTTTCAATTTATTCTTGATAAGTATTTTGTAATGTTATAGTAAGTTAAGATTGTTAATAAACGATACAAATCCCACATCCTAACCACACACACACATGTGGAACTTCTATCGTGGTTCACTATTGGTTCACTACTTTTGTCAGTCGCCAAAATGTACACTTAAAACTAAACCTTGTCCACCGCCCTCCACCCACGCAAGTACATCTAAGTACCCGAATGAGCTTTGGGCATAAAAATGAACAAGGCCAAAGGTATTTTCACCTACCAGTTTTCTTCATGTGTGCTGAAATGCCTAAGCTAAAACGTATCATTAGCAAAAACTAAAGATGATATTCTCACTTTATTAAAAGTAAGAATATCGGCGAAATTTCACGGCTCCGATCTAGTATATGGGCTGGCCCCCACAGGGGGTTTTATTTTTAATAAAAGTGACTCGACTTTGCAAATATAAAACTTGAAGAGCAAATACAGAAAAGCAAAATTGAGCAACTATGACATAAAACATGGTGCACTGCTAATATCAGCTGGCAACGAAGGGTCTCACGCCCCCTAGACTTACGCCAGACGCTACATACCACCCACCCCGCCTGGACGTCGTAACGCCAGGACAGAGTGCACCCCTTCGCTAAGAGCGCTACCCGCCCGTCCAACACGTTGCATCCAACGGTGTCAGATTGACGGACGCCCATAGTATAGACAAAAGGACTACAGTTTAGAATATGGTAACATATTTTCATATGTTCCGTATTCTAAAGCTGCGCCTGCAAAGGCCTAGTAATGCATGGGTTTGTCTCCCATGAGATGGTGTTCACGGTCTTATGCCGCGGAATCCTTGTAACTAATTTGATTAAATAAATAAAATATTGGATTGAGTTTAAAAACCAAAAGGATTCCCACCAAATACTAGTCAGTGCATTGTCATATTTACTCTCGCGTTGGAAATTTTTCGCAACACTAATTAAAATAGAAAATCCTGATCTAAAAACATGACTAGTACATAAACATCTAACGGGCTAATATTTCACTATACTGATGAATGATGAGTGTGAATGATGAGTGTTTACGGGCCGAGAACCGTGAACGTGACAGAATGAATTTGAAGTATGAACGAAGAGCTTTCTACAATGCTTGAAAAGCAAATACTGAAAGGCAAAATAGAGCAACTATGACGCAAAAACGGTGCACTTCTAATATCAGCTGGCAACGGAGGTTTTCGGGCCCCCTGGACTTACGCCCGACGCTACATACCACCCACCCCGCCTAGGAAAGGATGCACCCCTTCGCTAAGAGCGCTACCCGTCCGTCCAACACGTTGCATCCAACGGTGTCAGATTGACGGACGCCCATAGTATAGGCAAAAGGACTGCAGTTTATCAAATGGAACATATGGATGTGCGCCACATTCTAAACTGCGCCTTGAAAGGCCTAGTAATGCATGGTTTTATCTCCCATGAGATGGTGTTCACGGTCTTATGCCGCGGAATCCTTGTAACTAATTTGATTAACTAAATAAAACATTGAGTTTCAAAACCAAAAGGATTCCCACCGAATACTAGTAAGTGCATCGTCATTGTTACTCTCGCGCTGGAAATTTTTCGCAACACTAATTAAAATAGAAAATCCAGATCTAGCAACATGACTAAAGGGGAGCTTTAAATTATGCTTGAAGAGCAAATATTGAAAAGCAAAATTGAGCAAATATGACTCAAACATTCGTCCACTGCTAATATCAGCTGGCAACGGAGGTTCTTAGGCCCCCTGGACTTGCGCCCGACGCTACATACCACCCACCCCGCCTGTTTAAGGCTCTAGGCCCAGGCAGGGTGCACCCCTTCGCTAAGAGCGCTACCCACCCATCGAACACGTTGCATCCAACGTGTCCGAGTGGTGGACGCTAATAGTATAGGCAAAAGGACTTTAAGACAGCTTAGCGTATGGGTTGCAACATACTTAAATGTTCCGTACTCTATGGCTGTGCCTGCAAAGGCCTAGTAATGCATGGTTTTATCTCCCATGAGGTGGTGTTCACGGTCTTATGCCGCGGAATCCTTGTAACTAATTTTATCAAATAAAAACCAAAAGGATTCCCACCGAATACTAGTCAGTGTATAGTCATATTTACTGTCGCGCCGGAAATTTTTCGCAACACTACTTAAACTTGAAAATTCTAACAGAGTAATATTTACTCTCGCGTTGAAAATTTTTCGCAACACTACTTATACTTGAAAATCCTAACGGGGTAATATTTACTCTCATCATTGAAAATTTTTCGCAACACTAAAACTTGAAAATCCTGACGGGGTAATATTTACTCTCGCGTTGAAAATTTTTCGCAACACTAACTTGAAAATCCTAACGGGGTAATATTTCGCTACACAAAGGTATGCGGGTGGATAAATGATTACGTGATAGAGTTCGTGAGGCTGAAGTGCGAATGATGAGTGTTTAGGGTCAAGAACCGTGAACGTGACAGAATGAATTTCAAGTTCGAAAGGAGAACTTTATACAATGCTTGAAGAGCAAATACTGAAAAGCAAAATTGAGCAACTATGACACAAATATGGTGCACTGCTAATATCAGCTGGCAACGGAGGTTCTTAGGCCCCCTGGACTTGCGCCCAACGCTACATACCACCCACCCCGCCTGGACGTCGTAACGCCAGGACAGGATGCACCCCTTCGCTAAGAGCGCTACCCGCCCGTCCAACACGTTGCATCCAACGGTGTCAGATTGACGGACGCCCATAGTATAGACAAAAGGACTACAGTTTAGAATATGGTAACATATTTTCATATGTTCCGTATTCTAAAGCTGCGCCTGCAAAGGCCTAGTAATGCATGGGTTTATCTCCCATGAGATGGTGTTTCACGGTCTTATGCCGCGGAATCCTTGTAACTAATTTGTTAAATAAATAAAATATTGGATTGAGTTTAAAAACCAAAAGGATTCCCACCGAATACTAGTCAGTGCATTGTCATATTTACTCTCGCGTTGGAAATTTTTCGCAACACTAATTAAAATAGAAAATCCTGATCTAAAAACATGACTAGTACATAAACATCTAACGGGCTAA